GTCTGTGCAGGGCATCTATATGCATGTATGTGTTCATGTGTATGTGCATGTGTGCATGTGTGTGTGGCCAGGAGCTGGGCACTGGGGAAGCCTCAGTAGCAGCATTTGTACATGCATGAGGCACACGAGGACACATCCAAGGTTCAGCTGGTCTGAGGGGCACCAGCAGGGCCAGATCTAGCTTGTGCCTCTTGAACAAGAGGAGCTGGGCAGAGACTGGAGACACAGCAGCAGGGCTGGGGATGGGGGGAGACACAGTGGGGCCTGTGGTGCTAGGAGAGTCATGCCTCAGGTCTTCGCTCGGCCTCACTCCTCCATGCCCGTCGGACCCGACGTGATCTTGGTGTCTCCTCTTTAGCTGCCCCAAACGCCAGCAGCTAAATAGCGTGGGCAAACTGTCCTGTTTCCCAGCATGCAACAGTCATGTGCAGGGGGGAGGTGAGAGCACTTGGAGTGACCCAGAGCTGCTGAAATAATTAGGGGTGCAGAGAGCACATGGGCAGGGCTCTCCCCAAACTAGTTCCCAACCCTTCATTACCTGTGAAACTGGCGGGTCCTTGCAGTCGGAAGATGTGTGCTGTGGGGCATGGCTAGATCTCAATGGAAATTCTCCAAAATGCTTCTTGTTGCTTCTCTGTCTTCCTGATCAGGGGGTAAATGTTCTCTGTGGGGACCTTGGACGCAATCTCAATCATCCCATAGAGTGCTTTGTTTTCTGTTTCTTCTTTTTGTGTTTGAGGGCCACAAACAGTGGTACTCAGGGCTAACTCCTGGCTCCGTGCTCAGAGAAAACTCCTGGTGATGTTCTGGGGACCCTATGCCCTACCAGGAATTGAACCAGGGTCGGCAGCAAGCAGGCAAACCCTTGAACCCCTGAGCTGTCCTTGGACCCTCGATTATGGCTCAGTTCTGCTAAACATTCTTTTTCTTTTTGGTTTTGAGGCTTATTCCTGGCCTGTGCTCATTCATGCCTGGAGTTGAGAACCCTATGTGGTAGCTGGGATGGAAACTAGCTGGGTTATGTGCTATATGCGCTGTCCTGTCTCTGGGTGCAGAGTGTCCTTTCTCCTTCCATCTCTGAGCCCCAGGACACCAGGCCTCTGGGAGGAGCAGGGAGTGACTGACCCTGCTGGGTCTTCACAGGGGCACCGAACTTCAGGTCTTTCTCTGGCTGACTTCTCTGACCATTTCCTTTTTACCCAGCCAGACGTTCCTGCTGGGGTAGCACGAACCCTGTTTCCTCTCCCCAGGGTCAGGAACCCCTTTCCTCCCCACCAGGAGTATCTGGAGGCTCGATGGTTCCCTTTGGGGCCAGGAGTGATCATGAACACATCCATGCTCAAAGTCCTCTCCTGCGAGGTGCACACGTGGGAAAGAACAGGATTTTTTTTTTTTGCTTTTTGGGTCACACCTGACGTTGCACAGGGGTTACTCCTGGCTCATGCACTCAGGAATTACTTCTGGCGATGCTCGGGGGACCACATGGGATGTTGGGAATCAAACCTGGGTCAGCTGCGTGCAAGGCAAATGCCCTACCCGCTGTGCTATCACTCCAGCCCCAAACAGGATTTTTAAAAAGTCTCTTCTGGAGGAAAAGCAGCAGCAGCTCTCGCCAGCAATGACCCCCCAAACAGGAAGAGATGCAGCTGTGCTATGAGGGCTTCACTCCTCCCCACTCTCCTCCACCCCCTGGCTCACACTCTGAGTTATCAGGCTGTGATAACTTGGCCAGTGATATCAAAGATGCGTCTGTCAGACCGTGGCTTTGAGACTTCAAAAGCCGGGGTCTGCGGAGGGAGAGAAAGAGGAGTTCTCATGTGGCCTGGAGGGAGGCCAGCGGGGAAGACGCTTGACTTGCCTGAGTGCAGCCAATCCCAGTTCGATCCTCAGCATCCCACAGGCTCCCCTGAGCACTGAAAGGCGTGATCCCGGAACACAGAGCCAGGAGTTAGCCCTGACCACAGGCCACAGCCTGTGGCCCAGAACTCATAAAGGAAAACCAAACAGAAAGTGTGGGGCAGGAAGAAAAGTCTGGTGAGGAGGAAAGTAGGAATGTCAGAACACGAACTATCTCAGAACTGTCTGATGACACAGTGCACCTATCCCAGCAGATTCGGGGCTGGAAGAGTGCATTGGGTTTCTGGTCCATGGGGGGCTTCAGAGCCACACCCCAAAAGGGGCTACTCCTGGCTCAGGGCTTGGGAGTTGCCCTGGCTCTCATCAGGAACAACAAGGTGCAAAGATCAGGCACCTGGAGCGAGTTGCATGCAGGAGTAATGCCATCAGGAAGGGAACAAAACTCCCAGGGCTGACTGAACAGAGAGGGAATTGCAGAGGGTCAGGGAGAGAAGGGCAAGAAATGGGCTGTGTTCCCCGGAGGCCGCTGGCTCTGCCAGGGCGACCTCTGCTGGCCGCAGACCAGCAGCTGGAGGGCTGGGCCCCAGTATGCTCCGTGCAGTGGTTGGCTGTCACTTGGGGATCCTTCTCCCAGGGAAGAGCAGAGTGTGGTCGGGATCATTCACTCTGCATCCCAGGGAAGATGAAGATGTGTGTGATTGATCCCTGTCTCTGCACACAGGGGTCTCGGTTACACCCTCAGTACTGCATGGCCCCAGGGCTGGAGTGATAGCACAGCAGGTAGGCCGTTTGTCTTGCACGCAGCCAACCTGGGTTCGATTCCCATCATCCCATATGGTCCCCTGAGCACCGCCAGAGGTAATTCCTGAGTGCAGAGCCAGGAGTAACCCCTGTGCATCGCCAGGTGTGACCCAAAAAGGCCCCCCCAAAACAAACAAAAGCACTGCATGGCCCCCTGAGTACCCTCCCCCAACTACCCCTGAGCACTTCAAGGTGTTTCCCCCTTAAAAAAAAAGGAAAAAAGAAAAAAGAAGTGACTATTTTGAAACACTCTGAAGCATTCGATCGTTTTGAACAAGTTCTGCTTTTCAAAGAAAAAAATCACTTTGGGGCACAGAGCGAGGCCAGGGGAAGGGCACTTGCCTTACATCTTCCTTCCCTGGCAGCCCACGGGGTCTCCCAAGCACCCCCAGGAGTAAACTCTGAGCACCGCTGGATGTGGCCCAAACACCTGAGCCTGAGAGGAGCGTCTGCAGCCTCAGGAGGGAAGAAGCCAGCCCGCACATCCTCCAGCCAGCCCGTCTCCCCTAGGGGGAGGCAGAGGGAGCGGAAACAGGACTTGTTGAGGTCCATAGCCCCAGAACAAAACCCGACCAAGAGAACAAATCTGAGCCCATGGACAGCTGTTTCCTCCCTCCACACAGAGATGAGCAACCTGCGGGAGCTTTAGTCCATCCGTCATGAACGACTTCTGCCCCCTGCCCGCACCACTGTCAAATTCTCATGCACGCGAGAAAGCGAGAAAGCAAAGGAGCGGTTTGTGGTCAAGCAGGCGAGTTTTCACACGCTGATGTGCACAGAAGAGCCAGGGGCAATGTGAGCAGAGCTGGAAAGTCTACAAAGAATGAGAGACACAGGAGAGTTTCTTCTCAGGCAGGGAGGGAAAGGAAGACACCTCGGAGGGATGTGCTGGTCCCCAGACCAGGAAGAAGTGGCCCTTGAGGGCGGATAAATAACCTCTAGAAAATTAGGAGGGAAAACAGCATCATGGATGGTGAGGGGAATCACAGACGGATGAGGGAATATTGGCAACAAGCATGGTGAGAATGTTCCTGATTAATGTCAGGCACAGAACCACAAGCAGACACAGGATAGTTACACGAAGCACGCCATAGACCACGCAGCACATGAAGAAAAGGTCCTGCATGCTGGGAGATGGGGCAGCGGTCAGGACAAAGGCCAAGCAGGAACAGGACGAGGGCTGGACCCTGGCACCATACAGTTTTGTGGGCGTCAGAGTGTCCTCGGTCATCTCTAGTGTTACAGGTCCTGAGCAGTGCCACCTTCTTGGTTCTGAGTACTGAACTGCTGGCCCAGAGGGCCGAATATTTCTGAGTTCTTCCAGGCACCGTGAGCACCATTTGGGAGGTTCCCCCAGAAAACTAAGTCCCCGCCAAAAGGGAAAGCCATCGAAAGAAGTTTGAGGAAAAAATCCTTAGCTGTAGCAGATTGAAGAATCATATCCAACTCCCCAAACCATGCAAGCAAGAAGGAAGGAAGCAGAAGGCCGGAGATACAGGACAGCGGGGAGGGTGCTGGCCTTGTCTGGGGCTGGCCTGGTCTGATCCCCAACACCACCTAGGGTCCCCTGAGCCCACCAGGAGTGATCCCTGAGTGCAAAGCCAAGAGTCAGCCCTGAGCACCACTGCGTGTGGCCCCAAACCAAAATAAACAAAAAAAGTAGAATGAAATAATTCAGATGTTAAGAAGAAACTCACCAACCAAGACTCTTGTATTCCCCAAATTATCCTGCAGAAGTGAAGGAGAGGGGCCAGGAAGAGAGCTCAGTGGTCAAGGACACATGCCTACAAGGTGTCACATCAAAATTCGGAGAGACAGGACAGCTTTGCCCATGATTGATCCAATCCAAGTCCCCAGCACCCAAGAGGGTACCAAGTCCCACCAGGAGTGATTCCAGAGCACAGAGCCAGGAGTCAGCCCTGACCAGCACTGGGCCAACCATATGAAAGTAAGGCCCTTGTCAACACCATTATTGCAACACGCACCAAGCTCCCCAACTTCCCACACCACCCCAAACAACTTGGTAGTGTATGAGCAGCTCCAAGCGGCCAGAATTCCCTGACCCTTGAGAATGCTCGGCTCAGTGTTCTCCTACTGGGCTGTGCATGCAGCTGCCTGGGCTCTGCAGCTGGGTAGTGGCTTGGGGTGGTCACTTCTCTCCAGTGCCAGGGATCAAACCTGGGGCCTCACACCTGCAAGGTGAGAACTCTCACACCTAGCTCCATCCCCGACCCATCGTGATGAGATATGCTGTACCCGACCCAACACACACACACACACACACACACACACACACACACACACGCAAGGACAATGCCTTTTGGGCAGGTAACACATTGAACTTGGCTTGAACAGGAAAGTTTATTTTCATAATGCTTGTGATTTGATAAAGCTCTTAAAGTGCTCAGAAATCTGTTTTCCCCAAAGTGGGAAATGTATGATAGACCCAAACATTCAAGTTTTATTGACTGCAATGCTACCTAAATCTTGGGGCATGGCTCTATGTCTCTGTCTGGGCATAGGACCAAGTGGACCCCCACCAAGCACTAGTGCCATGCCTGTGGCCCCAGCCTCTTGCCCCTTGATCCTCCACGATTCTGCACACCGGGAATCACTGTGCCGTGGCTCTGCAGGAGTAATCGCCCGGCGAGCCTCCCAGCTCCCCTGGTAAGCAGTGGGGGAAGTGCTGGCACCCAAGTGTCACCCCTCCATCTGCGGAGTCCCTGGTGCTCCTTTGACGCAGCAGTGTGGACCTCCAGGCCTCGAGCTGAGGAGAACTCAAAGGCTGTGGCATCTGACATGCATGGGGAGCCCGGGGGCTGAGCCAGCAGCAACCGCCCTGCCAGCAACCTCCTGCCAGCAGCAACCCCCAAGCACCAGGGTAAAACCCAAAACCCAGAACGAAACTAGTGACTTCAGATTCTTGGAGAAAAGCGAGGAGTGATATCAGGGATCGCTGGAGACGCCCACATTTTATTTTCTCACTAGGGGAGACCTCGGCATTGCTCCCGGGCCTACAGCGTCCTGTCTCTGTGCCTGTGATGGACGCAGACAGGCATCACGCCTGCTCCAGCTCCACCAGGACACCCCCACAGTCTTTGGGGTGCAGGAAGATCACGGGCTTCCCGTGGGCTCCGATTTTGGCCTCTTCACTGAGAATCCGGATCTTCTTTTTTTTCAGGTCGAGCACAGCCGCATTGATATCGTCCACCTGGAGGGAGGGAGACAGAGGGTGGTGGCTGAGCATGCCTCCACAATCACAAACCACAGCACTCACTGTGTCCAGGGAACAAGGTGCCCCCTTTCCCGAGAGGAACGACACAATGCTTAGGAATGTTCGCTGTAGGTGAAGCATTTCCTTATAACCTGAACCATAAGGCTACTGGCATTATTCTTTTCTTGTTTGATCCTGCAAGTCCCAGAGAGTCCCAGAGAGATATTGTTCACCCACAGTACAGAGACAGGGTCTCCCATATAAACGGGCTGAAAATTAAAATATAAGGGCTGGAGAGACTATGCTTATCTTGTGCATGGCTGGCTTGGGGGTTGACCGCTGGCACTGCCTAGGGAGGGAGGGAGGGAGGAAGGGAAAGAGAGAAAGAGAGAGAGATACAGGGAGAGAGAGAGACAGGGAGACAGAGAGAGAGGAAAAACATCTGCCAGAGGTGGGGGGAGGGAAAACTGGGAATACTGGTGGTGAGAAATGTACACTGGTGAAGGACTGAACAGTGTTGCCACATTAAATAACTGAAACCCAATTATGAAAACCTATGTAACTATGTATCTCACTGTTTCAGTTTAAAAAAAAATTTTTTTAAATCTAGAAAAACCCAAAAAACCCAAAACTGATTATTTTTTTCCCCAATTCACTGCAGACACAGACCAGACTGGAGCAAATGAGCGGGGCTTTCTGAGCCCTAAACACCCTGGCCATCACTTCACAGAAATGAAGATGACTCAGAATCTCTCCCAGTGCTTCTTTGCCCTAGAAAGATTCTCTGTCTGTTGCCTAGAGCAATCCTCCCCTCTGGTTTCTGTCTGAGGGGTACGTGGGTACAGTTCTGCCCTCCAAGGGCTGGTGACCCCTCCCATGGGCAGGTGCTGACCAGCCCATCTTGCTGTTCTCCCACCACCTCAGGATGGACCTGCTGGCACTTGTAGTTGTTCTTCTAGGTTCTTTTCTTGCCCTGTTGATCCCACCCCTCACCCCTAGTCTCTGGACCCCTAAGTAGGCCAGCCTCCAGAACAAGCCCATGAAGGCTGTCACGTGAGCACCGCCACAGGGAGCTCACAGGCCCCAGGATGGTCAGAGGCAGAGCAGGGGCTCCCAAGCAGGCCAACAGACATGGGACACGTTGACGCCCCGGCCCCACGCCATTAGGCGACACCCCAGCACGAGGGGGAAGACAGGGCCAGTGTCCCAAATGAAGCCCCCACTGTGACCCACTCAGACGGCCAGTGTGGGTCCCAAAAGGGCCCAGCTCCAGGACACATTTTCCTCTCTTGGCTGTGATCAGAACATGACTCAGTGTGGCCGGAGGAAGCAGGGTCCCAGGCCAGGCAAGTTCCTGTCCCTCGTGGCTCTGCTCTAATCATTCCCCTGCACACACTCTGCACCTCATCTTCTTGGGGCTCCAGGAGATGCCCTTGAGCTCACGTGACTGGCTCCATCTATGGCTGCCGGGAAGCAATTTGATTCCGAGCTCCACTCTACTCCCCGAGAATGCTGCAGACCTTCAGTGGTGGGGGTGGGGTCTCCTGAGAGCAAACTTCTCCCTGGTCTACCCAGTGCAACCCCGTATTTGCTTCCCTGTCATGATCAACCAAAGGTCTCCACCTTGGCTGCCCCCCACCCCCGAGGCCTGCAAGCTCTGGGGCAGAGATGGGGACTGAGATCAAGTTGTCATTTCCTCTCTGCGATCTATGGGTCCCCCGGTCCCGTTTGGACGCATGGATGTGTGTGTGTGTGTGTGTGTGTGCGCGCGCGCACGCACACACACACAATGTATGACCTGCCCTGTTAGCTGGGCAGGCCTAGAAGAATGATACCCTGCAGCAGCAAAACATCCAGCCTTAGACACTGGTGCCAAATCCTCTTCTCCACTATAAGGGCAGGAGGGCTTCCTGGAGGAAGGCTGCTGTAGGCAAAGGCAGGGGAGAGAGAAAACAGGTCTGGAGCATCTTAGGGTCCACACCGAAGCCAACAAAAAAGCCCCCCCAATGTTGTTGGAAGCTGGAACCACAAAGGGACCACGGAGTCTCAGTCTAAGTCTGCACGCCCGCACCCATGATAACAGCTGATAATAACTGAGCCCAGAACAGATGACGGGGTGGGGCAGAAAACGATGATGCAGAAGAATCCCACCATGCCACGGCCATTCCTTCAGTGTGGCCATGCCAACCGTCATGGGGAATGAGCACACACAACCAGGCCTCTGAGAGCCCAGGGCCATGCATGGCCCAGAGTCCCCTCAGTGCCAGCAGCAGCCTACACTGCTCAGGAGAAAAACAGCAGACAGATGCCATGTAGGACGGGCCACCATTATCACCTACCACAGATGCGACTGTGGGACAGGCCACTAATGTCACCTACCATAGGTGCCATTGCGGGACAGGTCACCAATGTCACCAACCACAGATGCGACTTCTGGACGGGCCACCAGTAATGTAAAAGATGACAAACCACAGCAGCCAGAGGTGCTGTCAAGGTAAGAGTTGGGGTGAACCCATAGAACAGGGTCCCAGGTGGGCACTGGGGCTGGCACTGGGCGGCAAAAGGGCACCTTCGGGGAGAACAAGGTCTATGGGCTAGTGGGGTCACGGGTGTCCATGGGGAGAATAGGACAATGGGGATCTCAGGGGGCTATGGAATAGTGATGACCACACAGATGAACCATTTATAACAAGTGGAATTGTCTCTTGTTTGATCGGGGGACACAACCAGCAGTGCTTATGGCTTACTCCCGGCTCTGGGCTCAGGCCTCACTCCTGGCAGGGCTCAGGGGTTCCATGGGGTCAATTGTGCGCAAGGCAGCACCTCACCCTCTGCGCTGTCTCAAGCTTCTAAGGACACACAGAATCAGCGCAACCCTGAGCCCCAACCATGAGTCCCTCATCCTGCAGACACTGATGTCACCATGCTGCTTGACTTCTCAAGGTTCGCTCTCTACTCAGGCATTGTGGTCTGGTGAGAATTATTGGCAAACCAAATTTTGTGCACCGATAATATTCCAATAAAACTTAATTAAAAATCAAGAATACAATAAAAAGGTAAAGCAAGGATGGCAAAACCTGGAGCGTGTGGGCTCGGTGATGAGGGGCGGCTGCTTGTGATGGTTTTCTATTCGCTATGTTCATGACGTTCTCACTTTTCTTCCCAAAGCTTTGATAATATCTACCCGAGATTGGACCTAAACTTTTATTTATAGAACATCCTACTCAAACACAGGTGTGCAGCACAATCTTGATACTGCATCCCAATATTTAGGCTATAGCATTTTTCATGTTCATATCCAAGAAGCATTTGAGACTTATTAGTTGTTCTGTTTTTTTTCTTGCAAATGCCTAAGTGCTATTCTCCTTGCTTCTATTGCCATAACTATTTCTCTCGTTAACTTTGACTTTAAAGACCTCTTACCATATTCCACCTTCTGTGAATGGTGGTATAAATTTTACATATTTGCTAAGAACACTCCTGATGTCTTATTGAGAAATAATAAAAACGAAATTTAAATGTCTTTTAATTCTCTGATGGCACCATCTACTTTATGACAAAAGAAACGCTTGTGGGAATGCAAAAACAATTTGACTTGGGGAATTACATCTGTCCCAGTAAGTCATAAAGATAAGTCACTAATAGCCTGAAAACCTTCAGAAAACATGTAATTTTATAATCTTTCATAGGAGAGTTGGGTGGCATCAGACAGCATGGTGAGCCCTGGATGCCATCAGCAAGAACTCTGCCATTCACTTCAACCCCTCACCAGCTCTTTATTTTCGAGGGCTGGGGGAACGTGTTAATCTGTGTCTGGGAAGTCATGTTGATCCCGCCGTCACCTGTCAATTCAAACTGACAGTGCCACAAACCAGTCACAGAGACATTTCAGAGACGTCTCCTCAAACCTTCTCTTCCCTCTCTCTGGCTGTTGGCTGCCCCAGTTGAAAGCCTCACTGAAATCTTTTTTGTTTGGGGCAAAGAGTCACACCTACTTAAGTCTTCATATGGTTCCCTGAGCCCTGCCAGGAGTGATCCCTGAGCACAGAGCCAGGAGTCAGCCATGAGCACTGCTGGGGGAAAAAAAAGCAAAAGTCTTAGAAGATGTGATTCTCAGGGACACATTTTATGAACAAGGAATAACATGTCACTTTCGTTTGGATTTATTCTAGAGGTGGGGGGTAGGCTAGCAGTGCTGAGGGGCTACTCTTGGCTCTGTGCTAGAGGATAGGCTCCCCACAGTGCTCAGGGCACCATGTGGTGCTGGGATCTAACCCCGCCCCCCCATACAAAGACTGTGAGCATCACCCAGTGTGGCTCAAACTCCCTCCTGCACCCCAAACTAATTCAGAGCATTACGGACACGTAAAAGTATTACTACCATTCTTTAAAAAAATACAGTGGACAAACCCAAGTGATGGTGGGGACACAGGGGCCCAGGCCCCCCCTCCCCCAACTCTCCCCTTCCAGATGCAGGGATGCAGGTTTCCAGATGTTGGAGCCCGGCAATGCAGTATGACTTGGGTCCTCCAGGGGGCGCCTGTGGTGTCTGGGGAGGCCAGGCCCACATCCAGTGGTGCTGGGACCAGGCACATGCTTGCAGGGGTCAAACTCTGGCCGACCACAGCCCCAGCCATCTCAGTTTTCACAGAGGCTGGTGAGTAACAATGAGGGGCAAGTTCGAGTTCATACCCACGAGAAACCACTTCCCGCACCTCCTACCACCCACCTTCATGAGGCTGGTCTATCTATCCTCTCCGTTCCCAGGCCCAACTCTGCTTCAGTCACATCACTCGACTGTCTGACTCTCCACTGAACTCCAGCTCCCGAACCTCCCTTTGAAGGCCCGGCTCTGATGTGAAGAGGAGAGCCTGGGTTCAAAGGCGGCCGAGTCACATCCATCCCAGGGGAGGGAGTGACTCGGGCAAACCCTCTAGCCCAGCCCGCACCTAGGGACCAGGGCTCACTCCGGTGCTCATTTCCCGGCCTGACACCTCTGGGGGTTGTCGTTCAGGATGGTGCCAGGCCCCGTCTGCCTGCCAAAGTCCAGGGCCAGAGGGGCCAGGTCCCGTGTGTGGGGCTCAGAGGGGAGTGATGAGAACAGAGCAGGAGGCACCCTGAAGACACGGCATCCCACTCCATGGCCCCCTGCTCACTGGCGCCCCGGGCAAGCCAGCTCTGGCTCACTGGTGCAGCTGAACAGATATCCAAGCACTAACTGGGCCCCACTGTGGCCTCAGCCTGCTGCCCCGGAAACTTCTATCCTGGGTTTCATCCAACCCACATGGCAGCATCACCTGAACACGGCAGAAAGCCCTTCCCGAGCCCCCAACAGTTAAGCCGGGGGTCACCCCAGATACTGCTGCAATAACGGGCAACATGAACAGCTGCAGCGCTGGTGTGGGGTGTGGGCCCTGGGCTTTTCCGAGGGCACAGTTTAAGTTCTCTAAACAACGGCCACGTGGCTTCAGTCAGCACCTCACGGAGGCGCGTGGAAGCCGGGCTCATCCCCACCAGAAGGCCATGTAGCTCCAGATATAGGCGCCATCCTGGCAAGCCTCTGGTCTAGCAGGCTGTTCTGGGGGGACCTTAAGAACACAGGGAGGGGCTAGAGAGACAGCACAGCAGCTTGGGCATTTGCCTTTCGGGCGCTTGCCTTTTGAGTGCCCGGCCAGGAGTGAGGCTGGATTATCATCCCTTGAGCACAGTGTCTGGGAACCGTGACAGCACACAGTCTTAAGACACCAAGGGCATTCGATACACTGCTGCCTCTGCCAGCAGGGAGGGCACCTGCCGAGCACACAGCCGACCCAGGCTCAATCCCTGGCCTACATCTGGTCCCCCAAACCCACCAGGAGAGATCCCTGAAAGCAGAGCCAAGAGTAAGCCCTGAAAGCACTGCTGGGGTGGCCCCCAAACCAAAAGATCTTTTCAAAAAGGAAATGGAAAACACCAAGCATCAGGAGAGTAAGGACACTGCAGCTCACAATGGCCAGAACCTAGGAAAGACCAAGTGTTCAAGAACAGGTGACCAGATGAACTACAGGACATCTACACAGTGGAATTCTGTGCAGCTGTTAGGAAAATTTTTGTTTTTGTTTTGGGGAGGTTTCTTTTCCTTTTCCTTTCTTCTTTTTTTTTTTTTCTTTGGCTTTCTGGGTCACAGCTGGCAATGCTCAGGGTTTACTCCTGGCTCTGCACTGAGGGATCACTCCTGGTGGTGCTCAGGGGATCCTACTGGATGCCAAAGATTGAACCCGGGTCAGCTGCGTGGAAGGTCAGCGCCCTCCCCGCTGTATTACTGCTCTGGTCCCATTAGAAAAAGTGAAGCAGGGCAGGTGCTGCAGGCAGAGCCAGGAGCTGGATGCAGATTCTAGACTCCTGGGGCTGCCTGGGGGGTGCCCACTTGTTTCTGGGGGTGCCCCCTGAAGATTCCTAGTTGGGAATGGGAAAAAAAATGAAGTCATGAAATTTGCCTATAAATGGGTGGACATGGAGAGTATCGTGCCGAGTGAAATGAGTCAGAAGGAGAGGGACAGACACAGAATGACTGCACTCGTTTGTGAAATATCAAAGAAAAAATAGTATGAAACTAATATCCAAAGTCAGGGAAAACAGGGGCCAGGACTGGTCAATAGTTGAAAGTTTGCCACAAGTGTACAAGTATGTGTGGGGTGGAGGGTAGTTAGGATAGAGAAGGGATCAGCATGATAATAATAGTCAGAAATAATTGATCTGGAGGCTGGAGCAATAGCATAGCGGGTAGGGAATTTGCCTTGCACGCGGCCGACCCGGGTTCGATTCCCAGCATCCCATAAGGTCCCCCGAGCACCACTAGGAGTGATTCCTGAGTGACGAACCAGGAGTAACCCCTGAGCATCGCCAGGTGTGACCCAAAAAGCAAAATAAAATAAAATAAAATAATAAAAAAAGCAATGTCCTTGAAAATAATTACTCTGGACAAGAACTAAATGTTGAAGGTAGATAACCTTTCAGTACCTGTATTGCAAACCACAATACCCAAAAGGAGGGAGGGAGGGAGAGAGGGAAGAAAATCGGGGGGTAGAGAGAGAGAAGGAGAGAGAGAGGTGCCTGCCATAGAGGCAGGGGGAGGGAAACTGGGGACACTGGTGGTAGGAAATGTATACTGAAGGGACTAGTGTTGGAACATTGTATGACTGAAACCCAGGGACAAGTGTTGGAACATTGTATAACTGAAACCCAATCATGAACAACTTTGTAACGGTATATCACAGTAATTCAGTTAAAAAAATTAAAATTAAAATAAATAAGTAAAACAGCAAAGAGCTGGAGATACAGCATAGTAGGTAGGGTGCCTGTCATGAATGCAGCAGGCCCCGGTTTGATCCCTGGCACCCCACCCTGGTTGGGTCCCCTGAACATCGCAGGGGTTATTCCTGAGTACAGACCCAGGAGCACCATTGGGTATGTGGACCCAGAGCCCCCCAAACACAAGAAAGAGTACCTCGATACAGACGTGGTGGATGCCCCCCACCTTGTTCTTCTGCAGGAACCCTTCGATGGGGCTGTCCGTCCCCAGCGGGTGCAGCAGCTCCATCTTGGTGTTGCCCAGGCTGACGAACACGACAGACACGCCGTGCTCAGGCAGAGGGACAGCCTCGCTCACCTCGGCGCCCAGAACATTCTGGTAAAATGCCTTGGCCTTTTCCAAGTCGGGCACGGCGATGGCAACGTGGTTGAGTCGGCCCAGCTTCCACAGGGAAGGTGCCACTTGGTGGGAGAACTGTGACGTGGAGTATGTCCTCACAGCCGGGGCAGGGGGCAGCTGTCTGCACAAGAGCCCTGGAAACCAACAGCAGGGCACAGCTGAGAGGGGCGCCTGCCCAGGAAGGGCTTCTCAGAGACAAGGCCCCATGCAGATAGTGACCGGCCTGTTTATCTTCAGCACTGCGAAGCAGGGCTCCCCGCAAATGCCTCACTCCCTTCTATTCCTTTTCTTATTTTGGGGGCTACGCCTGGTGGTGTTCAGGGAACTCTATTTGGTGCCTGGGACTGAAATCAGGTCTGCCACGTGTAAGGTAAGCACCGGACCCACTGTTCTCTCTCTCTCCGGCTCTGCCCTGATCAGCAAGATATTCCAAAGCAAACCCTGAGCTCCAACTCGACTCAGCACAAAGCCAGGCTTTCATGATAACAATTTCCACAGATGGTGAACAGAGAGATGGGCAGGGGGCACTGAGAATGACCGGCTCCAAAGACTGTGCATGGCACACAGGGGGAGTGTGAATGGTAGAACAGTTTTCTCCCTCACCCATGACTCAGCTTCTCTGTCTTCTACCTGGCAAGGTCTCACTAAAACCTTAATCAGACCCACTTTTTTTTCTTTTTGGGTCACACCCGGTGATGCTCAGGGGTTCTGGCTCTGCACTCAGGAATTACTCCTGGTGGTGCTTGGGGGACTATACGGGATGCCGGGTAACGAACCCAGGTCTGTTGCGTGCAAGGCAAACATGCTCCCTGCTATCCTCTCCCTCAAGCCCCCAGATCTGTACTTTTCAACATATATTTTAGTCAAATGATTCTCAACGAAGGGAAATCATCTCATGCAAATGCCAGGAGGGCAAACTGATGAGGATTCCCACCTAGTTTCCATTTATTTTTCTAACTCCCAAGGCTGAGGCAGATGTGCTGCCGAATGTCCAGGAACCTGTTTCATCTAGAAATGAGAAATCCCGCCCTCTGTTGCTCCCCTGCCGTGTTTCACAGCAGCTTCTCTGGGATGACAATCACAGTCATGTGGGTGGCCTGAACAGATTTCTCTAAACTAAAGCCACCGAGGGCTGGAAAGATAGTACAGGGCTTAAGGCACTTGCCGACTCGAATCGAGACCCTGAGCCCCTGAGCCACACGAGGCAGTGACCTGAGCACAGAGCTAGGTGTAAACCCTGAACACCACTGGGTGTGCCTCTGACACCCTCTAAAACAGAAAAAAGCATGATGGAACAAGAGTTCCATAGTGGCAAGCGGAAGAGCCCAACCTGATTGTTGATTCTTGTGAAAAACATTGTGGGCTGTACTTAGAACACCGGAGCTGGAACTTCTAGTTTGGCGACTTTTGGTAATGGGAAATGCTAGTGGCACTGTTTAATTTGACTGAAAACCACAGACTTTGCTGGGAAAACTCATCCTGTGGCCTGCAGGTATTGCACAAGGTGAGAAAGCACCCACACAGTCAGGCCTGGCTTCGGGGTCTGTCCCTTCGATCTCTGCACGCCCTGTGGGCCAGACCCCCTGTTCTAGCTCTCCTTTATGGAAGGGGCCGGGGTCCTGTTACTGGGGCACCAGCAGGTGTGAGGGGTCGAGTGCAGACGGCGTCCACTGCCAATCCCACATGGGCAAAGCATGCCAGAGTCAGCTCTGCGAACCCTGAGCCTCAGGGATTGGGAGGAGGCAGATTCTTCTGCCCTGTGTCCTAAAGGTTCTCAGTTGGCGGGCTCCATTAGCCTCTAGGGCACAAAGCCTGACCAAGCCAAGTATACTTCAGCAGGCTGAAGGACAGCACATGCAGAAATGGGACGCCTGAACAAAAATAAAATGACTGAGGCTGGAGTGATAGCACAGTGGGTAGGTGTTTGCCTTGCACGCGGCGACCCAGGTTCGATCTCCAGCATTCCATATGGTCCCCCGAGCACCGGGGGTAATTCCTGAGTGCAGAACCAGGAGTAACCACTGTGCATTGCCAGGTGTGACCCAAAAAGCAAAAAAAAAAAAAAAAAAAAGACTGAGAAAGGCTGACATTTTTATTTTTTAATTTCAGTTGTTTCTTTTGGGGTGGCAGGCTGGGCCATGCCAGGCAGTGCTTCAGAGCCTAAATCAGGGAGTATCAAGCAGTGAAGTGAAGTTATTAAGCCATCGCTTAACTTTCTAGTTCTGAAATTGTCCTAGTTTGGTCCTTGATTTTGAGTATCTTTGGTTTATGCTCTATGAGGAAATGTTACTGGGGGTGGGTTGGAGCCACATTCCGAGTTCCTCCTGGCAGTGCCCTGGACCACAGGACAAGCACTGTAATCCTTGAACTCTCTCTCTCTCTTTCTTTCTGACCCCCAGCATATGTTCTATGACTAATATCTATTTCCTAAGAGTTAACTTTGTTCCACATTGTTTTAGCCAAAAGCTCCTTGCAATGGTTTGTGGGCTAAGATGCTAGTCGGTTTTTATCAAGGAAAGTAGGAGAGTGCAGGAGAAAGTTAGTACCACAAATTAAGTAGCACCTGTTATTCATTTTGGGACAGCTGTTGGACCATTTTTTCATACCACCTCTTCAACCTGATGAAAAGTTGAGGCTCCTAAGACAATCACCGCACATTGCCTGTGGATCCTGGCTTAGCCCTGGAGAGTAGCACCTACTGAAGTACAGAAATTACGTGTCTGGACGGACAGTGCAGTGGCTAGGGCCATGCCTGAGGCCCAGGAGGTTTGATCCTTGGCACCATATATATTCGTCCATCCCCACCAGGAGTGGTCACTGAGTACAGAGCCAGGAGAAAGCCATGGGCACAAGCTGAATGCAACCAAAACAACATTTTTTTTTAATGGAAAGAAAAGAAATTAAGTGTCTAAGTATGCCTACAGTGATTGCAACAGACAACTTGTTCTGCTTGAGATGAGGCTTTAGGCGGACTAGGAATTCCTTTGGAGGAGAGAAACTACTTCTGAAAGCTTCATCATCCACTCGCGCCTTCCCTGAAGGTGCTAAGCAGAAGGATTTAGCACAGTTGTAGCCAGGTCTGCACGCGCTTCCAGGCACCGAGTCCCGGCGCGGGAGCAGCACCCCGACCAAGGGCGCGCGCGGGGCAGCCGCGGAAGTTTCGGCCACTCCGGCTCGCGAGGTCCAGCTCTGATTTTCCAACGGGGAGAACTCGGGGCCCTTGGGCCCGCAAGGACTCGCCCGTGGACTGACCTCCGGGGCTCCCAGGAGGACGCGGGCACTGCTGTGGCCCTGCCCGCTGCCCGGGCTCGCAGCCTGAGGCGGGGTGGGGGGGGACGCGGCGCGTCCAGCACCGGCCGCGGGCGGCTGCCTCGCCCCTGCCGCCACCACTGGGGGCCGCGGTGCAGGCCCCCTCGGGAAGTGCCCGCCGTGCCGACAGAGCTCGGGCCCGCGCGGCCGCCCCCCGCCCCAGCGGTCCGTCCCCGCGTTCTGCCCACGGGAGCCCGACGGCGCGGGATAATCACCTGCCGCACTCGCCGCCGCCTTCAGCACGCGCGCCATCTTGGAGAGCGACTCTGAACTCCTCGCCGGCCGCCGGGACAGCAAACCGCGCGGCCGAGGGGCGGGGTAACGCGCTCAGGGGGCGGGGAATGTGCTTAAGGGGCGGGGCAACCCGCTCCAGGGGCGGGGGAGTGCGCTCAAGGGGCGGGGAAACGGGCTCAAGGGGCGGGGAATGAGTTTAAGGGGCGGGGCAGCGGGCTCAAGGGGCGGGGTAACGCACTCAGGGGTCAGGGCAATGTGCTCAAGGGGCGGGGAAACGGGGCCAAGGGGCGGGGCAACACCCTCGGGGGGCGGGGAATATGCCCAAGGGGCGGGGCAGTGAGCTCAAGGGGCGGGGGAATGTGCCCTAAGGAGCGGGAAAAGGGCTCTAGGGGCGGGGCTACTTCTCAGGGGCGGGGCGAGAGAGGTCTGTCCGACGAGTGCCGGCATGCCCTTAATTTAACAACCCAAAGTGTTGAAGTCACCCGGTATCAGAAGCAGCCTCTTAACGCATGTGCCCATCACTCTCTTGAGGTTTTTGTTTTTCTTTTTTGGCTTTTGGGTCACACCCAGTGATGCTCAGGGGTTACTCCTGGCTCTAGCACTCAGGAATCACTCCTGGCGGTGCTTGGGGGACCATATGGGATGCCGGGGACCGAACCCAGATTGGCCGCGTGCAAGACAAACGCCCTACCCGTTGTGCTATCGCTCCAGCCCCCATCACCCTCTTGAGAATTCTTCAAAACTGCAAGTTTAACCATAATGTCCAAAAGGGGAGAAAGAGAGAGAGAGAGAGAGAGAGAGAGAGAGAGAGAGAATGCCAGCCATAGAGCCTTAGAGGCGGGGGTGGGGGCGTGGGGGGAACTGGGGACATTGGAAGTGGGAAATGGGCGCTGGACGGGTGGTGGAACATATGACTGAAATCCAACTTATGAACAACTTTGGAACGTGTAATGTGACTTAATAAAAAGGTAAAAATCTTAAAATGTTTTAAAAAAATGCTTGTTTGGAGAAAGTTCAAGGGCCCCTGGATCGACCGATGGCTAGTTCCGCCGTTCCGCCCCGCCCCACCCCGCCCCTGCCCGTGCGCCGCCCAGCGTCCCCGCGCTGCCGTTGGCTCTGGCGAGGGGTGGGCCCGGAACCTTTGTGCGGCGGAACCTTTGCTGCGCGGCTCGGGGTCGTGCCGGCGCGTGGCGGGGCGCGGCTTCCGGCGCCTCTTCCTGCGCGTCGGCCGCGGCGATGGCGCCGCGCGTGGTTCGGCGCCGCACCCTGGAGCGGTGCCTGGGCGAGCTGGAGCAGGCCACCGACCGGCCCGAGTGCTTCCTCACGTGAGTGCGCAGAGACCGGGGGCGGGCGCGGGAGGACGCACGCCCCCACGTTTCCTGGGCCCACGTTTCCGGCTAGCCTACGCCCCCTCGTCGCCGGTCGGAGGGTTTTGCACAGCGCGATCCCCACAGTCGCCGGGGTTTAGGAGGAAACCGAGTCCGGTTGTTAAAGCCTGGGTGCGTCCGCACTGACCCCCGCGCCCTGTCGCCCAGCTGCTTGCGAGTCGCGCAGTCGCTGGTTGCCTGCGACCTGTGACGCGACCGCCGCGCGCCCCGCAGGCCTCAGGCGTCAGGCTCCGCTCCACGCCCACGCCCCGAGTCGCCGACACGCTCGGGCCTCGCGGGAGCCGCCTCCTCCCTCGTGCCCCCCGCAGTCATTCCGACTCGCTTCTCCCTGGGAATCCCGTGGCAAGTCTCATCGGCGCTGTCCCCGAATCGGAGTAGAAGCGCCACGACTCAGCCGCAGCACTGTCTGCTGCCGCAAGGTTCCGCGGACCTCCGGATCACCCCGAACTTCTCTTCCTTTCCCGTTGGAGATCGGGGTTCCAGTCTAGGTCATCTGGCGCATTTGCTTCCCAATCCCTGGTGGTTTCTCTGGGTTTTGTAGTTTAGGGGCCACACCCATGCACAGGGCAGACTCCTGGCTCTGTGCTCAGAGATCACTCCGGGCGGTTCAGGAGGCCTGTGGGGTGCCCTGGATCCAACTCTGGGCAGCTGCTCGCAAGGCAAACCCCCTTTCCCCCTCCACTGTCTTTGGGCCCTGCTGTTTTCTTTTTAAGCGAGAATTAAAGGTAGCCCCGAGGCCAGCCTGCTCTCCCCACCTGTCCCTGCCATCCACCTCCAGTCCAGTGAAACTTTCCCCCAGACTCATCAAGCTCCCCAAAGCTCTCCCGGCTTACACGGTTCCAGATTTTGTTGTGAGCCTGTTTGTAGGCCTCACCTCAAATGTCACATCCTCAGAAACATTCTTACTCACTTGCGGTGTTGGGTGGGGGGGAGCAGAGGGAGTGCTCAAGTGGTATTCAGGACACCTGTGGTATCCCACCAGTGATTCTTGGCCAGCAGGCCTGGTGGTTCAGTGTAGGGGCCTGAGGATGTGGTGCCTGAGATCACATGGGCCACCCCAGCCATGCTCAGGCTCTCCAGGGCATCTTTTGGTGATGCTCAAGGCTCATGTTGTGCCTGGGACTGAGTTCGAGTTGGGAACAGGCTGGGCATCCACCTTAACAGCTGGATTCCCTCTGATGACCCTTGCCAGAGCCTGTTGCCCCTTGGCTCTCAGAAGGAGGGGAGCAGCGGAGAGTTTTAACAGCAGAGAATTCCAGACCAAGATTGACAGATTAACCAGCACCAGTGTGCCTGCCTCTAATCTGTGTCACAGATTCATGGATGGTTCTGAGCTTGTAAGTTGGATCTTATAACCCTCGTTACGAATTTAGTTCATGAGCAAGTGCCTGCAGTGAACTTTTTTTCCAATTTAATTTTGCACCAGGTTGGATCTGCTTTGCTTTTCTTTCAAAATGCTGTGAAAGTCTTTCCTCTCAACATCTCCATCTGACTTAACATCTTCCTCTTGCCCCCTTGCTAGGATTCGAGATGATCTGGCATCCCGCTTTACCTCTTTAACCAAAGTGCTCTACGATTTAAACAAAGCCCTGGAGAAGGGCCAGATCCACGGCAGCCCTTTGCAGAAGCTGGTGGTCACCAGTTTTGATGATGAGCAGATTTGGCAGCAGCTGGAATTGCAGAACCAGCCAATCCTGCAGTACCTGGAAGATGTCGTCAGGGCAACCATCGACGACGATGACCTTAGTCTCCTCCCTGAGGATGACAAGCAGGAGTGCCAAGAAACTGGCTCTGAAGTGGAGGCTGATGGGCCAGAGGACCCAGAACCAGGTTCGGAAGAGGAGGAGGAGCAGCATGAGGAACTGTCAGGCCTGCACGGTGAGAAGCCCCAAGGGGCCAAGAAGGCCAACAGATTGGACCTGAGCGCAGACCCAGACTTCAGCGACGAGGATTCCGATCTTGACTTTGATATCAGCAAGTTGGAACAACAGAACCAGGCGGCCAGGAAGGTGCCTGGGAAGACCCTGGAAAAGTCCGTCGTGGATGACAAGTTCTTCCGCCTGGCTGAGATGGAAGCCTTTTTAGAGAAGATAGAAAAGAAGGAGGAGCAAGGAGAGGAAGAGGGGGATGATGATGATGAGGTTGATCTTTTTGAAGATATGGATTCTGATGAAGATGAAGGGCTATTAGGAAGTCAGAGACTTAAGGTAAAATTTGGGAGAAGGAGAAAGCAAGTATTTCCTACCTCAAGGAGTTGTTTTGGTTCACACAGAGAGATTCAGAACTCACAAGGGTGGGAACCAATGCCATAGCACAGCAGGGAGGGCATTTGCCTTGCATGTGGCTTACACAGGTTTGATTCCCAGCATCCCATATGGTCCCCCCAATCACTGTCTGAAGTAATTCCTGAGTTTAGAGCCAGGAATAACCCTTGAGCATCACTGAATGTGACCCCCCTCAAAAAAAAAAAAAGCCTCACCAAGGTATAAATATGTTTAGATCATTTAAGAAAAAGAAATTAGGGACTGGAGAGATAGCACAGCAGGTAGGGCGTTTGCCTTGCATGCGGCCGACCCGGGTTTGATTCCCAGCATCCCATATGGTCCCCTGAGCACTGCCAGGAGTAACTCCTGAGTGCAGAGCCAGGAGGAACCCCTGTGCATCACCGGGTGTGACCCAAAAAGAAAAAGGAAAAAAAAAATTATTAGAAAAACAAGCCATCATTTCCTTTTTCACAAACCCTTTTTTTTTTAATTTTTAAAATTTTTTATTTTTATTAGTGAGACACTGTGAGGTACAGTTGTAGACTTACAAATTTTTGTGCTTGGGTTTCAATTATACAATGATCAAATACCCATCCCTCCACCAGTGCCCATTTCCCACCACCACGGATCCCAGTATCCCTCCCACCCCCCAGCTCCCCCATCCCACCCTTCCTCTGTGGCAGGGCACTCCCTTTTGTTCTCTCTCTCCTATTGGGTGTTGTGGTTTGCAAAAGAGGCAGTGGGTACAAAACCCTTTTTTTTAGAGCTTAAGAGTTGCAGGCAACAGATAATTTGGGGGGGGGGGAAGGCAGGGGATTGTGAATTCACTCCTTAGCCCTCAAAATAATTACTTAAGGATTCAGAATAATGTTAATTGCCTGAGTGTGTGTGTGTGTGTGTGTGTGTGTGTGTGTGTGTGTGAGAGTGTGTGATGATTCAGTGGGGTCCATCCATTTCCCCACCCCCCCCAATCCTTAGTTTAAAAGTTTTGGATTTCTTTTGTTTTAGTCAAGGAAAAGTTCCAGAAATCTGAAATACAAAGATTTCTTCGACCCAGTTGACAGTGAAGATGACCCAGCAGCTATCTGTGTAGAGGAGCAGGGTTCAGACGAGGAGGAAGATAGAACCGAAGAGGGAGAAGATGGAGAAGATAGGAGTTCAGAACCGTGAGTACTCTGGATTGTTCCGTTCTGAGCCAGAGCTTGCCCAGTCCTTTGGCAGATGAGTGCGTGTTTCAAGACGGAGTCTCTAAGACAGGGAGTTTGAAGATGTCTAGAGGAGAGAGTTGGAGTCCACGGGACATTTAAGGGTCCCCAACAAGGACCAGTGCCCCTGGGATTGCCAGTCAGAAGCTTTGATTGGTCCTTCATGCGAGTAAATACCTGGTGGGGTCATCATGGGGACCTGATTGTGTTTGGGATCGACACATGATTCTGTTCTGTTTTTCCTTGCTGATCCCTCTCGGCCCTTTCATCACTGAGTGCGTGCAGGTTTAGGGGTGTTAGCTGTTCTTAGTTCTGCGAGAGGCCTTCAGGACTTGGCCCTGCTTTCCTGTTGTCTCCCCGACATATGTCTCTCTTCCTTTCCTAAGCGCTTCCATCTTTCAGGGATGAAGATGTCGACCTGGAGGAGAGCAAAAGTGATCAACCACGCAGAGCCAGCGCAAAGAGAGTCACATTTGCTCTGCCCGAGGAGGAGGATGAGGATGAGGAGGAAGAAGAGGAGGACGAGGAAGAGGAGGAGATGGAGACAGAAACAGAGACGGAAGGCTTGGGCATCCTCAAGGGTGAGAAGGATGCCAATGAAGTGAAATCTTCTTTTGAGAAAAGACAGGAAAAGGTAACTTGGGGATCAGGGATCCTTTTTATATGTTAGCTGAGACATGGAGCCCAGCTTGCTCATGACCAATCAACCCGGGTGGCTGGGTGTCTGTGTCTGTGCGTGACATGAGTAATATGTCTTCTCTTATCAAGGAAGCAAAACTCTCAGAGCACAGTGTGGGGAGAGGCAAACGACGGCTAGTTCACAGGGCTCCGACCTGGTCTGGCGTGAAACCCCTGCTCACTGGCCTGTGCCTCAGACCTCACATGCTTTCCAGGATGTTTCATTCCTGCTCCCTTGTGCCGGCTGCCCGGGAGGACAGCTGACTCGGACTTGATTGAGTGCCACAGATTCAGTTCAGCCCTGTCTGCACATCGTTCAGAGCAGGTCTTAGACATGGAGTTCTGTTCTGCCACCTCATGCACACACATGGGCTACTTCTCTCTGTTCAGTATTTGGAAATCTCTTCATTGAATTCTTGGTCAAGGTCAAGAAGAAAATCCTCCTGGTGTGTCAGCAAGATTTGCTTAGAGCCAGTCTCCTATTTTTTCCATTTGCAGTGAAACATGTTTAACCCAAAGGTGTCTTAAAATGCATTTGGTGAATCTAGAAGTAACCTTTTAACATTAAGGATCAGACATTTTGGGGCCTGGAGCGATAGTACAGTAGGTAAGGCACTTACCTTGCTCACGCTGACCTGGGTTCCATCCCCTGCATCCCATCGGGCCCCCCCAAGCACTGCCAGAAGTAATTCTGAGCAGAGGGCCAGGAGTAAACCCTGAATGTCACTGGGTGTGGCAAAAAAAAACAAAACAGAATGGCCACAATTACAACAGTATTATGATTGCCACTGTTACTTAATCATTTTTAAGAGGATGAGATCACCACAATTATAGACAACATGAAGTTAAGTTGCAGATAAACGTCTTGCTATTTGCAAAGAACGTTGGAAAAACCAAGCAGATAATTAGGAAAACTCAGATGTTGTAGAAGGCAGCTGGGGATATCCATTGTACACTGTTGGCTTTATGCTTTTTTTACTTTTTCTTTTTTCCATTTTTTTTTGGGCTACAGGTGGTAGTGTTCAAGGGCTGCTCCCGACTCTCTTCTCAGGTGGCTCTGGGGACCAAGTCGTGCTGGGGCTTAAACTCAGACCTTTGTGCAAAGTATGCACTCAATCTGTTGAGCGCTCTCTGACCCAGTAATACTGTTCTTAAATTTTAATTACTTAATATTTATTTACTTCTAGTTTGGGGCCCATACATGCCAGTGCTCAGGCCTTAATCCTGGATCTGTGCTCAGTGATCACTCGTGGTGGGGCTCAGTGGGAGTATGTATGGTATTGAGGAAGGAACCCAGGTCAGCCAATGCACAGCCAGCTCAGTCCCCACTGTGCTGTCTCTAGGACCTCTAGGGCCCTGACAGTTGTTTTCAGAGAAAATCAGGATTCAGGTTATGGGGTTAAAGGTCTGCGTGGGGTTTGTGTTCTAATGAAAAGAAGCTGACTCCATGGGCAGTGCTCTGACGGTGCATCCTTATGGGAGCTCCTAAAGGCAACAGAGAGCAGTTTGATCCAGGTCCGCTTGGTGCTGCTGTGGGTGGGGGGTTGTGGGTCCTGGCAGCGTGTGCCCGGTGCTGCCCACTGGGGCCTTACGCTCCCCTCATCATCATCCATTCACCAGCATGGGCTGGTAGAGGGCCGAGTGTGTGCTGAGGGATCTTGCAAATGGGCAAGGGGCAACAGGTGTCTGAAGGTGATACCACATGCCTCTCCAGCTCTCTGCGTGTGCACCACCATCCACTGTTCCCCTGGGTCCGAGTCCATCCCTACAGGCCCACCTTGGTATGTCCCCCAGATGAACGAGAAGATCGCGTCTCTGGAGAAGGAGCTGTTGGAGAAGAAGCCCTGGCAGCTGCAGGGGGAAGTCACAGCCCAGAAGCGCCCAGAGAACAGCCTCCTGGAGGAGACGCTGCACTTCGACCACGCAGTCCGCATGGGTACGCGCGCGCATGCATACCTGTTTCCTCACCCTACTTCCTGTGTCCATGCATGCGCACCTGCCCATGCCCGCGTGCCCACCTCGCTGTTCCTGCCCCCTTGGTGGTTCTCTGCCCACTGAGAAAGGGGGGGACGTGCTGCTTCCTCGACTTGATTTAAAAAGCTGATGCTGAAGAGCACGGTGGGCCACACGCACAACGGTGCAGTCTCTGTGTGCGTGTGTCTGCGTATGTGTCTGTGTGTATGCGTATTTGTTTGCATGTGTCAGTATGTTTGGTATGTGTACAAGTGTCTGCATGTGTGCATACATGTGTGTCTACGTGTGCATGTATGAGTACATGTTTGTGCATGCATGTACGTGTGTGTGTGTGTGTATGTGTGTGTGTGTGTGTGTGTGTGTGTTTCTCCCTGAGTCATTGTGAGTGGCTCTAAGAAGTAGAATCTGTCCCTGACTGGCAGCCCAACCCTGATTGCTCATACCAAGTGTCCCCCATCCACGCATGGAGCCTAGCAACCAGTGCCTTTGCATTTTCTGCTGCTGTTTTGTGGATGGAAGCCGGGAGGGAGGTTTGGATTTGGAGCCCACCACACCCAGAGGTGCTGCTCATGTCGCCATGCAGTGCCTGCCGGTGAGCTGGGCTTGGCTCCTCCCAGACCTGTGCCCTCACCTCTTCCGGTCCATTTGCCCCTGGACTTAGGCGGTGACTCCAACCATTCCCTCACTGGCCCAGCCCGTTTCTTTTCCAGTACAGGATGGGAAAGGGTGACCTGGGCAGGGGTTGGAGGGTCACGCTCCTGGACAGACTCTGGTCTTGCGGTTCGCCAACAGGACCCTCTCCCCCTCCTTTTGTGGGGCGGGTGTAGTGTGGGGGTGGCTCAGAACTGGCCTCACAGTACCTGCGGTGTCCCCTCAGCACCGGTGATCACCGAGGACACAACGCTGCAGCTGGAAGATCTCATCAAGCAGCGGATCCGGGACCAGGTCAGTGAGGACTCTGTGTGGGAGCCCCAGCGTGTCAGGGCAGGGCTACTACCGTCTCCTGGCTATGGGGGTTGTGTCTGTACCAGCTCTGCACTGAGATGCCTTCCGGCCCGAACGGTGCTTTGGCAGAGCCAGAGCTGCTCTCATTGGTACCTGAGAGCAAGGCCAGCGCCATTGAACATCTCCCCTAGAGATCGGGGTACTGGCACCAGGGCCCTGGTTCCCTGAGGAGATCAGGGGACCTGGTCTATCTCCTGGCCTTGCCTGCTGTAGGCTTGGGGGCTTAGGAACTGTCCCAGTTCAATGTGGTCACACCCCACAGCCCATTGTGGATGTGGTATCTGATGTGGAAAAAGGAGGGTCAATTCCTGTAATCGTTTTTTGTTGATGAAACAACCTTATCTTGTGGACGGGGACTGAGGTGGTGTGTGCCAGGTGCTGTGCTTGGTTGGTCGGCCGCCCATATGCCTTTTCCATCCAGGCCTGGGATGACGTAATCCGGAAAGAGAAGCCGAAGGAGGACGCGTTTGAGTACAAAAAGCGTCTGACTTTGGACCACGAGAAGAGCAAGCTGAGCCTGGCTGAGATCTATGAGCAGGAGTACATCAAGCTCAATCAGGTGGGTGCCACCGGCAGGTGGTGGCTCTAGCCCCATGGGTTCTGCTGCAGCAGAGCCAGGAACCTGCAGTCACTGGGCTCACGGGCTGGTCCCCATGTGCTGGTGCGCCCTGTAGCAGGGCTGACCTGTAGCATTTGGGCAAGGGCTGGGGGTCAAACGCGAGGTGTTGAGTTTGTGATAATTTCAGTGACAGCTCCAAGTGACAGGATGTTGACATGCCCAGGATTGGCCGGCTTCCTCCTCCTCCCCAGCACCTGCAGAGGGAGTTTTTTGGTGGTGCCAGGAGAAGTTGTCCATTCTGAACAGAAGCCAGTGCCTGGCATGTGAATGAGCACATCCCAGGTGCTCTGCGTTGACCAGACTGGCCCATGTCTGTGCAGGGTCCCTGAGGTCTGCAGCCCAACCCGACCCTAGGATCAGGGACGCTGCCTGTGCACCCCGAGGACTAGGTTGTCGATGCGTCCCTGCCACCCCATCTTATGAGAACTTCTTTCCAAAGCAAAAAGCAGCAGAGGAGGAGAACCCCGAGCATGTGGAGATCCAGAAGATGATGGACGCCCTTTTCCTGAAGCTGGACGCCCTCTCCAACTTCCACTTCATTCCCAAGCCGGTAAGGGACAGCTCTTCCAAGCAGCCCAGGGCACCCTGACGCTTCTCTGTGCTTCGGGGCTGTAGGGCCACCATGGATGACGCCTGTCCCATTCCCTGCCAGTTCTGCTCCTGCTCTTCCATTCCCCTCCCCCCCGCCCCAAGCCACAGGCGGCCCTCCTACCCGATCCATTGTGTTCCAGTGGGGGGTCTGGGTCAGCCTGGCACGGAGTCAGCCACTTTTCGGGCTCAGGTCACTTGTCCTGGTACCTCAGAGCCCACGGGATGCTGTGCTGGTGCTGACAGTGGCCACTGAGCTGAGGAGGAATTGGCAACAGGAGGGTCTCTGTGACTCTGGGTGCCCACAGCTGGCTGCTCCCCTCCAGTCCTGCCCTCTGTGGGCTCCCTCTGCCCCCAACCCTGCCCTCGCCCCGCAGCCTTCTCTCAATGCCCCTCTCCTCTTCTCATCCCCCTTACCAGTCCCTGGAACCCAGGAAACCTGCTGGCTGTCCTGGGGTCCTACCCCCAGGGCCCCTGACTGTCCCCTGCTGCTTGTTGGAGTGTCACAGACCATGGGCTGACCCAGAGGTCAGAGGCCGAGCCTGGTTCCTTCCCCAGGCCTCGGGGTGGCGCTGGTGCTATGAGGTACCATCAGCCACTCCCGTCTCATGCCCCACATGTGGCCCCGTGTGAGATTACATTATACTACACATAGGTTCCTGTCAAGGGTCTACGTGACACTGGCATGTCCAGAGCCAGGTGGCAGCAGGTTATCTGCGTCCCCTCATGGCCAGCGGGGCTCAGCACCAAGGGGGCTGGTGGAAGGTCCTGAGCACTGTTGTCCTGGGGATCCCTGCCTGCCATCAGGACAGTTCCTGGTGCCGCTGGCCTGGGTTTCTGTCACTGCAGGCTCCCATTCCAGCACCTTCTCCTGGGCCTCCTGGGGCTCGATGCAAAACCAGCGTCTCTTTTCTAGCCTGTCCCTGAGATTAAGGTTGTGTCCAACTTGCCGGCCATCACCATGGAGGAGGTGGCGCCCGTGAGCGTGAGTGATGCCACCCTGCTGGCACCCGAGGAGGTCAAGGTGAGGAACCCCGGTGCAGGGCCGGTGGGGCCGTGGTCAGGCCAGTGGGTAGAGGTGTGTGGGCCCACCAATCAGCACAAGGCTAGGGCACTTGCCTTCCGTGCAGCCAAGCTGGCTCAGTATTCTGCACCCCATCATGGTCCTCCAGCCCTGCCCAATGTGGCCCCTAAAACAGAAACAGGAGAAAACGCTATTTAAAAATGCCGAGTTGGGATCTGGTGGGGATCCACTTTGGATCCAGTGAGTGGGGTCCATATCTAGCTGGTCTCTGTCCTCACCCTCCTTTCTTCTCAGGGGCCCCTTACATGACCAAGTTGGGCTTGTGTGTGACCGGATCTGGAATGGGGCATTGGGGAGGGCAGGGACCTTGCCCATGGGGGCTGCAGGCCTTGGTGCTGGCGCAGCCTCTGGGGAGAGGCTGGCCATGCTCCGTGGGACTTGCTTGGCACCATCTCCACAGTTGCTCTATCACTCACTGCTCTGTGGCTGGTTGTTTATCACCAGGAAAAGAATAAAGCCGGAGACATCAAAACAGCTGCAGAGAAAACCGCCACAGACAGGAAACGCGAGCGGCGGAAGAAGAAGCTGCAGAAGCGCCTGCGGCTGAGGGAGAAGGAGAAGCGCAGGAAAGCACTGGAGAAGACGAGACCGGAGCAGGCAGCCAAGCTGACCAAGGCGGCGGCCGTCAACAAGCTCCAACAGCTGACCAAGACCGGCAAGGCAGCACTGCTGAAGGTCAGGCCGTGGGGCTTGGGACTGGGGTTGCGGGCAGGGATGGCACCAGCACTGTCCCCTGCTGGGAGAGGCTGCCGGTGGCCCTTGTGTCCAGCCCTGCACTATTTCCCCCAGTCTGCCTGAGGTCCATTATCCCTCATTCCTCCTGGGCCCTTCTTGTGATATTCCTTGTGCTTCCTGTCCAGCAGAAACATGTGTGTGTGATTTTCATTGCAGGACGAAGGAAAAGACAAAGCCCTCAAGTCATCCCAAGCTTTCTTTTCAAAGTTACAAGATCAAGTGAAAATGCAAATCAGCGATGCCAAGAAGACAGAGAAGAAGAAGAAACGACAAGACATTTCAGTCCAGAAGCTGAAATTGTGACATCCAGGCTGCAGCGAGAGCACATGGCCATGTAGCTAGCATTGGTGTTTTCTAATAAAACTTGGGGTTTATTTATTCTGGGTCTACACCTGGCCATGCTCAGGGCTTACTCCTGGCTCTCCAATCAGGGATCACTCGTGGCTGGGCTTGAGGGACCCCCTGCAGCTGTGTCAAGCTGCACCTTGACAAGCGCCATAACCCCTACACTGTCTCTCTGGCCCTCGGAGACCCTGTCTTGGAGTGGGGCACAGGGTTCCACAGAGTTTGAGGACAGACGGCCTCTTTGGAAAGTCCTTTCAGCTTTCTTGGGGAGGGAAGAGGTGAGACCTAGTTCCCGTGACCCTTTCCACATGGTACCTTAGCCAGGGCCAGGCCCCAGCTGCCTGCATCCTGACCATCCCCCTTCCATCACCCTGGCCCTCATTCCCAGAACCTCAGGGTCTGTGCGCATGTGCACAAGCCATCCTCTCAACGTGGGAATCTAATGACCTGAACCTGAGCAAAGGCCTTGCCTGGGCTCAGCTGGGCTTCTTGTGGCTCCCTGTGGGCGTAAGAAAGGGACAGACATGGGGGGAGGGGGGGAACAGAACAGAAGGGTGGGGTGGCTGAAGGGGTAGGAGGTGGGACTAGCAGAACAGGCCTTTCTGACCTCACCCCTGCCGAGCAGCACAGTCCATGGTCCAACAGCTGAGAGCCACCAGCACTGTGAACTGGGTGATCAGTGGTCACAGTGGGAAGATGTCCTGGCCCCACACATTTCATACTGGGCTGCGGTGTGCATGCCTTAGTCCTTCATCTCTACTGGCTGAGAAGCCGTTGCTGGCTCCTGTGTGTGGACAGGATGTGGCCATGGTGTGTCGTGGGAAACCAAGCACAACACTGAGTCCAGATGCAGTGGAACAAGTTTCTGTCTATATAGGACAGATGCCCCTCGTGCCTCTGCTCACACTGATCTGTCAGGCCCTAGGCTCCCACTGACCTCAGTAAAAATGGCACTTTATAGGGTGATGACCTGTAGAGCTGTTTTGTGTGGGAGTTTTTGGGGTTTGGGTGTGTTTTTTTTTTTTTTGCCGTCTGTTTTCTTCTTTGGGGGCCACACCCAGTAGTGTTCAGGGTTCACTCCTGGCTCTGCACTGGGGATCACTCCTGCTGATGCTTAAGGAACCATATGGGATGTGGGGGATCAAGCGTGGGTCTGCCAGGTAGGAGGCAAGTGCCATTCCCACTGTGCTACTGCTCTAGCCCTTTCACTGATTTTTTTTTGTAATGTCTTAATTTGAAAAGAATATTAAATTGTGGACTTGTCTATTTTGATTGTGTGTTTATGCCTGGCTTATTTTGAAACTTCCTCACGTATGATGTTTATGTCTTCTCTGAGTTCACCTGGTTATATAAAATGGCCTCTGTTTTTGGAGCGGGTACACACCCCATGGTGGTCAGGGACCATGAGGTCCGAGGGTTCAATCGGGTCTCCCGCGTGAAAATCCAAGCCATTAGCTCCATTTTCCGGACCCTGTTTATTCTCTTGCAGACGCTTACTAAGGGGTGAGCATGCTGGAGTCCTTTCCCGGGACATCCCTGCGGGAAGCAGCCGCCCTGGGCCACCAGCAGGGGCACAGGATCCCCTCTGCGCCCGGTACTGTGCAGGGGCAGGGAATCCGGGGATCGATCGCTCGGAGCTCCGCTCGTCGGGCTGCGGCGGCCGGGCGCGCACGGGGATCGGCTGGGAACGCCTGGATGGCGCGCGGAGCGGGGTGCGGGCGCGGGGTCCCTGCGGGGCCGGGGGCGGCGGAGCGGGCGCGGGGATCCCGCGGGGCTGCGGGGGCTGACTTAGGGCCCCCGCGGGGTTGCGTGGGCGGGCGCGGGGTCCCCGCGGGGCAGGCGGGGGCGGAGGACGGAGGGGGGCACCAGACAGAAAGGGTCTCCGCAAAGCCGCGGGCGCGGGAGAAGAGCCCCGTCTCGTCCAGTTTGGGGGCGTCCGTCCCTCACTGCCAGCCTGGGTCCGGGGCTCGAGGCTCTGGGGTCTCTGCGGGCCTGGGAGGCGCGACCACGGTGGTCCCTCCACGCCTCTGGGACTTCACCTCCCGGAGAAGGCGGGGGATACGGTGGCTCTTCCCAAGCTGCGGGAATAGGATTCCCACAGTCTAAAGCGGAGGGACCATCCGGGTTCAGAGAAAAGCCTTTGGGACGCCCCTGCGAAGGGACACACCGAGACTGCGCTTGGGCGCGGCCTGGAGCCTGGCAGGGCCCCAAGTCCAGGATTCCTGCCCCCGCCCCCACATTTCTCCTGCAACTGCCAGCGCGTGGCCCCCGGCGCTCCCCTGCCCAGCCCCCTTCGCATCCAATTGTGTTCTCAGCCGCCTCTGTTCTTCCCTAGGAGCCTGCCCCAGTGCACAGCATGAAGTCACGTCGGAACCCGCCTTTCTTGCCTTGGAGCCCTTCAGCGGCCGCACCCCAGGCCCTAGCTCCCTTCCTGCAGGCGGAGACTCCGTGCCTCATCGCTGGAAACTTGCAGTTTCTCACAGACACACACGCATGGCAGAAGGGAAATCTCCCCAGAAAAAGAGACCCCGGAGAAGTTTATCCGCCAGTAAAACTAAAACAAAGGGCGCACCCTCCATTGTCTCTTTTTTTAACAATGCGCCTCCTGCCAAGTTTGCCTGCCCCGTTTGCTGCCAGATGGTGCCGAGATATGACTTAAACCAGCACCTGGACCAGGGGTGTGTGGGCACTGCTCAGCCCAGCACCGTGGACCCCGGGCATCTTGGTTCAAGGACTTCAAAGGAATCCACCGTGGATCGGAGCCATGTCACCTCCAAACAGCCCCCAGCAGAGACACTAGTGACCCCTGGCCAGAGCGAATCCCCTCCAAAGGGCATCAAACAGAAAACCAGCCCCTACTTTGATCGTGGTAACTTGACATCCCCAAACCGTGACGAGCATGGACTTCCTAGCGTGACAGTCATCCCTCTGGGCAGTCTGTCCTCCAAACTGTCCAGAAGCTACCAAAAAAACAAGAGGTGCATCTCCGAGGAAGAAGGATTTGCCCAGGACAGCCCTCCAGGTGCATCTTCCACGGCCAGGCCTTGCGCCAGGAACGAAGAGAAGAATCCAGCTTGGGAGAACAGTTCACAGAAGGAAAACCTTGCATGTGATTCTCCAGGGTACAGCTCACAGGTGACGGTTGGGGAAAGTGCAGCTGTGTCCCCAAGGCTGGTGGTGTCTCCCCACACCCCTGCCTTGAGTCCCCAGCAGGCACCTGAGTCTCTCTCCCCACATTTAAATCTTGGGACTCAGCTCCAGGCTGCTTCAGAGGGTGCTCTGGCTGAAGTGGCCAGCTCAGACAAGGTGGGGACCCAGGAAGATGTTGATGGCATGGGACCTTCAGAAGCTCAGGCGCGTCTGGAACCTTTGGAGACGGATTCTCATAGCCCTGCATCTGGCGATGCCCAAGAAGGCCCTCTGAGAGGGGACAGCAGCTGCCAGGGTGGTGTATCTGGCCCTGGCCCTTTGGAACCGGTCGATGGTGATGGGGATCTAGGTGTGGCTAGGGTCGCCCCATTGGACCAGCCTTACTACCTGCAGAGTTTCCTCCTGGTGCTGAGGACCGTGTTTGAGCATGAAGAAGACAGGACACTCTTTGACGCACATGAGCAGGCCATGGTGGCCCGGTTCCACCAACTCTCAGGTCATCTGCAACCCTTTGCTCTTTCCACCCAAGTTTTGGAGCTCCTTTCACTGTCTTGACCGGGTGACCACTAGGGGGCACTGTGGTGCCCTGGCTGGGGAGTATCTACCAGGGGGTTTGCCCTCAGCTAAAGAATTATGGGGAGGGGAAGGGGCACAGGGCGGCAGAGAGAAAGCATGGACCCCCCAGTTTGATCCTGGGCACCATGTGGGATGTCGTCCCACCGTTTCCCTAGTACCACTGGGTGTGGCCCTGGCACCCTCATGGACTCACATTAAGCTGTCTTGATCGGTTAGATCAGTGATCACCAGGCGTGTCTCCCAGGCTCCCTGAGCATTGCTTGGGAGACCACCCCCGCACTCCTCCCCCCCAAAAAATAATGGTGTTTATGATTGATAACAGCTTCTACAGTATTCCACCTTACAAGTCAGATTTGGGGTGTAACAGAAGTAGGGTGACGTGGAGAAGTGCCCTTTGCACTTTGAAAGCGTCACACCAGTCAGCTTCTGGTTGGCAGTTTCCACGCCATCTGCTCAAACATGCAAGTCAGAGAAAAGCAACTCAGGGTCTGCAGGTCTGGGGACAGCTCTCCTTCACCTCCTGTTCCCCTCACCTTAGCTTCAGGCCTCTGCCTTTGTGAACCCGAAACTTGTAAGCAAAATTACTACATTTCAAAATAGAGGGTAGAGAGCTAGTCCAGTAGGGAGGGCGCTTGCCTCGCACACGGTGGGCCTGGGTTCAGTGCCTGCCATACCATGTGGTCCTCCAAGCATCTTCAGGAGTGATCCCTGAGCACCACCGGTGTGGCCCGAAACCAAAACACAAGAGTAGTAGCTGGCCGGAGAGAGCTGAGAAGGGTGGTGGGCAGGCGCTGCCTGCTGGAGACCCAGGACCCCTCCTTGGCAACCCATGGTCCCTAGCACTGCTCGGGGTGTTCGCAGATGAAGCACGACAGAAAGATTAAGCCGGTCTTCAATTTCTGGAGCTGCCAGGTGGGGCCCCGTTTCCCGACTTACACCCTCAGCCCCCCAGGTGCTCCCTCCCTTCATTTTCACATGCTCAGCATGTCTCCCCCTTTCTGCAGCGAGTGGGCAGAAACTGTACGTGAGGCTTTTCCAGCGCAAGTTGGGCTGGCTGAAGGTGAGCAAGCTGGAGTACCGGGAGATCGCGCCCGACCTGACCCCTGTGGTCCGGGAGCTGGAGCAAGCCGGCTTCTTGCAGACAGGTAGGCGGGGGGCGGGGGTCTGTGTGTGTCTGTGCTTATCTGTGTGTATGTGCGTATGTGACTGTATTTGTGACTCTGTGTACATTACTGTGTCTGTGTGCATTTGTGTTGTGTCTGTATGTGACTGTGCATATGTAACTGTGCTTATTTGACTGTGCATATATGACTACGTACGTGACTGCATATGTGACTGTACACAACTTTCTCTGTATGTATGTGACTGCGTACATGACTGGGCATACATGACTGAGTATGTGACTGTGCACATGACTGTGTCTGTAGGCATATATAACTATGTGCCTGGGTATGTGATAGTTTGTGTGCTATGTAACTGTGTGCTTATGTGATTTATGTGTGTGCATATGTGACTATGTGCATATGTGACTATCTGTGTACATGACTCTGCTTATGTGACCATGTCTGTGTGTGACTGTTTCTGTATATGTGCGTATGTCACTGTGTGTGCATAAGACTACATGTCTGTGTGTGTACATGACTGTCTGTACATACCTCTGTGTGTGTGTGTGTGTGTGTGTGTGTGTGTGCACGTGCGCGCTGTGTGACTGTGGTTCAGTGGTTTGTGTTTGTGTGATGTGTGCTGCGTATTGTGTGAAGGTACCTGGTGTGTGCTATGTTGTCTAGGGGCCCCAGGGAGTGTTTGCTGGGGGTGAGGCTGTGCAGGAGGGTCGAGCCTGGCTCTTGGGTCCCCTGTGACAGCCTTGGGCTGTGCTTGTGTGTGACAGCTATGGGCCATGCCTGTGTGTAGCGTACATGCGACTGGTGTGCATGCATGGGGTGCCAGGGATTGAACCCAGGTCAGCTGTATGGAAGGCCAGTGCCCTGCCTGCTGAACTCTCTTTGCTTCCCCTCACCCCCCAAAAAACTACTTTAATGTTCTACTTCTTAGAATCTGAGTTGCAAGAACTCTCAGAAGTGCTTGAGCTACTTTCCCTTCCTGAACTAAAAACCTTGGCCAAGACGTTCCATCTGACGAGCCCCGGTGGGCAGAAGCAGCAGCTGGTGGATGCCTTCCTCAGGCTGGCACGGCAGCCGTCCATCTGTGCCTGGGACAAGACCCGGCCTGGAATCAGCGCAGTCATTCTCAAAAGGTTTCACTGGTCCCTATGGTGGGGGGCTGAGTTAAAAATGGTGACTGCAAGGAGCTTGCTTTGCACTTGGCTAAGCTGGGTTTGATCCCAGCACCCCGTAGGGTCCCCTGAGCCCCGCTGTTTCGAAGTGAGAATTTTTCAAGGAGTATCCATCGAGCTTGTTTCCCAAATTGAAGAAGGGGTATTCACCCGAAGGGGCTACCAGCCTGAGCGATGGTCTCAGTGCCCTGCACAGCCCAGATTCAGACCAGGCCAAGTCTGGCACCGATTCCTTATCACTTCCTGAGCAGCGTCTATGCTAGTCAATTTTCTCACTAGCTAAAGCAGCACAGTTTCAGTACAAGGAGCCAGAGGTCAGGCGGTTGTCAACTTCATTGGGTGTAACTTGTCCTTTGAAGAGGGCAGTGTGTAACAGATGTGGGTTGTTTCCAGGGCCCCTGGCCTCAGAGCATCCCACCCCACTCTGTTGGCAGCTTTCTGCTTTTCTGCTTGCATGGGTCACCTCATCTCACAGGTGTGAGCCCTGAGCGCAGAGCCAGGAGTAACCCCTCAGCACTGCCAGGTGTGGCCCTAGACAGCCATCGCCACCAAAATAATAGGACTCATTATTTTTAAAGAAACACTGCCAACACTTCTTAAAAAGTTTATAGTGGGGCCTGAGTGAAAGCATAGTGGGAGAGCGTTTGCCTTGCACGCGGTCAACCTGGGTTCGATCTCTGGCATCCCATAGGGTCCTCCGAGCACCACCAGGAGTAATTTCTGAGTGCAGAGTCTCCTGGGCATTGCTGGGTGTGACACGCCCCCACCCCCATAAAGTTTAGAGCTGTAGTTGTTTTCTTTGGAGGGGGGTTTCTGGTGGTGTTGGGACGTCTCTCCATGCTGTTTGGGGGACTGTGCCATGAGGGAGGTTCACCCAGTGTCTCTGCTAAGCCCTCCCAGCAGTTCCCCGACCCCCGCCATGGCTTCTCCTGGGCTCGCGTGAGCTGGGGTGCTGCTGTCCCGGCCACAGCAGATCTTCTGCCGTCTGTTTTCAGAGCGAAAGCGCTGGTGGGAGCGTCCTTGCGGGTATGTCAGGGCCCTCGGGCCGTGTTTGCCCGCACCCTGCTGCTCTTCTCTCCTGCCGACTCCCTGGAGGAGGAGGATTCTGCCTGTGGTGGCCAGGGGCAACTGTCCACTGTGCTGTTGGTCAACCTCGGCCGTGTGGCGTTTCCCACCTACACCGTCAGCCGGGAGACGCGGATCTTCCAGGACAGGGAGGACCTCATCCGGTGAGACCCCTAAGACTCTGCTGTCCCCGAGTCACCCTAGGCAGCCTGCACTGTAAGGCTGAGTCCTCCGTTTGGCTTGTGCTGGCCTTGGGCCCCTTTGTCCATTTGCATGATGCTTGGGATTCACACTGCACCATGTGGCCTGGACGCACACCCAGGTGCGGGCTCCGGACTGGGGAGTGATGCCGGAATTGCTGCCTGTGGACAAGGGAGGAGGAGTGGGTAGGGGACCTGGTCAAGGCCGGAGAGGGGGGTGTGGAGGACAGTGGGGAGCTTATGATATGCCAGCCCAAAGAAGGCTATGTCAGGACTGGCTGTCACTATTGCCTGTGCCCTGTGGTTGAGACCGCTGGGGAGGGGAAGGGCAGAACTGTGGAACTGAGGGAGAGATGGACACTCAGGGCCTGAGTGACCTGGAGGGGTGGGGAAGCAGGGTGATGGGGGTGCAGAAACCATTCAGGAAGCCGCGAGACACTTCCACAACTCCTGACGCTCCCTTTCTAAATTGACATGTATGTGTGTGCGTGTACTGGAATGAAGGTGTGTGTGCACTGGGACGTGTGTGTATGTGTGTGCACTGGGACGTGTGTGTGTGTGTATGTGTGTGTGCTGGGATGAATGTGTATGTGCATTGGGACGTGGAGGGAGGGAAGGTATGTGTGTGTGTGCTGGGACTTGTGTCTGTGTGTGCCTGTGCTGGGACTGTGTTGGGGAGGTGTCAGCAACATCCGTAATGAGGCACCATGGCAGAAATGAGGCGCCCCAGCAGCCCTTTCTGCCGTGACCCCCTCCTGTCCCTGCTCTGGCCTTTTCCTTTAAACCCTGCTGGTTTTTCATCAAACCTGTCAGAGACAGGATCAAAGTGATGCCCCTACTCACCCTCAGATGAGGGGCTTTGCGAGGTGGGGGTCTCCCAAGCCCAAGTGCCCGTCCTCCTGTGAGATGCTCAGTGGCCTCCCTACAGGTATGCAGCCGCTGCACACCTGCTGAGTGACGTCAGCTCTGCCATGGCCGCCGGCAGCTGGCCCACTGCGCTCCGCCTCTCCCAGCGTGCCAAGGAGGACTGGACGGCCTTGAAGGACCACCCTGCCCTCAGGTGAGGGCACGCCCTGCTGCTTCCCGGTGTCCTCACGCCGCGACCCCTGACCAGGCGTGCTGTCCTTGCTCCCACAGAGCCCATGAGCAGCTGCCCGTCTTCCTGCGCTGCTACACCGTAGGCTGGGTCTACACCCGCCTTGCGTCTCGGCGTGTGGAGATCCTGCAGCGCCTCCACATGCATGAGGTCAGTGCCAAGGTCTCGGGGATGAGCTATGAGGTGTGTCGCTGCTGCTCCGCCTTTCCACCGGCCCAGGAAGCGCCCTGTGCCAGAAGGACTGCTTAGTGGGGCAGCCTCTGTGCCTGGGACTCATTGGTCGTGAGGACAGGGATGAACCCTGAAACCCCAAGTCCCACCCCTGCAGCCTGAGCCTGGCCTCTTCCTGAACGCCAGGTGTACCTGGGGGTTCCCCACAAGTCTCTTAGCTGGAGCCAGCCCTCAGTGCCTGGATCCTGAACGTGATCGTGGACCAGGAAAGGGGTTTTAATTAGCCATGCAGTCAGCCAAGGCCACATACGGGAACCCTGGGGTCATTTTCCATGTGACAAGTGGCATTTTACAAACACTGGCTGACACCAGGGTTCCCGACCCAGGTCCACGAGCCCCAGGATGCTCCTAGGCAGGCTGCTGTGGGGAATCTGTGTCCCCTCTGATGGTGTGCTGAGGAGGAGGGCTGGTTCTTTTCCTGATGTTTCACAGAGATGAACATTATGTGTGATGGGGGGTGGGGGTGAGCTCAGTGATCAGTGTGGACCCCTGGGCTGCACAGCCCCCTGAGCACCATTGGGTACAGCCATGTGCCCCTGGCACCCCTCAGGGGAGCCCAGGCGCCCCCCCAGCATTGCACGGCTCTTGCAGCGACACTTTCTTGGGTCCCGAGCTCTGTCTGGGAGCCCCCCCAAACAAAAATGAAATGGTGAGTCACCTCCTCTGTCGCTGACAGGAAGCCGTCCAGGAGCTGCAGAGTCTCCTGGCACAGAACGTGTATTGTCCAGACAGCAGGGGCCGGTGGTGGGACCGGCTGGCTCTGAACCTGCAGCAGCACCTCAAACGTTTAGAACAGGTAGATCGGCTCTGCCCCGCCCCTCGACAGGCCCCATCCACCTTCGTGCCCCACCCCTCCCAAGCCCCCACCCTCCACAGGCTCCGCCCACCCCACAAGTCCCACCTTCTTTCCTCCCTTCCACCTGCCTCTCCATTTCACTTAAAACCTGTGGGTGCCCTAAACATCACAAAGTAAAGTGAGGCTTTTATTACAAAACAAACTTGTGGGCACGTTCTCAGTGCCTCTACCATCCTGGCATTCTTTTCCAAATGCCCCATTCTGGAGGACTGGGGAGATGCCCCCAGGCAGGGCACAGGCTTTGCAAGGGGGATCAGTCTTGGCACTGTAGCCCTGCCACCAGAGACTCCTCTGGGAGTGGCCCCCCAAACAACCTCTTTTTGTGTGGCTTTTCCACTCCAAGGGGAGTGTCAGGGCGTTGCCCAGTCCGGTGCCCACAGTCTCTGCCTCTCTCTCTGTGTGGGGAGTCAGGGTCTGGGAGTTAAGGAGGAGCAGAGGTGCCATGTGTCTGTGTGGGAAGTGGTAATAGATTCCTCCGCTAGCTGCCCTCTGCCCACACTGCTGTGAACCAGCTCCCCGCCCTGGGAAGTGGTGCTGAAAGCCCTTTTTGGGCGTCCACTTCTGGACACGAGCAGCCAGTCTCATCGCTGGCACTCTGAGGGACTCTGAGCTGGGCGGGCAGGTCTGCCCTGGCAAAGGCACTATCTCACACATATGGAGCTGCTGTGGTGAGCAGGCCAGGGGCACCTGCATCCTGTGCATGTCTGCGTCAGTCCCAGGCTCCTGCCAGCCTTGCCATGTCTCTGCCTGTTTTTCCAACAGCCCCGGAGGTAACTCTGGGTGAGGCGTGTGGTAAAAACACCAGTGGGTGTGGACCGGGATGAGCTGCCAAGTTCGCCTGGTGCCAGTGGGCTGCCAGCTGGGCAGGCTGCTGTGAGCGGAAGTGCCGGGCCACCAGGGCAGCTGGGCTGGCCAGACAGTACCAAAGGGTTCCATGCCGTGCCCGCTTTCTTCCAAGGGAGAGAAGGTTGTAGATTTGCGCCTTCCTGCCACTCTGCACACCATTTCCGCTCTGAACCTCGACTTCTCTCAGATGAGCAGGATGCAGCCAACCCCAGCCATCTCAGCCCGGGCCCCTTCCTGACCACACCAAGAATCTTACCAATTCAGTTGCTTGTGCATGGGGGCATTGGTGCCTGGGGGAACAGACGTTCCTTCCTGCCCCACACCCGCAGCCTGGGCCCCTGGGGTGAGTCCCCGGGACCAGGCTTCGTGGCACCCTGACGGTGGGACCCACCCTGGGCCAGGCTGTGGAGGTCATTGCAGCAGGCCTGGCGGACCCAGCAGTGCGGACGGGTCATCGCTTGGCACTCTGGCAGCGGGCTGCACGCCTCAAGGAGTCTTCGAGCGGCCGCAGGTTCCGACAGCAGCTTGGGCAGCTGCCAGCAGTCACTGTGCAGGATGTCAAACATGTGAGTCAGCCACACCCTTTGACCTTAAGTGCTTGGGAGCAGGATTGGAGGGGCTTCACACCAGGGGTGCTCAGGGGATTCTCCTGGCTAATGCTCAGAAATCTTCCCGGCAATGCTTGGGGTTGGGGAGAATCTGGGTGGGGCCCAGGATTGATTGAATAGCTCATTTTGCTGCCCGCCAGCCTGTGATGTCCATGATCAGGGAGCTGGAGCCATACCACAGTGGGGAGGGCACTTGCCTTGCACGCGATTGACCCAGGTTCGGTTTTTTTTTTTGTTTTTTTTTGCTTTTTGGGTCACACCCGGCAATGCACAGGGGTTACTCCGGGCTCTGCACTCAGGAGTTACTCCTGGCGGTGCTTAGGGGACCATATGGGATGCTGGGGCTCGAACCCGGGTCATCCACGTGCAAGGCAAACGCCCTACCCGCTGTGCTATCGCTCCAGCCCTGACCCGGGTTCAGTTCTTGACTCCACATACTGTCCCCTCTGCCTCTCCAAAAGTGAGCCTTGAGTGTAGCTGGGTGTGATCCACAAAGAAAAGAAGGGGGCCAAGATAGTGCAGGGTAAGGGGCTGGCCTTGCACACAGCCAGCCCTAGTTCGATCCCTGGCATCCCCTGTGGTCCCTCAAGCAATCAGGAGTGATCCCTGAGCACAGGAGCCACGAGTCAGCCCTGAGCACCACCAGGTGTGCACCCTTCATCCCCCCCAAAACGAAAAGAACACGATGCTCTAGGATTCTCTCAGGCCATGAGCTCACAGCCGCCTCTGTGTCAGGTGACCATCACGGGCCGGCTGTGCCCGCAGCGTGGGGTGGCCAAGTCGGTGTTTGTGATGGAGACGGGAGACCCTGCTGCCCCCGCCACCGTCCTGTGTTCGGTGGAGGAGCTCGCTCTGGCCTTCTACAGACGCAGCGGCTTCGACCAGGGTGAGTACAGGCTGAGGGTGCCCCCGTGCATGTTGGTGGGCATGGGTGCCCTTCCTGTGCCAAGGCCCACAGCCCCAGAAAGCAGGAATATGGGTGCTGGGTGGGACAAGGGAGTTGAGAGCCACAGGCTTCTGGGAGGCCGAGAGACCCTGCTCTCACCTACTTCAATCCATGCCTTCATTTGCTTCTGGGTAGGACTTCTGGGGGCCACTCCCAGGAATACTTCGCCAGCCAGGCCAGCGACTCAGCATGAGGAGCGTGAGGATGTGGTCGATTTGGGTCCCATTATCACCGGGATTGAACTGGGGCAGCCCACGTCCTCTCTTGGCCTGAGTCTTAGGTTTTGAGTTTGATTTCCCTGTTACTACTAAGATGTTTGCCCTCAATAGTCACAGATGTGCACAGAGAATGAGAATGGCCTCTAATAGCTTCAAGGGTGAACTGGGAGGTCGGGCAGGTTGTGGGCCGGAGCTGGCGCCGCAGGTGGCTGAGGTGGTTGTTGCTGTGCATGCCCTCATCTCAGGCATCCATGGGGAAGGCTCCACCTTCTGCACGCTCTATGGCCTCCTGCTGTGGGATGAGATCTTCATGGATGGGGTCCCAGACGTCTTCCGTAGCCCTTATCAGGTAAGGCCAGACTCCAGGATCCGCTCCGTAGGCCATGGGTCTGAACCACCCCCAAACTCACCTCTTGGGCCCTTTATGTTTTGGGGTCAGACCTAGTGGTGCTAAGGGCTCACAACTCTGCTCGGGGGCCACGTGCAGTGCCAGGATTCGAACCAAACCAGGCTCATCAGGCACCTTAACTTTGTGCAACCTCTCCAATTCCTGATTTTGGGGGGGGGGGGGGGTTGTGGGGACACACCCAGCTGTACTCGACGTCACTCCTGGAGGAGTTCAGGGCTCAGGAGACCCTATGGGCTGCCGGGGATCAGACCAATGACTGTCCTGGCCCTCAAGCTGCTTTCACTCTGGCAGTTTTCTCCTTTGAAGGAAAGGGGGCATGAGCACCCACCCACTGGGACCATAGCCAAGTGTCAGGGGTGGGGGGTCGTGTGGTCTCAGCCCTGCCCACCGCCTCCCCCATGGCACAGGCCTCCCCACTGGACCTGTGCACTGACAGCTTCTTCGCGAGCCGGGCAGCAGCCCTGGAGGCCCGGCTGGAGCAGCTGCACCGTGCCCCGGCCGAGCGCTTGCAGGCCTGGCTGGCAGCCACGTGGCAGGCCCAGGAGGGCCGGGCAGCATCGGTGGTCAGCTGGGAGCGCTTCGCATCCCTCCAGCAAGCACAGGTGAGCGCTGTGCCAGCCCGTCCGTGTGTATGAGCTGCATGTATGTGCACACGAGAATGCACGTGTTCTCTACACATGTGTACAGACACATGCGTGCAAGCCCACCCAGATGTCATTCAGGAACTTGTCAGTGTCCCCTGCCTTGACCCTTGACTAGGCCCTGGCACCCCCCAGTCCCCCTTTCTCAGTGGCTGCCGAGGCCCTGCGGGGCGGGAGTATGAGTGGGGAGGGGAATTCATGCCCCCAGGAGCCCCGTCTGTCCTTGCTGAGTTGTACCAACTGATGTCTCGGGGTGCTGACGGCTGGACTGGTGCCCTTGCAGGACCTGGTGTCCTGCCTGGGGGGCACGGTGCTGAGTGGCGTGTTCAGGCGCCTGGCGGAGGACTTCCGGCACTGCCGAGGGGGTCTGCCAGACCTGGTGGTGTGGAGCTCCCGGGACCGTCGCTGTAAGGTGAGGAGCAGGCCGGTCAGCAAGCACTGAGCAGGGGTGGACTGCACACTGCCGGTGTGACTCCCACCCCAAAAGGACCTCCGGCATCAGTGACCCCAGCACCCTTTCAGGTACATGCTAACTACGCGCCTTCTCTTCCAGTTGGTGGAAGTCAAAGGCCCCAGTGACCGGCTCTCCGCAAAGCAGATGATCTGGCTGGATGAGCTGCAGAAGTTGGGTGCGGACGTGGAGGTCTGTCATGTGACTGCAGTGGGCGCCAAGGGCCACGGGCTCACGTGAGCTGCAGGCCAGACGCTGTGGTCTACATTTGACTTCCTGTCATCAATAAAGCAGGCAGTCCCGACACAGCTGTGTCTGCTCTGTGCCACCCCAACTCACAGGGTAGGGAATGAACCTTTACTGAAGGGGGCGGAGTGGTGCTCCCACAGGTTCTGTGCACAGGGAACCACGTGGAGTGCTGGAGGTGGAGACCTTAACCACTATGTTCTCTGGCCCTCATGGCCCACCAAGGCAGCTGGCAGAGAGGATGCCAAGATTTCAGTGAAATGGGTTTCAAGGTGTGAGGTATGGGGGAGAGGGGAGCAGATGGAGTGTTTCGGACATCGACCGCTCCAGGGGACAAAAGCCCACCTTTGCTTGGACAGCACTGGTCAGGGTCAGTTAAGGCCTACCCACTGGGCCTGCTGTCCCTTCTCGGAATATAAATTGCCCCCCCACCCCACTGAAGCCCCCCTGCCACCTCCATGACCCCTGAGCTACTCCTGTGCACCCCCCACCCGGGGCAAGTACCTACTCTGGGAACTAGCCTGAGACAAGACAATGAACTGCAGATGACCCTCGCGGGATTTTATTTGCGGCCACGGTTCCTCAAATGCTCACTTGTGGCCCTTGTGCAGCCTGTGCCCCCCACGGGCCCATCCAGCTTAGGCACGAAGGTGCATCTGCATCCAGTCCGGACTTCCAGAGCTCCTGCTCGGCAGGCAGAGGGCAGATGCGTGAGTTTCCTCGCTTCGATCGCTCAAACTTCAAGCTGGGTGTCTGGGCTTTTAAAACTGGCTTCCACCACAGAATGTAAGAGCCATCCTCTTTTGCTTGGGGCCACACTCAGCGATGTTCAGGGATGATTCCTGGCTGTACTTAGGGGTCGCGCCTCGTGGGGCTCAGGAGACCTTAGGGGGTGCCATGGATGGAACCCTGGTTGTCTCTGCCTGAAGGGCTCGCTGTGCTCCCTTCTAGTCTCAACGCCATACACTTGCAGGATCCCTGCCACACTCCGGAGAGCTGGCCACAACTGGCACTGCACCTTTCACACTGTGCCCGTGACCTCATGACACAGTGATCATCCAGGCGCAGCTGCCTGGCAAAACAATGCTTATCGTACAAAAAGATGCACTCATTACTTCCCAACAGCATTAATAGTACCTGATCTTTGTGATCTTGTGCATTAAAAAAATATTTAAAAAAGCGGAAGTCATGTCTCAGGAGAGAAAAATATTTGAGAAGGAAATGATTTGCCCTCCCCCAAAATACCAAATTTACAACAATCTGTAATAATACAAAGCAGCTTCACGAAGAAGGGCCGAGGAAGACGACTGTCCAGACTGTCCCTGGCAGGCATGCTGGCCTATAAGGGCACGGGTTCCCACCAAGGGCTTTAGAATGGTTTGTGGCTCATACCATGCATGGAAACCTCCAAAGTCCTTCTCTTCAAGGCAATAGGTTTGCAATAACTTTGGATTCATGCAAGGGATGTTCCGAAGGGCCTGTGTGGGGGCTTCTGTCCCTCAAAGTCCACAGACGTTAAGATGCAGAGAAACAGCCCATTACATACAAAGGCACAGCATGGGGGAGTTTGTTTTAGAAAAGGAAGCAAGTGACATGGCAGCGCTGAAAGAAGGCAGTGTAAGAGCCCAGTAGAACACCCCCCTCCCCATCTTCCAGACAAGGAATGGGGTACATGTGGGGTGGGGCATAGGAGCTGCATGTATATAACACCCTGAAAACAAGTAGCTGAGACCAGGCTGTGCCCGTCTGTGTCTCAGCCTCCCCCTACGTTCCTGCAAGAACACCTGGGTACTCTCCTCAGCAACGCCCTGGAGCTGCACCCACCTGGGTACAGGTGCTCACTGCAGGGCCACACAGCGGGAGTGCTGCCAGGGGCTGGCATGGAGCAGGCAAATATGCCAGTATGTGCCTAGACAGCAGTGCCACCTCCCACAGGCTTGTGAGGACAGGAATGTGGTTCTGAGGACCCCTGGCTACTGCTACGACACTTGCTGTAAAAAGCTGTGTCCTCTATTGAAACAGGTTGTCCGAACACCCTGATTTAAGGAGGGGGAAAAAACCCACATTTGACTCAGGCATTGGCTCAGACATGGGCACTCGGGCCAAAGGCACTTCTGCGTTTCTACTATTACGGTGAACGCTTTAGAAGTCAAGGGCGCGTGTTCCACAAGAACAGCCACGTTATGAGCTGCAGACAGTGGCCGCTGACAAGCATGGCCTTGGAGCCCTGGGCTGTGAAGCATGTGACCGCTTCGGAGGCTTGTCTGGGGCCGGCGGTGCAGGCCTGACTGGTCCTCATTGTGCTCTAAGCTCTCCCAGCGCCTACTCTGGGGGGATGAGTCTGACTAAGGCCCAGCAGAGAACCGGGGAGTGACAAGTGACCACACACAGCCCTGTGCGCGTGCTTGTGGCAGAGCAAGGCGCAGGAGTACAGACAGGAAGCAGACAGGACATTGTGGGCTGGCAGCTCCCACCCCAAGGAAGTCTAATCGGACCTTTTAAATATTAGTGCAAATCCCAACTCTCCTGCCTGGCTGGACGCAGCGCAAATCAATCTTCGTTCGCAAGAGTTTCAGTCGATAACCAGATCTTGGCCCCGCTCAGAAACTTGCTCAGCGGTGTCCCCAAGATGCTGCGTCGGCAGAAATTGCCGATGGGAGAGAAGGGGAAGGAGGAAGAGAGGAAGTCGGGCGTCCCCGAGGCCTGCGGGCCACCACTGGCCCGGAAGTACAAGTGGCTCTGCTCCTGCCCAGCCAAGCCCAGCTCCAGGGAGCCAGCACGGGGCTGTCGAAGCGTCCTGCCCAGCATGTCCACCTCATCGGCCAGCAGAGAGAGCTTGTGGAAGGCCGTGATGAAGCCCCCGAGGTGGATCTGTGTCTCAGGGACCCAACGGAAGTAGCAGAGCTTCCAGAGTTTGATGTGGGGGGCAGCAAGGTGTGGTAGGAGAACGCCGTGCAGGTCCACAGGCCTGGAGCACCACTCGCGGAAGTACGCCTCCATCCCCTCGCTTGGCCTGTCCCTGTCAGTCTGTGGTGGTGGCGGCGGCCTGGTCCCAAGCACCAGTGAGTTCCTCCGCACCAGCGGCTCAGGGTCGCTGATGAGCCCGTTCTTAAGGGTGGCCGGCAGCCCTCTCAGTGTGGAACTGTAGCTCTTCTGGAGAGGAGACACAGGGTCAGCAGGGCCAATCTGCAGCATCCCTGAGTGGGGTGTTTACTGCTTCTGGGGCCACATGGACGGAAATGGACGAGACTGAGACTTGAGCCCACAAAGGCATCTCCCTGTCTTGGGGCTTCCCTTGCACAGAAAGATGAGACAGTGGAGACTCAGGGACAAGGAAGCCAGGGGCAGCCACTCCTTCCTGCTGGGCCTGCCTCCCCTCCCCTTTGTGGTCTTGTGGCCTCTCCCCAGCCCTATGGGGGTGCAGAATGGAAGTCAGGATGTGCCAATAAATTCCTGCAGCCAGGAAGGGCCAGGAAGACAAGCTGGTGGTGGGCACATAGCAGGGGTCTGAGCTCAGCAGAGATTGGGGTGCTGGGCCCCGGGGTGGCTGCCAGCACACTCACCTTAGTCCGCTTGAAGACCTTGGCAGCACCATTGTGCATGCAGGGCACGCGCTTTCCCACGTAGGCAGGGTTGTGGAACAGGCTGCAGTCCTTGGCCGTGAACTGCAGCGACCAGTCCCAGACCGATGGGAACTCCAGGCCCTTCTCATGGCCCAGCTGGATGTTCTTGCTGATGGCGAATTCCTGCCAAGCCAGCAGCACCTGGTCACGGTCTCCATCGCTCTAGGCTCGTCTCCGAGCTCATCCCACAGGGCCACGGGAGCAGCTCGGGAGCAGGTGAGCCGAGCACAGCCCCCTGTCCCTCCTCCTCCCACCCCTGCACGCCTGAATCTGCACTCCTCCCTACATGTGGCTGAGAGCCAAGTGTTCGGGCGGGCTACCCTAGGGACCATCACTGCCTCTCCCGGGCTCAGCCTTTTAGGAATCCCTCCACACTGGGAGTGCAAGTGACGCGGCCTCTTACCGTGCTCTGCTGCACACGCTGGTGGGGCGAGTTGAAGAGGAAAGTGCCGAACAGGGAGAGGCGGGAGCTATCCAGCACCACGGCCAGGTACGTTTCTGAGAACTCGAAGGCAGCGGGCTGCTGCTGCAGCAGCTGCCACGTGGCGTCCAAGAAGAGCAGGAACAGGGGGGACTGGCCAAGGGAGGCAGAGAGGGCACGTGAGGATGGGCAGACCCAGGCACAGCAGCAAGAGAAGGAAAAGTGCAGCCACCCTGTGTGGGTGATGCGACATGCTGCGTCCACGGCCAGGACAGGGCCAGCTGGGACTCCAAGTGCTCAGCGTGCAGCAACCGACCCACCTCAATCCCCGGCACCCCAGTGCCTGGCCCAACTGGCCAAGAACCTCTGGAGCACTGCTTAGAAGCCCTTCCTATCTCCAAAACACAACAGCCACACAGACCAATTCATGTTCAGAGCTTCTGCACTGACTTCTCGGGCTCAATCATGTCCCAAGAAGGGTAGTGGGCCAGTGGGCACTCCGCGTCCCGCCGGGGCCCTGGCACTCTGCGAGTGAAGCAGACCCTTGAACCCACCACCCACAGAGACCTGCAGAGACTCCTCCGCCTCCCCCCATGTCCTTTCCAAGGGGGATCACTCTGAATGCTAACATGTGCACCAGCTGCTGCCACGAGGACCAGAAGAGTGTCGCCTCCAGGAGGCACCAGCTCAGATGCCCCTCGGGTGATCTCAGAATGGAGCCCTACCGGCCTGCATCGTCCTCGCAAGGATAGCGACTGGGACTCTAAGCCAGCACCAAGCCCTCACCTTCCGGGCCCCGCGTGCATGAGGGTAGTAGCCATGGAGCGCTGGGCCCTCACCTCTTTCTCCGACCTCTTCAAGTGGTTGCACCGGTCGAGGAACGGATACGCAGCCATGACCCATTCCTTCTGGATCAGACTCTGGAAGCCCGTGATGGTGCGGAAATAGGGATCCAGCATCACTTGGATGAGAGAAGCCACGACACAGCTCAGGTCTCTCCCCTCCTCCTCTGTGAGGGACAGCAAAGGAAACAGTCACCACCTGGAACCAGGCTGAGAGAGGAAAGGGAAGGGGTGGGCGACTCTAGACTCTGGTGCACCCGGGTGAGGAAATTTACTGGCTTCCAGCAACTGAGCACTGTGACACTTCAGTGTGGCCAGTGGTCTCCTGGCATCAGTCACAGAAATCGAAAGAAAACTGCCACTAATATCTTGTATGAGATGTGAAAGTTTTATCAAAATAGGAACAAACCAAATCATCTCAAGGATTAAGAAATTACCCCAGGAATGCAAAGATGGCTTAGTATCTGAGGGTCAGTACGTTTCGTTACAGTCAAGAAAGGCTAAAAACAGCACAATAGTGTCACTGGGAATGAGAAATGCTTGGTGAAAATCCAATGCTCATTCTGGATGAAAAATCAGCAAACTAGACCCCAGGAGGGAAGGAAGCATCTCCCGAAACCAACAACCAGCAACAGTCTCAGCAGAGGAAGATCTGGCTTCTCTCCAGAGACCAGGACAAGCCGAGGCATCTGCCAGCCACAAAGAAATAGTGGATCTCGCCGGACAAGTAATGACCAGAGAAGAAAAAGTGATCACTGTTATTACTGAGTCGAGACTGTCTTCAAAGAGATCCGCGGGCTAATGGGGCTGGAGCGATAGCACAGCAGGTAGGGCGTTTGCCTTGCACATGGCCGACCCGGGTTCGATTCCCAGCATCCCATACGGTCCCCTGAGCACCACCAGGGGTGATTCCTGAGCACAGAGCCAGGAGTGACCCCTGTGCATTGCCAGGTGTGACCCAAAAAGCAAAAAAAAAAAAAGAGACCCGCGGGCTCAAAAGTATTCCTATCAAGATCACAGTGTGCTCTTCCGCAGATTCTGAATTTTACAGAGACACAAAGGCCTCAGCAGAGCCCAGACAATGTAGTCAGGCCAAGAGACAACAGTCTGGCACTGTCCTTCCCCCTGAAGCTTTGAAGTATCTGCCTTGCTAACAGCAGCTCCGTCTGACAGGCATAGACACTGATCTATACCCATCAGTAGCAGCACAATGCAGTCACACACTGTGCACTGTGAATGAATATAAAGCTATTGTGTCCTCCGTTTGATCTGCAAGTTAGAAATCTATTACCTGCCCAACTGTATTATTTAATTCAGGCCACTTCTTGACATCAAGCGATTTTTTCCTTCCAGTGTCACAATCCAGCGTGTGCCAGAGCCAGATTATAGTTTAATCACAGTCTGCAGCTTGAGCATATTAGACAGCTAGGTCAGGGAGAAAGGAGATTCTAGGGAACACTCTGAAGATTCAGTGAGGGCGTGAGCCACTCCAGGATGGCCAGGACCCAGCCAGAAACTGACCCCACATAGTCATGATGAATGTGACCTACGGCCACCAGGGTGACCTGTCAGCAGATGGCTGCAGGCACCAAGTGCTCAGTGATGGCCCTACCTTGAAGGACGACAGACAGACGCCTGCCTTCGAGCACATACACGAGTTCTGCTGAATGTTTAAGGAACATCCTGGACAAAGAAAGGGAGAGACACCATTACAGTCAGATTTCCAGCCCCACCCTTCTGGAGTATTAACAGTTGGCTGCCTGCTGCTGCGTTTAGGCATTACTAAAATTCCTGACATCAAAGCGGACCATTCGTGACATGGAAAATATTCTCGATGACCTTTGTAATGTCTTCAGCATTTATGAGTTTTTTAAATTTTATTTTGGTTTGGGGGCCACACCCGGTGGTGCTCAGGGCTTACTCCTGGGGCCACTCCTGGGGAGCTCAGGGAAGTATGTGGTACTGGGGATCAAACCCAGGTCAGCCACGTGCAAAATAAATGTCTACTTGCTGCACTGTCACTGTAGCCCCCAGTAATGATTTTTAATAGCTCATTGTGATTTTGTGTTTGTCTGGGGACAACATCTAGAAGTGCCCAGGGGCTTACTGTGATCAGTTCCTGGCTCTATGATCAGGAACCACTTTTGGTGGGGCTTAAGGGTGGCATGATCAAATCAGGCTGGCCATATGCAAAGCAAGTGCTCTGCCCACTGCACTATCACTCTGGCCCCTAGACGATCTCTGTACCTTGTGGGAACGCAGTCTTTTCAGTTAAGCAAATGGCCAGAGAGGGAGCAGGAAAGAGAGCGAGCTCAGAGCTTTGCCTATGGGAGCTCAGGTTTGATCTCTGGCATTACAATGTCCCCCCAGCAGCACCAGGTATGGTCCCCAACCAAAAACTACAAGATAAAAGAAAGAGGAACAAAGCTGTACAAACCTCACATATTCTAACCACCGAGTACTTTCCAGTGAAGAAAACCACTTCTCCTCAGTCTCTTCAAAAGGCTCTGTAACAAATATAGGTGTTACACAGAGAATTGCATGTTCAATGCAATCACACAGAACATACACAGAGAATGTAACAAATAGGATTTACATGCACACAGAATTGCGCATTTGATGCTATTACACAGACCATGTTTTAAGTTGTGAAAAACTCAATTTTGCAAACTATGTCAGAACTCCAGCAGGAGTCAGAATATTCAGAAACAGTAAGTCGGCACATTTGCCCTTCGTGCATGCTCAAGAAGACAGGCAGCATGGAGGTTCACCAAGTCTGTACCCCTTTCCCAGCTCCTCTGGGTGAGCTGGGAGTCCCCGGGTGCCCTGCCCTGCAGAAGCGAGGGCATGTGTCCAATCTGGTCATGCCCACCACCGCTCCCCGCCGTCTCGCTCTGAGACTGCCCTGGTTGGGAATGACCCTTCCCCGGGACATGTGCTGATTCCCTCAGGGCCCCACCTTGTCAGGTCACCCCCACCTCACCTCTGAAGCACCATAAAAGCAGGGGCACACACTTGCTCAGCCGTGGGGTACCTGAGCCCTACCCCGAGGACCCTGGGACAGTCCTCAGAACTGGCCACGCTTCTGCCATGGGCCTGCCTACTCAGGGCAATTTTGTGCTGCTGTCTGGTGCAATGGAACTCAGTGGCTCTCACACAAGCTCCATGCCCAGCCCTCGGTGGACATGCCCCAGAGACCCTCGGTGGACGCGTCTTCCTAAAGTCACCCACGCTTCCTTTCCTAAGCCCTTCGCCCCTCAGACGATAAAAGCTGTCCCACGGGTGTCCACACAGACAGGGCCCCGTCACCACCCACAGGCACAGAGTTACCATTGACACACAGGTGCTTCAGCCGCACAAAGGCCGCCTGGACATCCTGGATGCTGGGCAGGGCCTGGTCCAGGTCCGACTTGTACACGTCGCTCCTCTGGGGGTGGCTCTTTGTTACCGCGTTACAAATCCTAATGAACAGAGTCCTTTTGGCACCTCTCCTGTGTCTAGTGGCCTGGGGTGCTGAGCACAGTGGGACCCGGGGCCCCGCGAGGACTGCATGACATGGCAGAGCGGCTCCCAGGAAGAGGTCAGCACAACGGGCGCCCGAACACAGGAGCAGGCCCTGGAGGGAGGGTGGCCCTGAGGCTAGGTCGTGCAAAGGTCCTGGGCACACCTTGCCTGGTCACACATACCCAGGAAAAAGGTCAGTGGGGCCACGAGGAATGGAAGGCCGCATGTGGGGACAAGACTTGGGTGAAGGGACCCAGTGACCACTGTCAGTATACAAGAAAAAAATGAACAGAAATTATTTGAAGCCTCCTGGCTTCGCGGCACGACCACAGGCTCCCACCCGGCCCAGCTGCCCTGGGAGAAGCCCAACAGTCACACGCAGAGGGCCAACACGGCACAGCCCCAGGGACGGTGGGAAACGGGGACAGAGGCGGACGGTGGGGCCCCGGCTCAGACACTATGAGGAAGAGGAGCAGACACAGAGGCCCGGGGGCTGTAGGGGGAGAAGGACCATGGGAACACCACGGCCTTTGTGACGAGCAGGGGCTCGTGGCTCATCAGAAATGCCCACTGTCCCACAGAAGTCTGATCTATGTAAGCGTCGGGGAAGCTCTGCACGTCTGTCACAGTGGACCAGCTGCCCTTCAACAGACAGCCCGCCCCGCATTCCCGCAGCCCACCTAGTCCACCCCGGCCCAGGCCAGAGCCTCTCCCAGGAGCACCTCGGCCCAGCCCGCCACGTCAGTGTCAGTCCCAGATCCTCTCCCGGGAGCACCTCACCCCGCCCTGCCCAGAGCTTGGTGCGCTCCCGGAGCACCAAAGGCCGCTCACCGCTGGTCGATCTTCCGCCGCTGCAGCGCATCCTTGATCAGGGCCATCCGCACCAGAGCGCTGCCGTTGGCGTGGCTCCAGCTCCAGAGCTGGGGAAAGCAGAAGCTGCACTGAGCGGTCGGGGTACGGGCACCCGCACGCGCCAGGAAATGTGCGAGGCCTCACTTACAGGCGTCCTTCTTCCCACGAAGGAGTGGGCAAAGATCTTGAGGTCCTGGTCCGCTAAGGAGCTTGGCACCACGAAATACTCAGGCAAGCTGGAAGGAAAGAACGGCCGAGGTCAGAGTGGCCCACACGCAGAGAACCAACCCGCAAAGGGGGACTGGACAGGAACTTTCTCACACAGGCCAGAGGAGCCAGAGGCAGGAGGGCAGGATGCGGGGGTGCCCCCTGGTGAGCAAAGGACTGATTCGGGAACTTTTACCCCAGGAAGACATTTTTGGGGGTGAAGCCCATGGTGCTAAAGGGTTCTGGTGGGGATGAAGGGCCCAGTGCCAGGGAGGCTGAAGTCCTGATGAGGCAGCAGTGGGCAGGACAGGTGCCCAGCAACACCCCAAATGCAGTGGTGTGGAACCCCCAGAACCTGAACCAAGAATGAAGACTTGCATAGGACACACAGGAAACAGAGGGACCAGGAAAACGTGTGCGGCAGGGGACAGACCCAGGGGCTGGGCGTGGGGGTGACGGGGAGGGACAGACCTAGGGGCTGACGTGGGGGTGACAGGGAGGGACAGATCCTCCCTGTGACAGGGGTTATGTGGCTTGAATAGACCAACACAGAAGACAAAGCTGGCACCACTACTAAAGTACCAGTGCTTCCACTTCTCTCAGACCAGACCAGAAAGCAGGCTGAGGAGAAGACATGCCCATGCCTTCCCCTGGGCCCCAACCCTGAGAACCAGACCAGGGGGATGAGGATGACCAAGAAGGGCCCGGGGCCCCATGAGCGCCACTTGGGAGCCCCCGAAGGACCACGGGCACCACTCTCCCCGTTGTGCAGGGACTCAGCGTGCCCGAGTGCCCACATGAATGCAGACTCCAGCACCATGACCAGATAGATTCCGGCCACCGCAGCCTCAACTCACCAGGTGGATACCATGTAGCCCTCATTGATGGAGCACACACGCCACCCGGACGCACCCGTCCTCTTGACTTCGCGGTCCCAGTCCGAGTAGGTCTCAAACAGGGGCGTGTGCGGGCCGCTGCCACCTCCTGAGGGCACACCGTTCACTCTGTTGGCTATGACAGAGCAGAGGCACCATCAGCAACTGTGTCCACACATACACTCCTGCACTGCCACCGTGCAGGATCCCTGCTTTCCCAGGATCTCTGCCCTAGGGTCTCACCTGGCTCTGCCCGCTCCCTGGCCTACTGCCTGTGGCTCCGACACAAGGAGAATCCAGCCCTGCGCCCAACTCAAGCCCCTGCACCAGTGACCTGCTCCGGCCTATCTGTGTGCTCGAGCTCCTGCATCCCTGGATGACCCTCACCGGCCCATCTGTGTGCTGTTTTCTCCCCGGCACCTGGTGGCTCTCAGTGTAGCTCCACCTGTGGTTTCCATGGTGGGTCCAGGCACACCCCCAGGTTAAGGGGGGACAAGTCTACGTGTGTCCCTCCTTCTGCCATGGCACAAACAAGGGGCAGGCTATCCCTGTGCCCGCCACCTCTTTCTGAAGCTATCCCAACTGTCCCTGGTCTCGACTCCCTTCTCCACTGTTATTTTTTTCACACATTATGCTAACTTGGGGCTCCTCGACTCAATTTTCTCCTGATAAATCCCCAGGGGCTCTTCGCACACCCCCACATACACCCCCCTAGCCACAACCAGATGAGGACCTGAGCGGGCAGCACTGGGAGTCCTTAGCAAGAAGCCTAGAAAGAGGCAAAAGCGGCCCACAGCGACAGAGTGACCAGCTCTCACAGGGGCCACCTGGGATCACACTCCCCTGGGCACTCGCCTCTAGATGTGTGTCCCTGACATACGTTCTCAGGTGCCGCCCCCTCACCCCAATTCATCATGTGCACTTCCTGGGAATCAAACGAACCTGCAGGTTCTTCCGGGGAGTCCTCGCATCACATGACCACACACACACAGACATACGCGACATACACAAAGGTGAACACATGCACAGACATGCAAACACAAATGAACACGTGCACACAAGTGAGTACAGGCAGACACACAGATTCAAACACAGATACACACACACAGAGACACAGGCAAAAGCACACCCGCTCCTTGGTGGCACATGTCTGGGAGCTTGGGGTAAGCTTCGATGTTTTCAGGAGCGCCCTGCAGGGTCGGGACTTCTGCCACCTCTGCCCACTGCCCAACCTTTCCAAGCTTCAGGCAAGAATTGCTGAGAGCAGGGCCCAAGCACCAGGACGGCGCGGAAAGCAACTCAGGGAAGAGCAGTGTCCTGGGTCCTGAGACTGGAAGGAGATCCTGATCGGGCTCAAGGGCACTCGCGATTCAAGAGAGCTGTCCACCCGCCAACAGGATCCAGACAGTTCCCACCCGGAGCATCAGGAACTCAGAGGCGGCACACACCTGTGGAACCAGGGCCATGAAAACACGACGGTACCTCTGTGGAACCAGCTGCCACCGATACAAATAGAAAAGATGCATGTAGTCAGCTGAGCGGGCCCACGCCAGGCCAGGTCCACGGCAGACCACATGACCACCACCACAGAAGTGAACAGACGCACGCAAAGGGCTCCCTAATCCCACACGGCACCACGGCCGAGTCCAGAATCAAGTATTGGTCAGTGTGCTGAGTGAGAAGGCCTGGCCAGCAAGCTGTGTTCTCACGGCACTGCCAGGACTGAACCCAGGGCCTCTCATGCCAGGCACATGACCACCCGAGAGTGGATCCCTGTATATGAGACTTCCTTTGGACAAAATCAAGCCCGAGTTCCAACCAGACCCAAGAAACGCTTCCTGCACAGGACAGGTCATGCTTGCCTGGGCCCTGTCCACCTGCCCATCTAGGCACCAAGGCAGGGCCTCCGACCAGCTTGGACGCTTGTGCGGGGACAGTGCGCCTCAGGACTGGGCAGCAGCCAGAGTCTGGCCTTGGCACTTGTCCTTCTGAACACCTTGAAGACAGCCCCCGAGGTCTGTGGTCTGCTCTGTGAGGCTGAGGCGGTCACTATCGGGGTCCTCATGGCACAAAGTTCCCTGAGCATCGCCAGGCACAGGCCTGGAGGGAGGTGCTGGGCCCTGGTAGAGCTGCCCGCCTGCTGGCCAAGTCTCCTAGGCAGGGCCCCTCTCCAGGACCAGGGAGAAAGCCAGGACCATGGTCCCTGCTGACCCATGCCACGCTGCAGCTTTACTGGACATCTGGAACACTGCTGGGGCTGGGGGGGGGCCACTGATGCCGTGCAGCCGAGCAGGAGAGCCCAGGCTGCCCATGGCCAGCAGGAGATGCCAGGAGGAGCCTCCACCTCCCCGTCCTAGTTATACACACAGCCTCACACCTCCCTACCTGCCTGCCTGCAAAAGGACCATCTAATCCTGGCAGCTGGTCAAGGAGAAAAGTTAGGAGAGAGGCCCTGGGGCCTCACTCCCAGATGGATGATTCCGGCACGGTGTGAACATTTCATCTCCTTTGGGTCTTAAAGATGCCATTTATGCTTCTGCAAGGACACAGCATGGTGTCATCTGGGCCACACCTGCAGGCAGCTAGTGTGTGTTCTGTCCGAGCAGACAGGTGAAGGCCCTTCCCCCATCCACTCCTGGAAGGAGGACAGACCCTCCTCCCACTAATGCGGTGTGCTGCATATGCCAGTCATGAGTGATCGCTTTTATCCACCAGCTCTAAGGGACAGTGAGCCGAATGAAGCCAGTAAGAAAGCCCAGGAGTGGGGGAGATCTGGGTTGAGTCAACTCCTGCCTGACCCCCAAAATGCCCACGAGTGGATGAATACGTGAAAGGTCACCCAGCAGACACTCGGACCCCGAACACCTAAGGACCGACGTCCACAGTACCTGCAGGGACCACATTCCTACAGACCCTGGCCGTGGCCTGGAGTGAACACGGGGAGGCACGGCAGGGCCATAGACAGAGTACGCTCAGCACTTTTGGGGACTGGCTTTCCACTGCCCCCTTGCAACTTGGGTCAGGGTCTTCCTGAAGCTGACCTCGCGGGCACTGCTCTGAGCTGGGGCCCTGTTTGTGACGAAGGCTCTGCAGCCAAGTCCATCATCTGAGGACATCAGACTGCTACCAACCACGTCCCTCTCACCGCAATCCAGAAAGGCATCTCAGCAGAAGGACCAGGGCCTCCTCTGGCCGGGAGGACACTGGCAGTGGATATTTCGAGGCCACCAGACCCCAGGAAGGAAGCTGCTGACTAGAGTGACGCGGTGGACATCCCACTGTGCGTAAGTCATAGTAAGATAAGTAAGTAAGACAGTACGATTCCTTCCTCCTTCCATTTCTGCAAACTCCCTTAAGAAGAAACTTGGCTTTGGGGTCGAGAGAGAGGATGGAGGATGGGGTAAGGACACTGGCCTTGTATCCCAGCAACCCTAGTTCAAAATCCCTAACACGGCAGCATAAGGTCCCCGGTGTCCTGCCATGGTCATCTCTGTGCCCCACAGGGCATGGCCGAGCCAATTTCCCTCAGGAGCGAGCCCAGCATCCACACTGCACCAGATGTCGAGTGCTTCTGGGAAAGGGGCAGCCCCAGGACCCCGGATCTGCAGACCATCCGGCCTGCGCACGAAGTGAGGGGGTCACACTTTCAGAGCTGAGTTATTTCCATCTTGAAGGCTGTTCTGGGGCATTGGCTCTGGATCTGTAAGAGCCAAATCAGACCCAAGATGGAGGCTCTAAGAGCGGGAGCTGGTGTGAGCTCACAACTCCGCACTGGGCGACAAAAACACAGCCTCTGCCCCCTCCTTGCCCTCCCCACATTCTGGGCACAGCCTCTGCCCCCTCCTGCCCTCTCGCCACACTCTTGGTAAGGCCCCTTCCACCTGCCCAGGAGTTCCCCCCGCCCAGCCAAGGGAAGTCCTACTGGGAACCAGGGTTGGTGTCTGCCTGACTCGTCTCCTTCCCTCCACGGTCAGTGACGTCCCTTGAAAAGTGACTACTGCAGGTCTGCAGGCAAACGAACCTCCTGGAAGGGATCATTCTCTGCCGGAACCTTCCAAGATGACAAAAGGAGGGCAGGCAGGGTGGAGGGTGGGAGTGTATCTTTCCTCATCTTAAATACTAACAGCAGGAAACCCCATCTCATTCCTGAGTCTCTGCTGTGCCTTCTCAGTTTTCCCTGGTCACTGTAGCTCAGGCTTTCCTTCCCTAAGGGTTGTGGAGCAAGTAACTAGGCCATCGAGTATTTGAAAGCCGATAGATGTAAAAATAAGATTTATACAATGCATAGTTAGTCACAATAGGTAATGTTTTCATATTTACCTGAATTGTGGTATTTTTTCCCAACATATTCAAATGCAAAGAGTAGCTGGAGATCTGCTGGCTGGGAATAATGAGCTACTGCAAGGCACACCTAGGAAAGATTCTACATTTAGAATTTGATTTGAACACACTTAGTTAAACGAAATGCACAATAGGGCCTTGACTGCCAAGAGCATCATCGTGGGCCATGATTACAGACACTTAGGACATTTTCCTGTGGCCTCTGAAGGTCACCACTCACAGCTGGGCCCCCAAGGTAGTTTAAACTTTACCAAGTACATGGTAAACAGATTGCAAGGGTCTGAGTGAATTTTAACAGGAAAGCGACTTCACTGGATAAGAAGCCTGTAGAGTCTGGAGCATTCACTCCTGAAAAAGGCAGTGTGACGCCTCGCCCAAGAAATAAAGAGTTTCATTAGCGCCGGTGATTTTGGAACTCAAGAAGACTGTTCAGACCTCACGAACGGACAAAATCAACACTTAACAGAAAGCGACAATCACGTGGGAAACAAGATTGGTAAGAAACCCGGAGGTGGCCAGGTGGCACCAAAAGCCCGTTCGAATCCCAGGAAACGGGCTCCACGCCCGAGATGTCAGCACGTTGGCCAGGTTGGCCAGGTCCTCGCTATTCAGATGGGCTCCTCCAGGCAGGGAACCCGGCGGCTGTGCCCTTAAACCACACCAGCTACATGATGCAGCCTGGGAAGACCACCTGAGAGTGCTAGTAGAGCGGGAAGGGAGTCAAGGACACACAGCAGAGGCCCCCGGTTGGTCAGACAGGACTGGGGGGGGGGGGGTGCGGGGGCAACAGGAGGAAGGCCGCTTGGGGTGGATCAGCAGGAAGTGTTAGTGTATGTCAGCTTTCTAAAGCACGGTGTCCGTGTCGTGGAGTTAGAGCAGAAAACCACGGCAGAGAGTGTCTGGGCCCGGACAACCAGTGGAAGCCTCTGGAACGTGCACAGCACCGGTCTTCTCAATCCCTGCAGGACTTTCTCTGCAGGGCACTCAGGAAACAGGGTGAGGTGCTGACACCCCCAGTCCTGCCTTGCCCCAGCACTTCTAGCTGCCCAGCTCCTAGAATGCACCTTGGAAACGTCCCCTGCTCCTCCTGGTCCTGAGGCACCAAGTCAGCCCAGGACCTGCTGCCCCACTTCCAGGAATGGGTTCCCTTTTTTGTCTTGCCTGGTCATGTTATCGCAGCCACGTGACTGCAGCCACATCCTAAAGTCACTTAAGTCGCTGGGAGTCACTTCTGACACAATCCACATCACTCTAAAGGGCAAACCTTGGCTGGGACCCTGTTGTGGGCCCACCTGCCATATCCCCGGACACCTGACCGAGGTGACTCTGGCTCTGACCCTTCCTTCCCGCCAGTCTCCAGCCGAACTGCTTGAAGGGTCAGGCTGAGCTGTGGCCACACTCAGGGGGGTATGGGAAGTGGGATGCCCACATGAAGCTTGCTCAGTCCCTCGGGCAGAGGCCACATTTCACACATTCAACAGAGGCTCACAATCTCAGCTCTAGAGACACACCAGTGAACACAGATACAAATCCCCATCGACTGACACCAGACCAGACAAAGGAAGGGAGAGAAGGCTAAGGCAGGCGCTCGCGAGATAAAGGGCTTCCAGGGCAGGAGAGGGAGGCAGGCTTGGAGGTGCCCCGCCTGGGCCAACCCAACAGTCACGAGGCTGGGAAATGCTCTTAGCAGAGCTCCTCTGAGGCACACCAGTCACAGGCCTGCACACACACTGGACTTTCCAACACTTCACTGAGCGTACAAAACAGTTTACCAACAAAGCCGTGCAGGCCAGACTCCATGTAGCCAGGAGCTATCAAACTGCCCCGGCCTCATTCATTAGAGTTCCGAAATAAGCGGACACATCAGCCAGCAACTGCATTGAGAGATGATAGGAAGACAGTGACAGTGGGACAGGATGGCCCGCAGAGCGGGGGCTGGGCTGGGGCAGGGAGAAACTGCAGGGACTGATGCTACTGGCAGGAGCGTGACCAGGGCTGGGGGTCGCCTGGTCTAAGTCAGGGGGTCTCTGTGAACAAGTACAACGCGAATGCCCTTGTCATCTTCTGAGAGGAGGCGGCCAGCTGGGAGGCCTCTTTCCACATACTGCATCAAAGCTCTTCCTCCACACTTCAAGCTTCCAAGACTCAAGGACTCATAAATTTTTTTTGGCAACAGGCATTAAAAGTATTTAGAAAAACTATCTCTAAGGGACCTGCGAGAAAGCACAAAGGGCTGGGCACGAGTATCCATGCAGGAAGCCTGGGCTTCCCCCTGAGCACGGCCAGGAGCAACTCCTGAGCACTGTCAGGAATATCCCCCCAAAATCAAAACCAAACCAACACAAAACCAAAAATCAAACCAAAACAAAAAAAAACATTATTTTATTTTTACTTGGGCATCACTTTTCATTTTTTTGGGGGGTGCTCAAGGCCTACTCCTGGCTCTGTGCTCAGGGATCACTCCTGGCAGGGTTCAAGGGACCATCTTAGATTCTGGGTTCAAATCCAGGTTAGTCACATGCAAGGCAGTGACTGTCACTCCCAATTCCTCCCTCACTCTATTATGGGACCTAAGAAGCTTGGAATTAAAGACATTAAATTGTGATAAATATTTCACTGGACCAAAAACACTCAACTGCTTTGGAAGGCTTTTGGTGAGCCCAATGCTGATACTCCTCTGAGCAGAAGCCACAGCTCAGCTCGCCGAGGGTCTGTCACAGCACCACCTGTGTCAGGTACAGGGAGAACAGGCCCAGTCTTCTGGCCATGGTCGGCAAGCCACTACAGTCGCCTCACCACAAACAGGGGCAGTGAATGCTGGAGTGCAGGGCGGGAAGTGATTCATGTTCAACCAACATAAAAGGCAGAGACAAAAGGTAAGGGCTTCACTTGCCGTCACGTTACGTGTATACATACATGTATGTATATGGAAGAACTACAAAGCAATCGTGTGGGGGGCAGGGAGAGAGCTCAGTTTTGAGTAGAAGTTCATGGAAGTAATTGGTATCTCAGTTACCAGTGACCAGAGCTCAGCTCTGCACTGCGAACTTCCTTTTTCTTCATCTAGACCTTTCCCAAGGAGCCTGTTTTCCCAGGACAGCCTGAAGACGCCAAGAACAAGAGAACAAACAGCAACAAGGCAGCGGCTCAGCCACTGATTGACAGAAACAGGGAAGCGGCACCAGTCAGGGCACACAGGCTCTGCTGGAGGGGCTGTGAATGGAACGTGAAGCAACTGAGCATCCAAGAGTGTGGATTACGAAAACAGAAAGGCAGCGGCTTTCAGGACTTCAAAACAAAGCCAGGGCTCACTCGCCAGAGAACCCAGCTCCACATCTGGTCACTCTCAGACTTGGGAAACCAAAGCCTTTCCAGAGAAAACACAGCCTAGAAGATTCCAGGAGATAAAAATCAAGCGATCACTGCCCAACTGTTACTTCATTTTCAATGAAACGTTCACTTCAAAAGTGAGCTGGCTAGGGAGCTGGTTCCACAGGCCAGAGTGCACACATGGCCTTCAAGGGCCTTGATCTCAGGCACCACATGACCTGAGTGCCACCAGAAGCAGCCCTAGCATTAAGTCAGGAGAGATTCCAAGCACCACCAGGTGGGGCACACAAACAAAGACAAAGAAAGATTTAACTTTTAATTCATGAGGCAACTGAACTTTTACAATCACACATGTTAACATGCTGTCTGATACCCGTGGTCCTGGGGGAAGCGCTTCATTCTCACTGTGTTTATCTACTGACTCTTACAAGGACCACAGCCAGTAGTGCTGGGGCCCTGTGGCTCTGACAGTTCAGTGGCCAGGCCAACTGGACAGTGCCAACAGAAATGGAGGCTACTGACCACACACGGGTACGGTACTGAAGACTCTCAGAGCTGGGAATCAAACTTAGGGCCCCACATGTGCTGAGCATGTGCCTGACCAAGGAAGACCCTCCCCAAGCCTCACATGTGCTGGGCATATGCCCAAACCAAGCAAGCCCCTTCCCCAGGCCTCCCAGGTGCTGGGCATGTGCCCGACCAAGCAAGGCCCCTCCCCAGGCCTGTCTAATTCTGTTCCCTTCCATGCCCCCTTGGCCCAGCAATCTTCGAAAGATACAGAGTACTTCCTGAGAACACAGAAATGGCTTTGCTCTATTTCAGGACAGCATGAAACTTCTTTCTGCCAGAACCAGGTCTTGGGAGCAGGCGGCAGCCTCCATTGAAAAAAAGCGGCCTCATCCTTCCCAGCAACATGACGAGCCTCAAATCCTGCACGCCCAGAGCCCTTCATCCTGCTGCCCTGGTGCCTCATTTCATGGAAACACCTTTGACTACTCGGTGCTGTCACAGGATTCTCACTAAATGCTACATTTTCCCCACTACACTAAGTCCCATCTCCATATATCCAAAATGACTGGCAAGGGCTTGATCTGATCCCTGGCCTGGCTTGGTCCCTTGAGCACCATCAGGGGGTGACCCGGTGTCCCCCAGCACCACCAATCCAAATAGCAAGGCGCAGTGGGGCAAACACTGCCAAGTCCGAGGGTCACAGGCAGCGGCTTCTGGGCAACTGAGCGCCACTGGGGAGGGAAAACACCACCATCCCCAGCCCGCCAAAAAATAACCAACAGGTATCTAGATTGCTCAAGCACAGAAGCCAAACCATTGTGATTTTCAACTGCTGAGCTGAAAATCTCTATTATCAGAGAACGCTGAGAGAGATTCCTCTTCTGCTTCTGGTTTAGGCCACACCCAGCAGGACTCAAGGGACCACTCAAGCAGGAATGCAGGCTCCTGGGCTCCTGAGCTCCTGCATGCACCCTGCTGGGGATGGAGTTTCTGAAGACTACTGGGCACGGTACCCTTCTCTTGCTTGGAAACTACACCACCCGAGCACTTTCTCATGCTCCAAATGGAATGGAGTGGACAGAGAGCTTTGAGGGGTGCAACTATGAGGACGGAGCACGCGCGCAAAAGCAAACCAGATGGAGGACTTCACACACAGTACCCGACTTAATGATAGTCTACACTCTTTCTGGGGGCCAGACAAACTCAACAGCAGAGCACTTGCCTTGCATGGGTGAGGCCCTGGATCCATCCCCGGCACAGCAGAGAGGAAGAAGAGAGAGAGAGAGAGGGAGAGAGACAGGCACTTCACATTAGTAAAACACCAACTTCACCACCTATGGCGCTGGAGTGCGGACAGGGCCTGAAGAAAGGGCTCGTGGGGGGGGGGGGCAGTCACAAAGCTCCTTGAGTCCATCAAACCCACATTAAAGAGCTAGTCAGCCCTTTGCGGGGTGATCCATCCTGGGGGTCACTCGCACTTCTTCCAAGATTAGTCTCAAAGTGCTGATTCTAGCTCTACCAGCAACAGGAAGTAGGCTGCAGCCAGCCTACCTTCAGGACAGCTGGTGACTTGGGAGCCCCGGCCCTCCCCACCCCCTCCTGCTGCTACTCTGCCTTTCGGCCCCCAGGCTCATTCTGCTGAAGCCAAAAGTTCAATGAGAGGGATCTGGAGGCCAGAGAGATAGGACAGCAGGGCAGGCACGTGCCTTGCACACGCTGACCCAGGGTGGATCCTTGGCTTCCCACAGGGTCCTTTCAGCATTCATTGCCAAGAGAGATCCCTGAACAGACCTAGGCTGCCGGGCGTGGCCTCAAAACAAAACAAAACAGAACAACAAAATGAGAGGTATCTGCGCTGCCCTTCCTCCTACAGGCGAGCAAGGCAGACTGGTCATGGGAGGGCTGGCAGCTACCCTCAGGAGATTTGCACTGCCCCTTCCTCCCGCAGGCCAGCGGGTAGACTGGTCACGGACGGACTAAGAATCACTAGACCCCTCTATTACCATCCATCCGTCCCACCCACCCACCCAGGAGGGTATCTAGCTTTTTTAGTTCTGAGCACAGCTGGGTGTGCCCAAAGCCCCCCCAAAAATAAATAAAAATAAACAAAGGTACCAGAGTGTCTCAGCAGACCCTGATTACAATCCATTTTCATTCCCCCCCCCCTTTATTTTTAACCAAGAAAGAAGCAGCTGGGTCTTAAAACAAAAGATACTGATCTCCGAACAACCAGTTTTAGCATTTCAGAAGATGATTAAAACAACTGTAAAGTACAATTTAATGCAGCTCAAAACCAGGCGAAGGAAATCATCCTATTTACATTTTTTACTTATATTTCATTCAAGAAGGTTTCTGGTCACCCCTGCACCTCCAGCCCCTCAACCACGCACCTGAGAAATGGGAACTTCCACATGGAACTGCAACGGGTACATAATGAGCCAGGCGTGATAAAAACGTCAGTCTTACCTTTTTGGCACTTTCCGGACCAGATTCATCAAAGCGAAATCTGACGATTCTAAAATCTTTACAGTAGATAATTAACTCTGTTGGATTAAATTTCAGTTTCTGGTTAGGGCCTAGAACTTTCTGCTTCCTCTTGTGGTCATTCACTGAAAATTAAAAAATAAAAGTAATAGAAAATGAAATATGCCCAATTCTTCTGTGCTGCTCACTCTTCAGTTCCCTATGGCAAATACTTCCTGAGAATAGCCAGGAAGCCACCCCCCAACTGACCGCACCCCACCATCCTTCCTATTAGTCTGGAACTTGGGGAGAACCACTTCAATCTTGTTTCTGAAAATATTTTTATTTTAGGAAAGAAATGCCTAAAACCACCACCAAATAAATTTAATACTGAAATGCTAATAGGATGAATACTTAAGCCACAGTCTGCATTTCTATTTTAAAAATCATTTCTATTTAAAAAATTAAAGACTTTTCTTTCATTCAAGTTCCCAAAACCTCACGGTAATACAGCCAAAGCAAAGATAGAGACTCAAGAATCTGATCCTGCATGGAACAACAAACCCTCACAAATAGCTAAAGCAATTCTTGGGAAAAGAAAGATGGGAGGCATCACCTTCCCCAACTCCAAACTCTACTACAAAGTGGAAATAATTAAAACAGCATGGTACTAGAACAAAGGCAGAGCTGCAGACCAATGGAATAGTGCTGAATATCCTTACACACACCCTCAAATATATGACCATCTAATCTTTGATAAGGGTGCAAGAAATGTGGAGTGGAACAAGGAGAACCTCTTTAACAAATGATGCTGGCAAAACTGGACAGCTACATGCAAAAAAATGGGCTCAGACCTCTACCTAACACCATGCACAAAAGTCAGATCAAAATGAATTAAAGACCTCAATATCAGACCAGAATCCATAAGGTACATTGAAGACAAGGTTGGCAAAACTCTCCATGACATTAAAGCTAAAGGTATCTTCAAAGATTACACACCACTGACCAAGCAAGTGGAAACAGAGATAAACAAATGGAACTATCTTAAACTAAGAAGCTTCTGCACCCCAAAAGAAACAGTGACCAGAATACAAAGACAATCTACAGAATGGGAAAGGATATTCAACCAATACCCATCTGATGTGGATTGATAACAAGGATACACAAGGCAAGGTTGAACTCTACAAGAAGAAAACATCCAACCCCATCAGAAAATGGGGCGATGAAACGAACAGAAATTTTCTCAAAGAAGAAATCCAAATGGTCAAAAGGCACATGAAAAAAATGCTCTTTATCACTAATCATCAGGGAGATGCAGATAAAAAAAAAACAATGAGATATCATCTCACACCACAGAGACCGGCCGACATCCAAAAGAATAATAGCAACCGGTGTTGGCGTGGATGTGGGGAGAATACTCTCCTTCATACTGGTGGGAATGCCGACTGGTTCGGCCCTTTTGGAAAACAATATGGATGTTTCTCAAAAAGTCAGAAATTGAGCTCCCCTCCCATTTGACCAGGCAATACCACTTCTGGAAATATATCCCAGAGATCCAAAAAAGTATAGTAGAAATGACACCTGCACTTGCATGTTCATTGCAACACTGTTTACAATAGCCAGAATCTGGGAAAAAACCCGAGAGCCTGAGAACAGATGACTGGCTAAAGAAACTTTGGTACATCTACACAGTGGAATATTATGCATCTGTTAAAAAAACGAAGTCATGAAATTTGCATATAAGTGGATAAACACGGAGAGTATCATGCTAAGTGAAATGAGTCAGAAAGAGAGGGACCGACATAGAAGGACTGCATTCATTAGTGGAATATAAAGTAACAGAATGGAAAACTAACACCCCCCAAGGATAGTAGAGATAAGGACCGGGAGGATTGCTCCACAGCTTAAAAGTCAGCCTCACATGCTGGGGAAAAGGCATGTCAAATAGAGAAGGGACTACCAAGTAAAAGATGCTTGGAGGGCTCACTCGGGATGGGAGAAGTGTGCTGAAAGTAGACTATAGACCGAGCATTATGGCCACTTAATACCTGCATTGTAAACCACAACACAGAGAGAGAGAGAGTAAAAGGGAATGTGCCTGCCACAGAGGTGGGGGAAGGGGTCGCAGGGGGAGGGATACTGGGAATATCGGTGGTGGAGAATGGGCACTGGTGGAGGGATGCATACCTGATCAATGTATAACTGAAACATGAGCACGAATGTCTGTAAGTCTGTAACTGTACCTCATGGTGATTAAAAAATAAAAAAATTTAAAAAAAAATTTTGATCCCAGGCCAGTCGAGAAAGGGCACTGGCTCACTCGCTTATTCGCGTTCTCTCTCCCTCCCTCTTTCTCACACACACACACTCTGAGCTCATGTGCAAGCTACTTATTCTCTCCTGACTCTCTCAAGGACTCTTGCTCTCTCTTGTTCATATTCGCTCTCTCTTGCACATTCCCTCCCTCCCTCTACCTCTCATTCTCACCTCACTCTCTCTTACCGCTCACTCTTCTGTTTTATATTTTTTTTGGCTTTTGGGGGTCACACCTGGAGATGCTCAGGGTTTACTCCTGGCTCTGCACTCAGGAACTACTTCTGGTAATCATATGGGATGCCGGTGATGAAACCTGGGCCAACCACATGCAGGGCAAGTGCCCCCCCCTTTACTCCCCCCATCTTTCTCTCCTCTCTCTCCCCCGCTTCCCCCGTGCCCCCACCCCAGCTCTGCCCACTGTGACCCCAGTCCCACACACCTGTGACAATCTGCTCGATGCAGGTCAGAGGGACATCGTGCTCGCCGAGGAGGAGGTTTCTGTACTGGAACTTCTGTAAGAAGAGATCATGTCCTGTTAATTCTCCCTGGGGTACCAGGACCATTCTGACTCCAAGAGGCAGTTTCTGCGCCCACAGCTGTGACAACTGAGTCCCAGTGCAGTCGAGGGCGAGGAGGAGAATTCAGGTGTGTGCACGTTCCCCCACCTCCCTCTGCACACGGAGCCTTGGCACCTCATGGCACAGAGATGGCGCCACTTCAGCCCAACTCCCACACGGCACAGGGAGGCAAAGACGGGGGCATGGGCCGCTTCAGTCCAACCTCCACATGGCACAGGGTGGCAGAGATGGGGGTGCCAGGTGCTGACTCCGGCATGCCCAGAGCCAGGAAGATTACCACGCATCACGAAAAGGGGTCCCTCTCATCTGATTTCACCTTTCCTTCTCCTGGGTTCAGTGGTGCCCAGCAGACCCTGTGCTGCTGAGATCCAACCCTGAGCCCCCACGCACAGGCCAGCCCTCCAAGCAAACTCCCTGGCCCCATCGTGCTCACTGGGTGTCTGGTGCGCAGGGGGAACAGTGGGGCCACTAGGGGCTGGGGATAGAGCCCCTGGCTCCTACACAGAAAGTCTGAGGTCCGGCTGTCAAACTCATCTTTGACAAACTCATTTACAGCAGTAAATGACACTTTTTAAGGTGGAGAATAAACTACAATGAGATCCTTTGGCAAGCTGCAGAGGGTTTTTTTGGGTGGGTGGGAACATACCAGCTTTATGATCTGGAGGCCCCAGTTTTTGATCCCTGGTACCACCTGTTCTCCCCCCCAAAAAAAAATAAATAAATAAAAAACAAGACTGAAACCAGCCCCAGCACCACCAGGACTGGTCCAACACCCCCACCCTACTCATCCCCAAACCCCTCAAACTCAAAGCAGGAAACAGGGAAATCAAGAAAAAGTCCACGATTTGCAGCTACTCAAGCATGGAAAAGAACTACAAGGAGTGTTTCCCAGTAAACAGATAAAATAGCAAAAGGATCGTTAAAGAAAAATTACCAGATTTTTTTTCTTCATGCCAGCGGAACAACTGAAAAGTTGAAACCAGGCTTTGACAAGCGAGTAAAAGAATGAGCTAGTTTGAAAAACGAGTACAGGATTTACAAAGCATGTTAATACTTCTTTTTTTTTTTTTTTGCATGTTAATACTTCTAAGAAAGTTTGTGGAGATTCCATTCCTTTACAATGAGCAAAACCCCAAACTGTTGTAATTATTCATTTTTGGTTTTTGGGCCACATCCAGCAGTGCTCTGGGCTGACCTCCTAGCAGGGTCGGGGTCGTGCAAGGCCAGCACCCTGCCCACTGTCCTATGGCCCTGATCCTAGACAGTTCTCTAAGGAGGCTGGAAGACAAGCCAGTCAGGAAGGAGGTGCCCTTACTGTGGGCACCTATGAGCCGATCCCAGAGGGAGCCAAACAAGTGACCTGCCAGGCCCGGACCCCACCCCTCGGTCCAGCAGTCCCAGCCTCATTCTGACTCTCAATGGAACACAGTCTCAACACGGCTCAGCCAAGCCTGGGGAATGGCCTCCAACGCTTCTGGCCCTGTGCTCGGAACCATAACCTTTCCACTGCTCTGCCACATGACCCACCTGGAAGGGCATTGGGTCATCGGTGAGGAAGGAGATCCTGAAGTTACTGCAGACCAGCTTCCCCCACAGATCATACTGGCTCGTCTCGGCCGCGATGCATTTCCTCACAAAATTGACTTCATTGACGACAATCTCTCCTGAGAAACAAGAAGACAGTCACTTAGGGTCATAGCGAAGGCCACTCCATGGTGCTGGGTCATCTCAAAGGGCCCTTCACAATGGCCTCAGGGAAGGGGGAAGTGTTCACTCCAGTGTCACTGCAGCTCTGGGCACAGAACCAGACAGGCCCTTCCCCTGGGCATCCCCTCCAAGACACTGCCCTTAACAACCTGTCAGTGCCATCCTGCTGTCGCGCTTTCTGCAGACTGCGGGTCTGCAAGCAGACTGCTCACTGCTTCAACTGTATTAGTCAGAGAAGGTGATGCTCGCTTTGTGTATCTCCTGCTTGTAACTACTATACCACCTTAAACATTATTTATTTCTTAATACTAATAAATAAGTCAGAATCTATTATTATGGCTGTCACAGTGATCTACTGACGGGGCACCAGAACCACACCCACAGAATAGTGTGCCTGATCGACGAATATGGTGTTCCAAGTGTCCCACTGAAAATGAGGGAAGAACTGTTGTCTCCCACTGAAGTCCAAGATAGAGTAAAGCTCATAGATCACACAGTCAGGCTGAGATGGAACGGTCCATTGCCCTGTGCTCCTGAAATGGGGCCAGGTGAAACACAATGGCAAGAACAGGGTTGGCGCATGATGGTGGATGGGAAGACTTGGCTTGGACAGGGCAATGAGGTTCAGCTGCAGCACAAGTCTGACCGGGAGACCAGCTCCATTGCAGAGGAGCCATGCAGAAAATCTTGCTCTTATTGTGCACCGTGTGCTGCCCCTGCGCCACTGGGGGCCTAGCTATGGGGGCAACTAGGGCAGCTGGTGAGGGCTCTGTCCTCATGCATGCCAAACCACCAGGCCTGATGCTGGACCCAAGGGCCACAACGCTCAATTCAGTACAACCTGCAGCTTAAGGAGTTTCGATGCCGGGCAAGCTGGCACTGCCAACACCAACCATAAAGTGAAACACATTCCTAGTGGATTCTAGCCTCTTCCCTTGAAGGTGAAGCCCAGCTCAGATGCAGCCCTGTGCAATTGCAAGAGGGCCGGCAGGTAAGCAAGAAAACACAGATAAACTGATGTGGGGCTCGAACTTGTGTCTGCTACTTGAATTAAAAGTTCAAACTCTGGGCAAATGAAGCCGGATATCCTTAAACCAGGGCACCATGCCAAATCCTAACAAGCAATACTATCTCTCTGAACAATTACTTCTTGTTCACTGGGCCTGCTAACACCACAGGTGACCAGCCAAGACTCTCTTGGGCTCTGACCGCAACGACGGCTGAAACTATGCAGCCCTCGCCCTGGCCTTGACACCAATGCTGCAGGTACTCCCCCATCCCACAGATCTCCATGTGTCATTGATGCCCCACAGGTCATCAGAGCGTGACGTGAGATCAGGTAAAGCAGAGACCCTGACTGCAGGGTCCGAGTGCGGAAGGTCAGGGTGAGAGAAGCAGGGGGTGAGGAGAGGAAGGAAAGTCAGACATGGGCCTAGAATACTCTGGAAGAAAGGGCTGGAGTGAGAGCAAAGGCTAGAGGCACTCGCCTTGCATGCAGCCAGTACCACCAAAGTGATCCCTTGACTCAGAGAGCCCAAGCTGTGCGCAGTAATCACCCTGGCCCTGGGCCTGGTCCCAGCCACAACCCACATCCCAGAGGGTGTAATGCTGCTGAGGGGTCAATCTGGACCTACTGGGCGAGAGCATCAGCAGCCTGACGATGCCCTTGGGCTTTCTGATGACCCAAAGTCACCGCTATGCCTCCCACAAGACTCCAACAACTCTGGACCAAGTTTTCCAAGAAATCGTCACTGTCACTGTCCTCCCGTTGTTCATTGATCTGCTCAAGCAGGCCCAGTAACATTGTGAGACTTGTTGTTACTGCGTTTGGCATATCAAATATGTCACGGGTAGCTTGCCAGGCTTTGCCATGTGGGCAAGATACTCTCGGTAGCTTGCCGGGCTCTCCGAGAAATTAAACCACCAAAATTTAGATGTGCAGGAGCCATGCACACAAACCGCCAAGGTGGATGACACAAGCTCATTTATCAGCATTGCTCCAGAGACTCGTAAATAAATCTTGAAAGCAATCAAAAAGATGTAGCAAATCTCAGACTTTCGCACCGCTGAATAATCTGTGGCAAGTGGCGGGGGGTGGGGGTGGGGTGTCAGTGCCTACTCAACAGAGCCCCTAGCAGCCACTTGCTCCCACAATCTAAAATTGCCGCCATACCTCCAGCTGGACTCCACCATCTCAAGATGGGCCTCACTCTGACAGGTTTTGTGACAGAAATCTCAGGGTCAGGATGGGCTACCTCTCCCTCATTTCCCTGTACTTGCAAAAAAAGCCCCAGCAGTTACATCCACACCCCAAAGTTGCCACCCAGTTAAAAAGTTAAAAAAGTTACTCTACCTGTACCTTCCCTTTAAAGAACACTGAACTCCCTGAAAAAACACGATGACCTCTTAGTACCTGTGACGCAAACCATAATGCACAAAAGGAGAGAGCTAAAGAAAAAAAGTGCCTACTATAGAGTCAGGCACTGGGAGTGGGGGTTGGGTGATGGGGGGAAACTGGGGAGCTGGTGGTGGGAAATGCACACTAGTGAAGAGATGGGTATTGGAACATTGTATGGCTGAAAACCAATCAAGAACAGCTTTGTAACGGTGCATCTCAAGGTGATTCAATTAAAAAAAAAGGATCCCTTGAGCATTGCTGGGTGTGGCCCCCATATTACTCAGGGAAAAAGAAAAGAGAGGCTGGGAACAAGAACAAATGCACACACACACAAAAAAAAAAATAAAACACAGCCTGCTTGGTGCTAGTGCCATCAGCCTGCCAGCACAGGCCACCTGCACTGAGTCCCAGACAGGGAAGTGGACTCACCTGTCTCGCGGTAGGAAGGTCCCACAGAAAAGCTCTGACCACAGAGCTCCCTAAGCCCCAGAGGCCCCAGAGACAATACACTGTTCACAGAGACCGCGCCCCAACATCTGCATCTGCAGTTAAGGATGCGCTGTGCTTACCACCAACCTCAGACAGCAGTATTTGGGGGCTCTTTCCCATGGGGCACAGACCCAATGTCAGGACAGACCCAATGTCAGGGGGCTCTCCCCCACAGGGCACAGATCCAATGCTGGGGCTAGAGAAGGGCCCCTTTAGGCAGAGCCACGGAGCCCCCACCCAGAGCTTCCAGACTTCCCAGCTATCCTTCCAGACACAGGGAGCAAAGGGCACTCATGCATGCCAGGATCACTCAGTGCTCAGTCCGGGGAACCAGCATGAACAAGACCAAGGGAGAACACTCATGCCTCCCTCCATACCTGAGTTCAAACATCTTTTCAGAGTTAGCACCGACCACAGGGAACCACAGACAAATTTAAAGGCTCCTCCTTTGTTCCCTTACTACCTGGGATGGAACTACCATTGCTGCTCCTCACTTGCTCCATTACTAGCCCCATCACACAGCACTAACTACTGAACCTTGGGGGATGCTGGTGGTGGGGGGCTGCTCCAGGGGACAGCAGCTCACCTTTCATCTACCACCCCAGGCCCTCACCCCCATGATGAGTTTTAGAAAATGTCTAGATGGAGCCACACAGGCTGCTATTTAATTCCATTTCAGGTCAAAACAGGCTTTCCGAAGTATCTGTTGATCAGAGTAAACAAGTGGCTTTCCCTAATTATCATGCAATGGTTACACAACTCAAACTACCTACCAAATACCACAAAATACGATTCAAATTCTCTCTCCTCTCTCTCTCTCCCCCCCACCCAGCGGTGCTCAGGGCTTACTCCAGGCTCTGGAGTAAGGAATCTCCAGGAATCACTCCTGGCAGTGCCCAGAGGACCATAAGGGATGCCCGAGATCTAACCTATGCTGTCCTATAGCTCGGCCCCTCAAATACTACTTCCTGTGTTTTAAAATGAAACCACCTACCAGTCCCTTTCACAACCTGGAAGGAACCCCCCCAAGATAAATTTTTGTTGCAACTGAGTCTCAACTAGGGAAAAATTTTTGCTTCCAACCTCCCTCTACCAAAAAGAACAAAAAAGAGCGTAAGACATTTTGGCTGCGATGAGAAAATTCTTGGTCATAGCAACACCATGACCAAGAATTTTCCTGGGCCAAAATGTCCATCGTGCCCTCTGGGGAAACTGTTCTATTTTTCTCCTTCGATTTTTACGTAGGCACCAGGGCTACAATACTGCTAATTACCGGGTTTCAGGGACCCTGTTCCAACACCACACCCCAGACCAGTGTCGCTTCCCTCCACCACTGTCCCAACTGTCCAAACCCCAGCCCCCCCCCCCCCCACATACACACGCCCAGGGTCCGTGCCCACAGGCCATTTTGTCGCTCCCTTACTATTTCCTTATGTCTTAAACCCACAAACACATCTGCAAACACAGCGGAGACTTCCCAAACAACAACAACCCCAAACACCCAACTGCTGAAGGAATTCCAAAGTTCACCAAGCTCTGTCATTAGCCAGGAACCCGGAGGTGGTAAAGTGGCTTCTCTTACTCGGAAGGGGATGATGTGCGTATTAATCATTAAGGCCGAAGGTTGCAAGCAGACAAGAACTTTCTCTGCCCGAGCAATTAAAGATCGCTTAAAATTTAAAAAGATAATAATAAAAATAAACCTTCAGGAAAAGAAAAGGAAAAGCCGGGGTGACACTCGGGGCAGTTACGGGGCCGCGTCCGCGCCAAGGACAAGCAGCCTGAATCATTCACTCCTCGTGGCGCTTTTTCGCTGCGCTGCAACCGGCCGCTCTCCACACCCGCCGCCGGCTTTGGCGACTTCCAAGTCGATAAGAAGCTGCCAGTAAACACAAGAGCAGGCGAGCGGCCACCAAGACGGGGCGGGCAGCCGGCCCGACCCCGAAGCAGCTGGCCGCGGGGCCGCCCCGTACCTGGCAGAAGCACCGGCTCCAGTTTCTTGATCTTCGGTTCGGAATTCAGCTTGTCCTCGGGCTGAAAGAAAGAAAGCGGCGCCGGTAAATCAGACGCCCGGCCACGCCGCCGGGCACCGGGCACCGGGCACCGGGCGGGGCGGGGCGGGCATCGGCGAAGCGCGCGGCTCCAGGCGCGATGACACGGGGCGCCGACAGGCCCCTTCCCCGCGCCCAGCCCCGACGGGGGTCCCGGGCCGCTCGGCCGCGGGCTCGGGGCTCGGGGCAGCGCGGAGACCACGCCACCTCCACCACCACCACCGCGGCGCGGTCGCACCTGGGGCGGCGGCAGCAGGTAGGACCTGAAGGTGGGTCGCGGCGGCTTGAGGGAGAACATGGTGCCGCCGGCCCCGCGGCCTGCGAGCTCCGTGCGCGGCCGGCCGGGCCCGGCGGACTGGCGGGCGGGGACGCGGCCGAGCGCCCGCCCGAGCGGGGAGGAGCCGGGGCCGAGCGAGGCCGACGCGGGCGCCGCGGCCCATCCCCGGAAGGGGCCCGGCGCCCCGCCCCCCGGCCGCGCTGGAGCCCGAGCGCCCGGCTAAGGGCCGAGAACCCGCCGCCCGGGCCTCAGCGACGGCGCCGGGGGGAGCGCGGCCCGGCCGCCATCTTGGCAGAGCCGCCTCTGGGGGAGGCCTCGTCTACGGCGGCCGGGAGGGCTCGGCGCGCCCCTACGGCGGCCCGCGGGGGCCACGCGGCGCGGCGCGGAGCCCCCACCCCCGGACGGGACGCGCCCACGCGCTTTCTCTCTTGGCTGCTGGGCAGTCACCCGGCTCGCGCGCGTTTGCGGTGCCCAGGGTCACTCCTGACACTGTTCAGGGGGAATAACGATAGCGTCCACGCAGGCGCCCTCCCTGCCCTTAGGAAGTGATCCGAAGCAGCCCCCGGAGCCGGGGACTCGGCCGCCCGTTACACCGTCTGCACCCAGAGCTGGATGGTTCCGCCCCCTGAACCGAGATACGCCCCGAGTCCTGCGCAGTCTGCATTCTCCGCGGAGGATAACACTCTCTCCTGAGTGCCCACGCGTGGGGGAGATTTCTCTTCCATCTCGGGTCTGTTGTCTTTGCCCCGGGCTTGGAGTTGGTCTCCTGCTCAGCCCGCCGACTGCTTGATGGGGACTGTGAACCGCTGGCTCGGCTGGCAACCACACCCCCTGGATTAAACTGTTTAGCTGGACCGAGTCCCTCGCAGGTGGCAGCGCCTGCTGCACTGTGTCCTCGCCCCCACCCACCTAAACTCGGGAATGGGGGGGAGTAAGGGGCAGAAACCCCAGCACAGCAGAATCTTCACCGCCCCCACCCACATTGGAAGTATTAAGCAAGTTACTGGACTTTCGGGTAAACATGCCGGGAGGCAGATGAAAGAGTAAAGGGCTCCGGCGACGTGGGGGGTGGAGGGAGAGCAGAGTTTCGATAGGTTACGGATGGAATGATCTGACCTTTCTATGCGAGGATCAGATAATTTTCAGCCTACCAAGCACAAGGCATTTCTGAATTCCGAACATTTTTGAACTGGAGCAACCTTTGGTGGAAGGGGGTCGGGGGTTGTGCTGCTTCTTGCGGGTGGGAGCTGGGGGAGAGGTGCGGCTTTGCGCCGGCGCTCTGGGGTTATTCGTGCCTTCTGTATTCAGGGCACACTCTTCGTGTCGCTTCAGGAGGAGCTTGTGGCGCTGGGGAGGTCTAACGGGGTGATGTTAACGATTTAAACATCCAAAAGATGACTTTTTTTTTTCTCAAATAGTTTTTTTCCTGAAGTCAGTTTTTCTGTTGTGTCTCTGAGAACACGTTCCCCAGAACCCACAGAGGAACTTTTAAGATGTATATTTCATTGAGTTCCCAATGTGGAAAACACTGGTCCACACACAGGTTTTATTTTATTTTGGTTTTGTGCCTCACCCAGTGGTGCTCAGGGCTTAAGCTCTGTACTCAGGGATCCACCCTTGGTGGACCCCTTGGGGTGCCCAGGAATTGAACCCAGGTACTCTCTCCAGCCCAACCATTTCATAAATTCTCTGCACCGAAGGGTTTTCCACAACCCCTCATTAAATACTCTGCAAGTAATACATGGGCTTTTCTTTGTATACAAATGACAAGTGATTTGAGTTTGGCATTTAGGTTTTCTTTTGCATACGGGGTTTACAAGCATACTTAGGTAAATTATCTTCAACTTAGAATTATCTTTCATATATATGCAAACTAACCCCCACTGCAATGGCGCCTCATGGTAGAAGCTAGGAGGCTAATTGGAGGCCATTAGAAGTAGATCGCCTTGGGCTAGAGAGATGTTATAAATCCCCAACACTGCTTATGGCTCTAAGCCCCACCTGGAGTGATCCCTGAACACAGTCAAGAGTAAGCCCTGAACACAGCTGATCATGGCCCAAAAACAAAAAAAGTACCAACTAAAATAGTTGTGGTGCCAGCAGTGGAATGAACTTTAAAAAAAAAAGTGTTTTGGGGGGCCAGAGTGATAGCACAGCGGGTATGTAGGGCGTTTGGCTTGTGTGGCTGAGGCTGATTGGGGTTCAATCCCTGGCATCCCATATGGTCCCCTAAGCACCACCAGGAGTAATTCCTGAGTGCAGCCAAAAGTAACCCCTGAGCATTGCTGGGTATGACCCAAAAAGAAAAAAAAAGTGGTTTTGTATGCAGAAAGATAGCATTGTAAGACAGTTGTATTGCATATGGTTGAGCTAGGTTTGATCCCCAGCACCACATACGGTCCTCTAAGCACCACCAGGAGAGTGATCCCTTAGCACAGAGTCAGTAGTAAAACTCAAGCACAAGGACTGGAGCACATAGTCCAGTGGGTTGGGCATTTGCTTGCATGTGGCCATCCTGGGTTTGATCCCCACCAACCCATATGGTCCCCCGAGCATCGCCAGGAGTCATTCCTGAGTGCAGAGCCAGGAGTAACCCCTGAGCACTGTTGGGTGTGATCCAAAAAGCAAACAAACAAACAAACAAACAAAGACTCAAGCACAGCCAGGCGCGCCTCCCCAAAAAAGGAAGTTTTTTAAAAAAGTGTCTCTGAAACCACACCCTCTCCTGAAATATGGTCTTTTATGATGTCTATTAAGTAGGGTGGGGGAGGTGGAGAAAAAAAGTACAGGGATTAAGTGGTTTATCTTGTATAAACCAGCATTGCATGTATCCCTGAAGCAACACCAGGAATGATCCCTGAACACAGGGCCAGAAGGTCTGAGCACCCCTGGGTGTGACTCAATTATCTGTCACCCCCCCTCCTCCCCAAAAAAGAAAATTGTAGCTTCTTGAGGGAGTATTTTGGGAAAATGATAGCAGCCTAAATGTCCAGTTTCCAAGCAAAAATAGACAAAGGAAGTATAAACCAAGAACATGCAGACAACAGCTGCAATAAACCTAAGAGAAATGGTATCTCCACGATCTCCAAGAATGAAGCAAGTCAAAACCAACCTCGAGCAGTCATAGGACCTTATCAGCAAAAGGAAATCAAGGAGGCAGGGAGAGAACTCTGAGCGCTGAGAGGAATTCCCTGGGAGGCCCAGCCCCCATGGAGAGCAGAGTTTGCTGCCAATGCCAGAGCAGACTCAGGACTCAATAATCAAGTTCATGGAGCTCCTAAAATGACTTTGCTGGCTTCCTACGAGTATAGAGACCCAGACTGAGGACCAACTGCAGGGTGTGGAAGCAAAACAGCCAGAAATTTGTTGGTAACATTTCCAAGTCCAAGTTCAGTCATAGCATGTGACTAGGCTGAAATTGACCAATGGGAATGTTTAGGCCATTGAAAGTAGATCAACTTGAGCCTGAGAGATAGTATGGTGGTTCCAGGGCGCTTGCCTTGCAGAAATCCCCAGCACTACCTAGGGCCTGAAATTGACCAATGGGAGGGGTTCGTAGACTGAAATTGTTTAGAATGGGTGTTTTTAAAATTGACCAATGGGAGGGGTTAGTAGGCAGAAATTGACTGGGATGGGTGTGTTTACTAGACTAAAATTGACCAATGGGAGGGGTTACAAGATTGAAATTGACCAATGGTAACTGTTACTAGACTGAAATTGACTAGGATGGGTGTGTATTTTATAATAAAGTCATATATTTTGAGTCTTTCTTTGGTGTTGTTTTTAACAGCAACATTTTCTTTAAAACAGCATCCTTAAGTAATAGGATGATGATTTCATCTCTCTTCATTTTCTATGTTCAGCAAAATGAATCTTGATCTAGAATAACTATAGGAAAATACTAATTTTTACATTCTGAAACATAAATTATGAAAACTTTTCAAGTAGATTTTTTTTTTTGCGGGTCACACCCGGCGATGCACAGGGGTTACTCCTGCTCTTTGAACTCAGGAATTACTCCTGACAGTGCTCGGGGGACCATATGGGATGCTGGGAATCGAACCCGGGTCGGCAGCATGCAAGGCAAACGCCCTACCAGCTGTGCTATTGTTCCAGCCCCTAAATTATGAAAACTTTGAGTGCAGTTTGTATTCAGGAAGTAAGCAATCATGATAAGCTCAACAGAGAACAGTCTTGTATTCAACTCTTGATTCCCCTTGAATCAAGTTAAAGTGTGTTTAAGTTTATTTAAAATGTCATTTAACTGACTGACGAGTTTGTCAAGTTTGGGGAGGGAGCTGTGAGCTACCCGCAGCAGTGCCCAGAGCTTACTCCGAGCTCTGTGCCGGGGTTGAACCAGGGCTGTCCTCATACTAGGCAGGCGCTGACCCACTGCATTTCTCCAGTCTCGAATTTAAAGGTTTAAACCGGAGCCCCAAGCCTTGCAGTCTGGGAGGGGAGCAGCTTTTCTGTGGCTCTTGGGCAGGCAGCCTATGACCCAGCGTAGTCGTGTTCCAGCCATTGCTTAGTCCAGATACTTTGTGCTTGACCTCAGCCATGGTTTGACAACAGAGAGGTGGAGGCTGGAGTCTAAGCACGCTAACAAAGCTCTTGGTGCCCTTCCACAGTCACGATCTCCTTGCCATCAGTGGTGGCCATGTACTTTTGTTTTCATTGTGTAAAACTTTTGAAAACACTGAAATACAAAACTCCAAGGTTGGTCTCCTTGTCCACCCTAATTTAATCCACACCCCCCCCTTTCAGCCACCGCCTTTTGTTTTAACATGTTTGTTCCCGCTTTAATTTCAATTTGTCCCATCCGTGTCTCCTCCATTGAATAGCTTATTTGTAGTAGTCAAAGTCATTTCTTAGGCAATTTGGTAGCCCCAGGAAATATATTGTAGAATCTTGCATACTAATTAAGCAGCTGACCTCAATTGGAGAAACATCTCTCTCATCGGCTCCTAAGCCAACTTTAAAAAAAAAAAAGAAAGAAAGAAAGGAAAGAAACAAAAAAGCTAAAAGAATTTTTTTTAAAAAACTGTTTTCTAAATCAGCTAGCACAATATTACTTTAGTGCCTTAACACTTAGTAAGTTGTTAATTTCAAAGACTTTTTAAATGAAGATGTTTATAGAAGTGGGTGGTATTTAGCTGACTGGAAAGGCCCTGAGCCCACCTAGTGGCTGGTGAAAAAATCAAACCTCATTAGCATTCGGAAGTTTTCTCTTGTGGAAACTTCTGTTCTTCTGGGGCAATTCCAGACACCATCACTAAATTACTTGCACTGCCCGTATGCCCAGATCTGCATACTCCATCCTGAAAAGCTTGCCCGGTCCTCAGATGTCCATGTAAACTCTTGGACCTGGAAGTAAAGAAGCCCAGAGTTGGGCCAGATTTCACGGACAGTAAGTTTTCCTTCCCAAGCGGGTGTGGTGGGCACAGACAGGAAATGTTAGGGGTGAGAGTCTCGGTTTCAGACACAAAGCTCTCGGTGCTACGTGAGCGGGTGACCCGCTCCGCTGGACTCTTCCACGCGGCTATGGGGCGTGCCTTCACCCCACCCACCAGCTTTCTTCCCCGGGAATATGCAAAGCTTCTGGACTTGATGTTTCTGCGGGCCCTAGGTGCTTCCTCTGTGTGAAAATGAGCCAGTTTTGCCTCTCCCGGGGGCTGGACCAGTGTGCCTTCCATCCCATCACTTCCCACCGCAAACTGAGGGTTTGAGAAATCAAATTTGTTCTGTCCACATGTCGCCTGGGTTGGATGGAAACTCGGGGGAAGAGTTATTTCTTTTGGGGGGCTCCCAGCTTGTTGTTCCACGTCTTTAGCAGTGTTCCCTGTATTGGAACTGGCATTGCGCTCCAAAGCTGCCATGCCAGGGCCCAAGGCAAGTGGACTGTGGTCTGGGGCTGGAGTGCTGGCACTGGCCAGGGGGCTAGAAGGGTCCTTGGGGTCCAGCTGCATTTTCAGGCCCTTGTCTTCTCTGATGTGCGAGCCTGTCCCTGGAGGCATAGAATGAGGGTTCTCCTCACTCGCCTCCTCTCCACTTAAATGGTACTGGGACAGGCTGAAGCCATCAGCACTGCCCAGGCTGCTCTGCCGTTGAAGAAAAGTCACATCACACTCAGAGGCAGCTCGGGACCGCGTGGGCAGCAGGTCGGCCCGGTCGACCCCTGCCAGGCTTCCCAGCGTATCCACCGTGCGGTTCGCTAACTCTTCCAGCTGACAAAGCCGCAGGTCGACGCTCTGCAGGGCTGTTTTCATGAAATTTCCCCTTTCATTGATCTCATCCAACCTCACTGACATATTTTCAACTCTGGAAAAGACAGAGGGAGAGATTTTAATGAGGTGGAGAGTTCGCTACGATTTAAAAAAAAAAATCAAGGTAGTGCCCAGGAGACCGTCCAGCAGGTAAGTCACAAGCATTACAGGTGTGAGGGTGCTTGCCTTGCACATGGCCAATCTGGGTTCCATCCCCAAGCACCACCAGGAGTAGTTCCTGGATGCAGAGCCAAGAGCAATTACTGGCTATGGCCCAAAGTCCAGAAAGAAGAAAGAAGAGGAGGAGGAAGAGGAGGAGAAAGGAGGAAAGGGAAGAGGAAGAGGAGAAGAGGAAAAGGAAGAGGAGGAGAAAGAAGTGGAGAAGGAGGAGGAAGAGAGAAAGAAGAAGAGGAGGAGGATGAAGAGAATAAGAAGAGGAAGGCAAAGAAGAGAAGAGGGGGAGGAGGTATAGAAGAAGAAAAGAAGAAGAAGAAGAAGAAGAAGAAGAAGAAGAAGAAGAAGAAGAAGAAGAGGAGGAGGAGGAGGAGAAGAGAAGGAAGAGAAGAAGAGGAAGAGAAGAAGAGGAAGAGGAGAAGGAAGAGGAGGAGAAGGAGACAGAGAAGAAGAGGAAGAGGAGGAGGAAGAGAATCACTGAATTGGGCAGCGTGGCTTTTCTGGCAAGTGCATCTCTGGGTGAGGGCAGGCACCCTGGGGCCTGGTTCTGTTCCACTTGGACTCCCCCGAGCTTTCAGCATTCTCCAGACTTTGTCCCCTCTCTAGAAGTTTGCTTCCCTGCTTGCCAGTCCCTTATCCATATCCTTGTCCGTTCCTTCCCTGGTTTTCCTGGCCTTCTGCCCTGCCCTCTGCTCTTTGTTGTCTTCTGTTCCGTTATCTGCTGGACCCCAGCTCCCCTGGCTGCTTCACCCCTGACTGTTTCTGACCCTCCAGGGTCTGGTGCTTCCAGAACCATCTTTGCTGAGGCTGCAAACATGTCCTGGTGGCCATGCTGACAGCTGCTCAGGGCAGTGAGGGAGGCTCCAGGCTTCTATTCTTAACTCTTCTCGGGGAGAGGGCTATTTATATGCCTCTCGGAAACCACATCCTCTGAGCAGGAAGGGTCTGACTTCCTGCAAACTTGCCGCTGGGGGACGAAATGTAGGAGAAACCCCAACTTCCTTCTTTTCTAGTTTCCTCAACTAGGGTCCCCCTCGGTTCTAAAGGGACCAAACGAAGAACTTTCCACTATTCCTTCTCCACTCCTTGAGTTAGACTTGGTTTTCTCCTTGACTTCTGTGCTAACATTGTAGGGCCAAAGCAATAGGACAGTGTGTATGGCACTTACCTGGCATGTGGCCAACCCAAGATCGATCCCTAGCCCCCCATATGGTCCCCAGAGCCCCATCAAGAGTGATTCCTGAGTGCAGAGTCAAAAGTAATCCATGAATACTTCCCTATGTGACCCCCGCCACCCCCCAAATAACTCTACACTGCCCCATCAAAAGTAAGCTGGTAAGATACAAAGATGCTCCTTCTTCTTTAATCCATTATCATTTTCTGCCAACTTTCTCTCTTTAAGGTAAAAGGTAAAGGTAAAGGCCCTCCCGTTGATCGTCGACTTGCTCGAGCGTGCCCAGTAACGTCTCCATTGGAGACTTTGTTGTTACTGTGTCTGGCATATCGAATACTCTCGGCAGCTTGCTGGGCTCTCCGAGAGGGGCGGAGGAATCGAACTCGGGTCGGCCATGTTGGCCGCTTGTAAGGCGAACGCCCTACCCGCTGTGCTATCGCTCCAGAGGGGCTGGAGCGATAGCACAGCGGGTAGGGCGTTTGCCTTACAAGCGGCCAACATGGCCGACCCGAGTTCTCTCTTTACAGCCTGATTTTAATTACAGCATCGCCAGCTTCTCCACCATAATAAAGGAACTGCAATGCCATCTGCTCTTCAGGCCCCCTTAACTGGTCGACCCCGCCACCCCCACCTTGATTGCCCTATCAAGCTCTGTGCCGGGGGTATCTTTTAGGAGACCCAGACATTCTCCCACACCTACTGCCATTCCCTGGGGGCAGACAGTGCCACACGTCCACATGTGAGGCCTAGGCTTGAAACGTGTCCGATGCTCACTGCCAACTCCTGGAGAGAGCACCTTCTGTTGCATGCCTGTATTGGTTTATATTAGTCCTCCAAGTGAAGCTCAGGGGATCTAGGAGCCTCTCCCAGTCATATTCTGTCAGTCATGCTGATGTTCAGTGGTCCAAAGATGTGGTACTGCTCAGGCACTGTGGTTCTGGGGATTACTCAGGCCAAATCAGCAATGGATTACTCCTAGCTCTGTGCTCAGGGATCACTCCTGGCAAGGCTCAGGAGATTCTATGCAGTGCCAGGAACCAAACCCAGGTTGGCACATTTAAGGCAAGCATTGTAACTGCTGCACCATCACTCCAGTCCCATTTCTCTCCCAAGCTCTTAGCTTGGTCTCTCAATTGCCCCAGCTGTCACTTGTCACCTCAGGCAGTGAGCTCGAACAGAGTCGCCTGTACTCATTTGCGAAACATTCCTTCCACGTGGCCAACAGTTCAAAGAACAAAGAAGTCTGGGGAAGTTAAAAACAAGCTGACTGCGCCCGTCTTCCATGAAGCCAAGAAAGGGGACAACATAAATAATTACGATTTCTTCTGGGTGAAGTTCTTTCTGCCCAGAACTGAACTGAAGGAGGCTGTTATTCAGGTTCCCACTGAGCTGAGGCTGGGGGGGTAAGGGGGGGACAGGGCGAGGAAGTCTCCTGAAATGTCACAGGCTCACTTGACCCCCAAACAAGATGCAACTGCTTTTTTGGGGGGGAGGGGGAGGTCACACCCAGTAGTGTTCAGAACCTCCTCCGGGCTCTGCACTCAGGGATCACTACTGGCAGACTCAAGGGACCCTCTGGGGTGCCTGGGATTGAACCTGGCTCAGCCATGTGCAAGGCGAGCACCCTGCCCGCTGCCCTGCTTCTTCATCCAAGCCCTGCTTCTTTGCAGACACGCTCAGATGGTTGGAAACCAATGATAAGATCCCAGAGCTCTTGAAAAGGCAGATTCTGAAACCTTTTGCCAGGTTGGTTCCTGCTTTTATGACGATTTTGTTTTCGTTCTTTTTTTTTTTTTTGTGGTGGTGGTAGAGGGGTGATATGGGGGGATGGCAATGCTCAGGGCTTATTCCAGGCTCTGTGCTCAGGGATAACTCCTGGTGGTACTCAATGCGATGCTGATAATAAAACCCAGGTCTAGGCCAGTGCCCTCCCTGCTGTCTTGTCTCTCTGGCCCAAGAGAAGAATCTTTGCTGTGAATTAAGCCTGATCAACCAAGGGCCATTAAATACTGAAAAAGAAAACAAAACAAGGTGTGACAATTATGCAGTGAGAGGCTGACAGTATAATCTCATGCTTCCTGGTACAGGTCCCCAAGAATCTTTCCTCAAAATTGGACTTCGAGGGGTCGAGGGATAGAACAGCAGGGAGGGTACTTGCCTTGCACGCGGCCAACCTGGGTTCGATCCCTAGCACCCCATTTGGTCCCTTGCGTTCCACCAGGAGTGATTCCTGAGCACGGAGCCAGGAGTAACCCTGAACGGCACTGGGTGTGGCCCCACCTCCCGAAAAACAAACAGAAACCCCCCAGCAGCTCTATTTTTTGCAGCTCTGAAGGAAAGCAGTTATTAAAACTTGTTTTATGTACAACCATCTTTCCATGGACAACCACCATCATTCACCTGCTCAACATCTCATAAATTATACGGGGCCAGTTTCCTAATGGTGAGTTCAAGGGTAACCTTTTAATGAAGCAGCTCGATCCACTTGGGACTGAAAAGCAAACCCACATTTCACGGAACCACGGGATTTTCTGTTTGACTTCTAAGACACAGTCTAACCTGTAATCTTTTTTTTTTTTTTCAATTATCCCAGCTCTTTAGTTGAACTCCAAACTTTATATCCAGACATCTTCCTTCCCGTGGGTTTCTTCCTGCCTTTTCAGAGTAATTGCAGGGAGTGCGCCCAGAATAGACTCCGGTACTGAGGCTGACTCACGGCTGTTAGGGATGAAAGACTAAACCCAGAGCTAGACCTTAGTCTTCCTAAAAAAACAAACAAAAAATCTTGTGTTTTCTCATTCTGTCTGTTTGGGGGCCACACCTGGAAGTGTGCAGGTATTACTCCTGGTGGCTCAGGGAACCTTATGGGGTACTGGGGATTGAACCCAGGTCTGCCGTGTGCAAGGCACATGCGTTCTGACTGCATTATCGCTCCAGCCCTCCCTCATTCTTTTTTGTTTTTGTGTTTGCTTTGGGGCCATGCATGGCAATGCTGAGGACTGACTCCTGGCTCTACATTTAGGATGCCTCCTGGTGGGCTCAGGGCACTCTACAGGGATGCCGGGGATCAAACCTGGGCTGGCCGTGTGCAAGACCAGCACCCTCCCTGCTGTACTATCACTCTGTTCTTTTTATTTTATTTTTGGGCTTTTGGGGTCAAATCTGGCGATGCTCAGGGGTTACTCCTGGCTGCTCACACAGGAATTATTCTTGGTAGTGCTTAGGGGATCCTATGGGATGCCGGAGATCGACCCCAGGTCAGCCATGTGCAAGGCTGACGCCCTTCCTGTTGTTCTATCACTCTGGGCCCTACTTGCTCTTTAGAATATGCAGAATGCTGTAGTGACTAATAGCAGGTTAAGTTTAGGGCTTCCAGGCTGGGCCACCACGTGTGCATGAGTCAATATGGCTGTACTTTGGTCTCCTATCCCACGGTGATGGGTGTATGGATAAGCTCCTGCAACATGTTTTTATTGGTGGCTTGTGTTTTTGGGTTGGTTTTTGGTTTCTGGCCCGCACCTCACTCTGCGATCAGGGTGGGACTCGGAGCTCCTGCATGCCCAGCCTGTGCTCCAGCCCTCTGAGCCTGGGAGAAGTGTCAGCATTTCTCAGGCATTTGGAGAAAGTGTGTGGCCGGCCCCTGCAGAGCAGCAGGGAGGCGACGGAGACACAGGTCTGTGTGCTGACATGTTTGCAGGGTGAGACCCATGCCTCACACTACTGGCCCAGGCTGGAAAAGGAGGCGCCCAGGGAACAGCACTGGCAGGGAGGAGCAGGAAGAACTGACACCTGCAGTGTCACCCCTGATGGAGCTGGTGACTCAGCACTGGCAAAACTGGAGAATCAGCTCTTTGGCCAAGGGGACAGAAAAGAAAAGCCAACCAGGCTGGCAAGGGTGCAGGAAATGGCAGAAGCAGACACTCTGAGCACTCCAGGATGGTGTTTCTCGTGTGAGCCAGTACCCAAAGTTACGTAGAAGTAATGTGTGTTAGGGGCCAGGGAGGTTGGTGGTTGGTGGCTAATAGGTTGGTGGCTCTGAACTCCTGCCTTCCAATCATAAAGTCTTGAGTTCAACCCCTGGTGCCACCACATGGGCCCCAGGCTGGTGATACAGGCCATGCGATCTCTGACCACGCTAAAGGGGAGTGCCCCTCTTTGTGAGCCCCACGATAAAAAAAAAAAAAGGTGTGAGCCCCATGGCCTGGGCTTACTCCTGGCTCTGCACTCAGGAATAACTCCTGGCGGTGCTCAAGGGACCATATGGGATGCCCAGGATTGAACCCAGGCTGGCCGCATGCAAGGCAAACACCCTCCCATTGTACTATTGGCTCTGCCCCCAAATTCATTCATCATTTTTTAAGGAATAATTTTTCAATTACTACTATTATTATTATTTTGTTTCAGGGATAACACCCAGCAGTGCTCAGGGTTCTGTGCTCAGGGACTGCTCCTGGTGGGGTTCCAGGGACCCTATATGGTGCTGGGGATCAGCGTGCAAGGCAGCAACCTCCCCGCTGTCCTGTCTCTTCAGCCCAGAAGGAACTCATTTTATCTCCCTGCTCCCAGCCCTCTGGGTAAAGGAGGGGCGGACTGGAGAGATGGAGTCTCCTGAGCACTGCTGAGTTTGGGCCCAGGCGGCTCTGAGCACTTCCATGCTGGCCCTCAGACCCTCCTATTAAACTGTCACTGGCACTGGTCTTTGGACCCCTTAAGAAGCTCTTGGGAGAGCAGCCCAATTAAGTGTTTTTTTTTTCTTAAAGGAGGCAAAACAATCTTCTTCCACCCCCACCCCCACCTCCAACCCCCAGCTTCTTTTCCAGAAGGAGGTGTCGGAGAGCCTGAGGGACAGGAATGTGTTTCCTTCCCTCCCGGAGGTCTTGCTCAGTCAAGGGCAGGGAAAGTTGCACATTTCATTGCCAAGCCCGCTTGCATGCCTCTGACGCACGCATGGAACCCCGAGAGGAAAACGCAACCCTGGACTGACCTCCAGCTAACAGTCCTGAGCCCCAGGTGGAAGAATGGTGAAAACTCCAAGGCTTGGGAAAGGAGGAAGGGGGCGCGGGGCACAGAGCGAAACCAAGCCCAGTTCCTGTCACTCTTCGAAGACTGTGTTCCAGCTCTATTAATGCCTCACCGAAGCACAAGAATTCCAGCCTCCAGACCTCACCTTCACCAGGAAGTTATGGAATAATAGAATTGGACAGCAGGGAGAGCATTTGCCTTGCATGCAGAGTGAGGAGTCAGCCCTGAGCACCACCAGGTGTGACTCAAAACTAAAATAAAAGGGAGCTGGAGCGATAGCATAGTGGGTAGGGCCTTGCATGCAGCCGACCCAGGTTCGATTCCCAGCATCCCATATGGTCCCCTGAGCACCACCAGGAATAATTCCTGAGTGCATGATGAGCCAGGAGTAACCACTGTTACATTGCTGGGTGTGACCCAGAAAGGAAAACTAAAATAAAAGTAAAATAGAGCTCAAAAGCTTCTTCATGAGGATGACAGCAGTAAAGTAGCATCCCAGAGTTCCCTGTAAATGTACCTGCTGTAAAGGCGGAGAGTGGGCACAGCTCACGCTTCGCTTTGGGTGGTCAGATTATAAGGTGACTAAGTCATGGAGCAGAGAGAAGGCAGAGCTGTAGCTTCCAGGAGCTGCCTCTCCTGTCCTGCAGCCACAGAACAGCAACAGGGAACTGAGGGCACCGGGAGCATCTGCCCTGGCGCCTTGGCTGGCAGTGGTGGGAATCATTCTTTGGGGTGTCTGAGCAGAGACAATGATGACCTAGACATCCTTCCCCTGCCTCCAGGTCCATCTCCTTAGACCCATCCAGCTGCCTGAGAGGCTGGTGACCCTCTTTGAAATGATGCTGATTTATTACAGTCTTTAACACAAGTCCCATGAATCTTTTCTTTTTTTTTACAAGTTCATGAATCTTAGTAAGTGATAGATGATTACAAAAGGGTCCTGGTTTTAAAACCATCAGTACTTCCAGCTGAATAGCACCTGCCTATGCTTTACATTCCTTTAAAATACTTTTCTGGGAGAGCCAGAGTGATAGTACAGCGGGAAGGAAGCAGTACTATCTTTCTTGCACCAGCCTACTTGGGTTCAATCCCTGGCATCCCGTATGGTCCCCAGAGTACAGCCAGGAGTAATTCCTGAGTGCAGAGCCAGAGTAACTCCTGAGCATTACGAGGTGTACACACGCACAAAAAATTGTTTTTGCTTTGGAACTGTACCTAGTGATGCTCGGGGCTGACTCCTATCTCTGTCTCTGCTCAGGAATCACTTCTGGGAGACTCGGAGAACTAAATGGGTCACTGGGGATGGAACCTGAGTCAGGGTCATGCAAAGCAAGCAGCCTCCACACTGGACTATCTTGTTGCCACCTTGTGCTTTGCATTTCCCAGTGAAGTTTAGGAAAGGCTCCTCCTCCTGGCCCTCCCTGGCCACAGTCATTCTCTGCCTAGTTAAGTGCAGCCTGCAGCTGATATTGCTGGGCCGGGATAGAAAAGCATCTGAGAAGCCGAGCCTGGTTGAAAGGTCAGGGTTCCTGAGGTCTCTGTCCCTCTTCCCCATCTCCTGAGAGCACAGACCAGAGAGTCTTTACCTCTGAGATCGAAGAAAAACTGAAAAGACATGAGGGGGGATGAGAAAGAAGGTCAGTCCAGAGGGAAAAGTCACACAAGGCAGAGGCAGTGGAGTCACCCACCCCTGAGCTGACTGTTCTCTCCCTGAGAGCAGACTCCTGCTCTGGGGGAAGCCAGACCCATCACAGCTTTGGATTGTTTGTGTTCAGAGGCACCAGGAATAGCTGTGAGGTGTGGGGTCCTCATGCCCACGGCCAACACACCGTCGTCAGCCAAGAGCATCCACACTCTGCAGGAGAAACACACCAGACTTGCAGGCACACAGGAGGAGAACTGAAGTGGGGAGCGGGGTGTTCGAACTGCAGACTCCAGTGACAGTGGTGGCCACACCCCTCACCTCTCACAGGTGACACGGATGCGCTCATCGCTGGAGGCCTGTTGCTCATCCTCCTTCTCCTGGAAGTGCTCCTGCACGCACTGGGCCTCGAACTCCTGCAGCCGCTTCAGCTCCTCGTCACTGAGGAAGAGTTCTGTGCACAGGGGGAGAGCAGCTGCTGGCCTCCCAGAGCCCCCACAGGGGCAGTGTGGCCCGCCTTCCCACCCCAGGAGCAGGTCTCCGGGTGTGGACTGTGTGGCGAGATTGTAACAGGCAATTACCTCTTCCCACCCAGCAAGGCGCCCAAGAAACACATTAAAAATGAGAGCTGCTTGCTCTGGGGAACCTTTCTGTCCATATCTTACAGGTTCAAGTCTTCCCCACCCTCTTTTGATGAAATGGAAAGGAGGGTTGGGGGCTGGGCCACACCTGCTTGTCTCCTGGTGGTACTCTGGATCACTCCTCTGAGTGCCAGGGATCACACCCAGGTTGGCCGCCTACAAGGCAAGTACCTTCCCTACTCCACTCTCTCTGGCCCCACATTAAAATACTTTGAGGGGCCAGTGATAGTACAGCAGGGAGGGCATTTACCTTGCACAAGGTCTACCTGGGTTTGGTTCCTGGCATCCCGAAGGGTCCCCTGAGCACTGCCAGGAATGATCCCTGAGCACAGAGCCAGGAGTAAGCCCTGGGCACAACCAGGTGTGGCTCAAAAAAAAAAAAAAAACCACAACAAAACAAAAGGTTAAAAAGTAATAGTGAAATATTTTGAAAGGAACATTTCATCCGATAATTTTCAAGGAGTCTCTTGGTTGCTGTCCCTTTCATGAGTATGTTTGCAATCATGTTGATTATGGATCAGTTTGAGAAATGAGGACCAAGAGGACACAAAAAATGAGGAGGAATGGGCCAGGACCAGTAGGAGCTGGGGTAGGAAGTTATGTTTTCACATCGGAAGTGTTGGCAAGGGCTTCCAGAAGACTGTCTGCTGGGAGCGTGCTTTGGAATTTAGCCCAAGCAAGGCACAAGCAAAAACAGCACAAACTCGGGGGCCAGAGAGGAAGGACAGTGGGGGGGCCTTTGCCTTGTTTGCAGCCATGCCAGGTTCAATCCCCGGCATCCCATAGGGTCCCCCAAGCACCACCAGGAGTGATCCCTGAGTGCAGAGGCAGGAGTAACCCCTGAGAATCATTGGGTGTGACCTCCAACCCCCCTCCCCCACAGATAAAAACAAACCCCAGTGCATACTCAGCCCACGATCCTGCTCATCCCGCTCGCCTTCTCTCTTCTTCCTGCAGTGCCCACTGAGGCGCATAATGATCATGTAGAGGTGGCTGAGGATGATCATGGGCGGGGGCAGTACTGGCCGGTCATGAAAGGTCATGATCAGCTGGTAGCGCTGGAATTTCCACACCTGGTTGGATATTGATTTGACTTCGAAGAAGGTATTGCTTGAAGAAAGAATGCACAGTCAAAGTTAGTTCTATTAACTGGTACTGTGTATTCCCGGGGCAATTAGAGATGCAGTAGAAGAAGGTATACAATGAAATGACCAATTATTATTGACCCTGAGATAGCACCTCTTGGGGGGGGGGTGATCTATCATGGGGGTTATCTCTGCCCAACTGAGAGTATTTTATTCTTATCAGTAAGGAGGGCAGTGTATTGATATTACTATCTCCTGTCTTAAAAAGAAAAAATGACTAGTAAGATAATAGGCCTGAGTTCATCCTTTGCATGTGAGAGGCCCTGGTTCAAGCTCCACCACCACGTGGTCCCCCGAGCACTGCCAGGAGTGATCCTCAAGCACTTAGCTGGGAGCAGCCCCTGGGCATGACCCCCAAATGAGCAAACAGACAGAAACTCTAGTCCAACCCAGTGACCCACACTCTCAGAACATTTATTTCATAGGCTTGGAGGAATGAACTGACCTAGCCAACATTCGGAAATGTCAAAACTTTTGATTCAAACAACAAGTTGGTGACTTACTTTGGGGGGGGGGGGTGCTGAGGGAAGGGGGTAAACTGAATTGATTCATTATTGGAGTTATCTGAGTGGAAGGTACATTACTTTGGAAGATGACTAGGTACAGATCTTTTTTTCCTTTAGTTTTCAATCATGCAGCTGGGAGAAGCTGGGACTGTGCATTCAGGCGTGTTTTCTGCTACATGGGGCCTGGAGGACAAAGTGCACACTGAGCTGTTTCTCTGGCCTGGAATTTGAAATAGGTCTTCTCCAATGCCCTAGTCAGATCTAAGATTTTATATTTCTGTGAAGGATTTCCTCATCATTTTCAACATAAAAAAAGAAAGTTATTTTTGATGCATGGTCAAATTTTAACACATCACACCCAAAGAGGTGAGTTTTACAAGAACCTTGACTTCATATTATATGAAACATTATTTTGGATTGACCACCCTGACTCTGTGTTCAAGACTCCCCCAGCAGTACTCAGGGGTCAGGCAGTGCTGGGGAGCAAGCCCAGGCCTCCCAGATGCAAAGCATGTGCTACAGTCTTTTCAGACACTTCCTCGACTCAATCTTTCAAAAAAAATTTTTGGGGGGCTTTGTTTTTTTGTTTTTCATGCTACTGAATCCAGGATCACCAAAGGTGTCTGCCCCACCTACTGAACCACTTCCTGGCCTCGAAAACCATTTATTTTCTAGGTCTATTGGCCTCCTCTTCCCTAAGGAAGAAAATAATTTATATAATATTATAATTGCAATGGCTTGTAAAACAAGCATGACTTTCTTTTCTCTCTTGTTTTTCTTTTGGGTCACACCTGGCAATATTCAGGGATCACTTCTGGCAGGCTCGAGGTGCCAGGGATTAGACCCAGGTCAGCCACATGCAAGGCAAGCACCCTCCCCACTGTGCTATCTATCACCCCAGCCCCTCAACACTGCTCTCTGTGCATCTGGTCATGAATCAAAAGCAATCTCGGTCAAATAATTTCTCTGTCAGGAGAGTTACAACAAAGAAACCGTTTTCCTTGGCTTCAAGTATAGGCTCAGCTGTCCTAATTCTGAGCATGGATACATAGGAAGTGTCAACCCCTTGACTAATGAGCTGGAGGCCGGTGGGAAAAGACTGTTGGAATCTGACACCCCAAATGCTTGATTAAGACCTTGCATAAAGTCCAGATAGGGCCAGAGTATGTACTTGAAGACAGCGATGAGCAGGTTGACCAGCAGAATGTTGGCGACCAGGAGGTAGCAGGCCATGATGGCAGGAGTGAGCCAGGCACCCGGGATACAGGGTGGCAGCCTTTTGCCTTCTTCATCAAACAGGTTATCACCACAAGGAGCTGAAACAAAAGCCAATCTTTTCACTTTCTTGAAGACATACATCTGGCCAAGAAGCGTATGAAAACTGTCCATTATCACTTAAGAAGAAGGAAACACAAATCCAAACCTCACAACGAGAGTGGCCTCATCCAAAAAAAAAAAAAACCCAAAATAAAAACTAGGAAGTATTGGCGTGGATGTGTTGAAAAAGGAACCTCCATCACTGCTGGTGAGAATGTCACCAGTCCAGCCTCCACAATTTGGAGATTTCTCAGAAATGGGGCTCAGTGCTCCCATGTCACTAGCTGTGCCACTTCTAGGTGTCTCCCTCAGTGGAAGAGATCTAAGCTCAGCTACATTCATGGCCACTATGTGCAGTACCATACAATAGCCAGGATATGGAAGCAACACAGATGTCCAGCCACAGAGGAATGGGGAAAGAAGTTGTGAAACATCTGCACAATGAGAGATGAGGCAACCATGAGAAAAAAATAAAATCCTGCAGTTCATGGTGGTAACATGGATGGAACCGGAGGGTGAAATAAGCTGGAGCAGAAGGACGGATATGGGAACTTGCTTGTCTGTGTATCTAGAGCACAGATCAAAGGAAGGGAGACTCTCAAGTGCTAACCTTCCATGTGAGAATGTAGCACTGCAGCACTGTCCTCCCGTTGTTCATCGATTTGCTCCAGCGGCCCTGTAACGTTTCCATTTTGAGACTTGTTACTGTGTTTGGCATATTGAATATGTCACGGGTAGCTTGCCAGGATTTGCCGTGCGGGCAAGATACTCTCGGTAGCTTGCCGGGCTCTCCGAGAGGGGTGGAGGAATCAAACCCGGCTGGGCCGGGCTGGCTGCAAGGCAAATGCCCTACCACTGTGCTATCGCATGTGAGAATAAGACTAAGAATGCCAAGTTAGTGGGGAAACAGCAGGGGAACCAGCAGGCTGCCAGGAAGTAACAAAAATCGAGGGCCTCAGGCCGAGGCCATAGTACAGGGGGTAGCTTTTTTTGCCTTGCACACAGCCAACCTGGGTTAATCTCTGGGCACCGCAGAAGTAATTCCTACATGCAGAGCCAGGAGTTACCCCTGAGCATCACCGGGTGTGACCCAAAATAGTCAAAAGAAAAAAAAAAGAAGTGGAGGGTCTGGACCACATGGATGGGGTCACAGTCTGCACCAAAAACAACACTGTCACTCAACAAATAATATGCAGGGGTGGGAGAGAAGGAACACTGGACCAGAGTGGACATTAGGAATGGGGCAGGGGTGATGCTGGGCAATTAGGTGTGGGGGGGCATTAACTTCTTACATCAGTATCAGAAACTATTATAACCCTATAACCTGAAGCTATAATTAATGTATATTGAAGTTTGTCTTTTTTGGTGGAGGGGAAAGGTTTGCTTTCGACATCAGATGAAAATAATGGTGACACACATTTATTTCCATTTTTTCATTTCTTGTTGATTTTCATGAGCCGCTGTTTTGTTTTGTTTTGTTTTTTCCTGTGAAAAACATCAACTCATACCAAGAAGATAAGAAACTCATTACTGGGTTCAGAGACTTTTGACCTGTCCTACCTGTAAATGTGTTTCCTCTTCTTTTATTTTTAAATTTATTTATTTTTAATTTTTATTAGTGAGACAATGGGCACTGGTGGAGGGATGGGTATTTGATCATTGAATAATTGAAACTCTTCTTTCTTTTTATAAAAGTTTTTTTTTTGGTTAGGGGTTGGGGGATTATACCCGCTGATGCTCAGGACTTACTCCTGGCAGTACTCGGGGGATCATGTGGGATACTGGGGATCGACCCGGGTCGGCCACAAATAAGGCAAGCACCCTCCCAACTGTCCTGTTGCTCCAGCCAGTTTCCTCTTCTTTCTCGGAAGTTCTAAGCAAACTCTCTTTGTGCTTTTGTCTTTTCTATTAGAAATTATTATGTCTTCAAATGATTGAACTTTTTAGCTTATTGCTTTCAGTTTATTTTCCGGTAGACATTAACTTTGCAAATAACTTTGGGATTAGGTAGGAAGTAACAATCTTTCCCCTTTCCCCCAAATCTATTCATTAACTTTTCTGGATCATGTCTTACTTTATTTTTGATTTTGGCTTGTGCTCAGGGCCAGCTCTGATCTCTGGGCCTTCCCTGCAAAACAGGGTTGGCTGTGTGTAAGACAACGTCTTAACCTGTGTACTATCTCTCTGGCCCCTGGACCATTTTAAAAATAATCCTTGGGGCTGGAGACATAGTACAGCCGGCAGAGTGTTTGCCTTGCATGAGGCCAACCCAGGTTTGATCCCCAGCACCCCATACGATCCCTGATGCCTGGAGTGATCAGTGAGCACAGAGCCAGAAGTCAGCCCTGAGCATTGCTGGGTGTGGTTTTCAACGCTCTCTCTCTCTCTGTCTCTGTCTCTCTCTCTCTCTCTCTCTCTCTCTCACACACACATACACACACAATCCTTTCTTTCTCTGTTCATTTGAAATACCACTTAATTTTTTTCCTTCAGGAAATTGTCTCTGAAGAGGAAACTATTTCCTGAAAGACAGATGATCCCAATAGTGATTAATGAAGTTATAATTCTTCTCTCTTTTGACAGATTTTAACAAGCTATTGACAGCAAGAAAAAAGAGAAATAATCGAATCTCACGGACTAGAGGGAATCACAATACATACAGTTCATCAACTAGAGTCAACGAATCATGTAAACTTACGATTAATTTCCATGGCGTAGACTAGACAGTAATTGAAAAGCAGGAATTTTTTTTAGAAGTTTTAGTTGTTTTAGGAAGGAAGGAGAGAAAACAGGATGGCAGTGAAAGAGAAAGAAAACAAATGATTACCAACACAGGAACTGTCTTGCCATCAAAAAAATGCAAAGCATTAAAAAAAAATGCAAAGTATTCAAGGCCAGGGACAAGAGTCTTGTTGGGAACCAGTGATTGGGCTAGACACAATTACATACGTTATTAAAATCCAGTAAATACATATATTTTGTATATTTCTCCACCGTGTGTCAGAAGTGGTAACAAACACTCACAGTTAAAAAATACACAAAAATGAACATGAACCAGCTAGCAAAGGACCAATTTAACCATAGGGTTGACCAAGGTTACCATCCCCTTCATACCTCTACCAAGATCGCCCATGCACAAACACATACAAAATTATGCTGAATTAATCAGGCCAAGAATCAAAAAACCTACATTAATACATTAACATTCAGTATATATGTTTGTTTATCTAAGTTACTAACCACCTGGAACCACTTCTGATTCTTATAGTCTGGTTTATCAAGCTAACACTGTACGTGCAGGCTGGTGACACCTTCCCTTCACTGATCCAGATGATTGTCAGTACTGGGGGGAAATAAAAAGAACACCCCAGTTGCAAAGGCAAAATGATATTGCCATAGAAAATGTGAATGGGACTAGGGGTGCTATGGTTCCCCATCATTTCATTCTCCTGGAATAACTCTACCAGCTCTGTCTTGGCATGGAAAAGGATCTGAGTTGAAGGAAATGAGGAAATTGGCACTAGTGCTAGGTTCGCCTGATTGGCTGCCTGCCGGGCTCAGCTAAAGGGCCTCAGTATTCCAACAAGTGGATTTCAGAGAAGATATGATGTGTCTCAAAAACCGACATTCCCTAGGACGTCAGGAACGTCCCACGGATGTTGCCAGCAGTGAACTGTATGCCTATGCTGAATGAAAAATATTTTTTACTTCCAAATGAACGCCCACTCTTCCAGCCCCAGGAACTGGCCGCCGGGCTCGGCGGTAGGGAAGAGAATCTTACTATGAATTCTAGTCTTACGGTCTAGCTGATCGGCAAACACCTCCCCATAGATCATCCAGTACGGCATGTAGAATATGTTCCGAGCCAGCTTCCAGGAGGGCTCCTCATCGGGGTGCAGAATGGCCTGCCGGGCCACCCCAAAACTCATCAGCACCACCAGCATGATGACCACAAAGTACAGCATGTCGATCATCTGAGCAGAGAGAAAGCGAGGTGTGGTCGGCCAACTCCATCTGGCTCACTGTCCTGTCTTCCTCCCCAAACCCATCATTGAGTGTTTAACTAGGGTGAAGAGTGCTTGCCCCTTCTCTCCATCCCATCTGTGTGCTCTTAGTTTTTCTGTCCCACCCAATGCATAGATTGTGTTCTAGAATGTTCCTATCTTCATCATCCACTCTCCATTCCACTCTCCATCCTTCTTGCTTTTCTTCTACCATGGCCCTTAAAAAATAATCCTTCAGTGGCTGCAACTGCCCACGGAGGAAGGGAAGAATTATGGGCAAAAGATGGAAATTTTTTTGTGGGTCACACTCAGCAATGCTCAGGGGTTACTCCTGGCTTTGCACTCAGGAATTACCCCTGGCAGTGCTCAGGGGACCACGCGGGATGCTGGGAATCAAACCCGGGTCGGCCGCATGCAAGGTAAACGCCCTCCACGCTGTGCTATCGCTCCAGCCCCAAAAGATGGAAAATTCAAGGAAAATGATGGGGTAAAGGAGATTTCTAAGACAGGAACTAGCTGACTGACACATCATAGGTCATCACTCCTGATAGAATCATTCCTTGTATGAAGGCTGTGTGGACGCAGTGAACGCTGAGCTGCTCTGACGCCTCTGCTCAGAAGCTAGGACTGGCCATGCTCAGGAAACCCTACGCAGTGCTAGGATTCGAACCAGGGTTCAATCCCTACCCTCAGCTCTTGCTCTCCAGCCCTGAGCTGGTTTGATTCCCGAGTCTGAATGCCCCAGGGGGAGCACTGGGAAGGGCTCACTGGGATCAGCCAACCCTTTTCTTACACCTCTCTGCCCTCTGAAGAGTTATTCTCCACTGCTGTGGATTCCCTTCCTCTGGAACCTCTCCAAAGCTGTGGCTACCTTCAGGGGTGGAAAGAAGAGGAACAGTTTGATTTCAGTTTTAGTCAATGGCCTGTTTCCCAGCAAATGTTACCATGGCTTCGTCTCTTTTCTAATTACACAAATTGTCAGTGTCTGCCCAGGCTCAGGCTTGTGGGGGAATCTCCAAGGTTCTGTTGTCTTCTGTAGCTCCTGACTGTTAGGGAGTATCCACTGGCCTTTCTGAAGTCACCAATATCCAGAAGGACCATGTGTCTCCTAGCAAAGGCTGTTTCTCTGGTGAGGGTCCCAATGCAAAGGGAGACCCCAATGCAAAGATTACAGGAAATTGCATGGCATCCATGCCCGTGGTTTGCTCCGCCCCCTACCCGTGGCTGTGAGTTACTCTGGGGCTCAGTGCTCACCATCTTTCCGATCATCATGACGTAGGGCCCTAGGTACTTATTGACCCCAAAGATATCCAGGACTCGGATGTACCAGAAGATGATGTCCACACAATAGATCACCCGGCCATAGCCCATGTACGGCTGCTGCTGCAGGCGAAGGACCACGCCGACCAGGAATGTAGAGATGGCCACAAGATCTGTGATGTTCCAGTATTCCTGCAGCCAGACTTTGATTTTCTGGCTGAGTTTGCCTGGTTCTGACATGAGGACCTGCAAGTAAATTCCTGAGCATCACCAACCATGAGCACCAGGGGCTTGGGAGGTTGAGGCCGGCTGGAATATTCCAGGCCACCAGGTCCCCTTTCCTGCTGAGAGAGCTATCTAGAAAGGGAAATGCCACAGAATCCTCCCTACTCCTAGAGCCAGCATTTCCCAAATGCTCAGGAAATGCCTCCGAAATCACGTCCCGTTGGCTCCAATCAAAGCAGCAGCCTTTTGATTTTCTTCCCAAGTCTCTGGTCATGTGCCTGTTAGCCTGGTCCCAGAATTTAGTTGAAGAGAAACACTCCAGAGCAGAGAGCAACCCGTGTGGTCCCCACAGATGGGGCCCTACACCCTCCTCCCACTCCGTAGAGATGACGGAATTGGGCCAGGAAAATGGTTAGGCCAATATTCCCTTGTCACTGAGAGGGGAGTCAACAGGGGAACTTGATTTTGTCCTTTTTCCAGACCCAGCCATAAGTACAGGGCACATACCTCTCCCGCACTAACCCTCCCCTTCTGCTCCCCCCACCCTCCCCCCCAACGCTGCATCTGAATTGAAGTCAGTGATTAGGAGAGCTGGGAGAAGCTTTGGGGGCAAATACCTCTCGAACTTTCTCTAAGGCCAGGCTCAGGATATAGGCAATGACGATCCACTCCTGTGGACAGGGCCAGCGATCCATCCGCACCAGAATGACATAGTTGAAGAGCAGCAGGTAGGCCAGGTAGGAGATCTGGAGTAGGGAAAGAGTCATCGGCATCCGGGGAGATGCCACACACCTGCAACTGGACTTCCCAGCAGATGCAGCCCCGAAGCCCAGTGCCCATTTCCAGGTGGGCATCAGCATTGGCATCCAGCGGGTCACCATTGGCAGGGATGCTCCTGCTGACCTTCCCAGCATGGACAACAAGCTTGGAGATAGGCTGGAGGTTTGCATGCTTTGGCAAACACCAGCAGGGCACTGGCATCTCGTCTTGAATCTCCCAGTAGTGCTGGGAGAACCACGTGGTTCCAGGGACGGACCCCGGGACTCTTATATGCAGAGCCTGTGCTTTAGCCATTGGCATCGTCTTCCCATGCCTGGCATTTCTACTCCTACAGGAAGATGTCTGTTGTTGCTCTTGCACCCACAGAGAAACGTCACAGGCTGAATTCATATGCTTTGTGTGGAGGAGGTTGGGTTCCAGGCACAGAGCTGGGAGTAGCCCCGGACTACACTCGTGTGACTCAAAAAAAACAAACTCCTGTCACTATCAGGGATAGCTACTACAGGCAGGGAAGTTTTCACTGGTTTCCTTGGGAAACGTCATTGATTCCTCTAGTCTTGGATCTTTCCATTAGTGGTGGATGTCGGGTGAGAGGCAGGACCTACTGCTGTCTGTCCAGGCACATCGAGCCACCCTGATTGCCCTCCTCAATCCACTTGGATGTGCCTCTTACAGGCTGTGACCACAACAGGGTCTCTGTGTGAGAAGGAAGAAAAGGGCACAGGAAAAGGCATATTAGGGAGAGGCATTAAGGGGAAAAGGCATATGGGAGAGAAGTGTATGGGGGAGAGGCATATTGGGGAGAGGCGTATGGGGGAGAGGCATATGGGGGGAGAGGTGTAGGGGAGAGATGTAGGGGGAGAGGTGTACGTGGCCAGGACAACCCTAACTCCCTTATAGTTTTGATTTTTGGCAGTGCCAGCAATGGTGCCCAGGCCTTTCTCAGGCAAAGCTGCATTCATCCCTTGAACCATCTCTCCAGCCCTCTCCTCACACTGCTGAATAAACAACCATGGTGTATCTAGGCCCCATTATCAGCTGGAGAGCAAAATCCATTTCCATTCATTTTCACTAATCCAGGCAACTTCAATGGATGTTTAGACACTTTGCTACATTCTTGCCAAGTGGCGGAACCTCTGGAGGAGGCTGGACTCACAGTGTAGAACCAGAACTTGACAATGGGCGCGTTGTAGAATTCACATATCTTTGTTCCGATGGGAATGCTCTTCCGCTTCTTGTGCTCATTCTCTTCATCCCCCTTTCTGGAGCCAGCATCTGCATTTGCATCCTGGAAAACAGGACGCCTGGGAAGTGGGAAGTGGGACATAGTGGCCACCATCCTCACTACCCCTAGCCCTTGCAACATCTTAACCAGACAGGCAATGTGAAGACTTTGAAACAAAGATTTGGAAGGGTTCCCACATGACTAGATGGCTCTGTACTCCTGGAAGAGAAATGCTGGAGGCAGAGAGAGGACATGGACGCCCCTCCCCAGCCCTCACCCCCCCCCACACACACACACACACTAGCAGTGCTCAGAGGCAACTCCTGGCTCTGTTCAGGGGTGACCCCTCATGGTGTGTGGGAATTGGAACTGGGGTAGGCTGCATGTCAGGCAACCCCCTACACCCCGGTACTGTCTCTGGTCCTCCTTTGCAGCCTTCACAGGGTTGTAAATTGTGATCTGTGAGGCCACTGACCACATTCTCTTCTTTGTCTTTGCCATCTTCGTTTTCCTTGGCTGTTTGGTATGAGAAGTCATCAGAGGTGCGGAATTCCAAAAACAAGATGGTGGGGGGAAGAAGGATCCCCAGGATCACCTAGGAAGGGGAAGAAACAGAGATTAGATGTCAGCTCTCCACAGTTCTCCCAACTCAGCTCCACACCCATGAATCACTAATCTCTCAGCCCTGGAACATCTCTTTCTCTGCTTGGACACTCCGTGTCCCCTTCACAATGTTTCTTTGAAAGAATTTCAGGCAGCAAGCACTGTCCAAACCACTAGCAAAGGCTTTCAATGCCTAGCAAGAGGCATAGTAGAAAGCAGACTCCTTGGGACAGGCGCACTCGGGGAGCAGGGGCCTTTGCTTTGTGTGAACATATACTTAGTTCAAGTTCCAACACCGTAAGTTCCCCTCCCCCAAAACCACTGGGTGTCACCCTAAGGGCACCAAGTACTGCCAGATGTGGCCCTGATATCTCTCAGCACCCCCAGGTATGAGCAGATCACAGTGCCAAGTCCGAGCACTGAGGGCCGCGAGGGCAGACCCCAAAGGCAGTGTCTCCAACTTGCCCCCAGCACCACTGGGGTAGCCCTAGTAGGCCCCAAGCATGGAATTGTTATGTCCACAGCTCCAGGGTGAGGCCTGGGCCCCTGAAAGATTATCATGTTATATATGATATCCCTTTACCTACTTTCAACACTCGGTTCTTTCAGTATCCATATTGCAAACCATAATACCCGAGAAAGAGAGAGAGAGAGAGAGAGAGAGACAGAGAGACAGAGAGACAGAGAGACAGAGACAGAGAGACAGAGAGAGAGGTAGGGAGAGAGAGAAATAGAGACAGAGACAGAGAGAGAGAATAAAAGTGCCTGCAATAGAGGCAGGTGGTGAGGGGGTAGGAAGGAAACTGGGAACATTGGTGGTGGGAAATGTGCACTGGTGAAGGGATGGATGTCGGAACATTATATGACTGAAACCCAGTCATGAACAACTTTGTAACCGTATCTCACAGTGATAAGAAAGAAAGCATCAGTGTACTGCATTATTTAATTTAAAAAGTAAAATAAAAGACAGTAATACAGGGGCCATAGAGATAGCGCAGCGAGTAAAGGGCTTTTCCTGCAAGCCACTAACCCTGGTTCGATTCCTGGCACCCCCGATAGTCTCCCAAACTCCATTAGGAGTATCTCTGGGCACAGAATCTGGAGTAAGCCCTGAGTCTGACCCCCCCAAAACAAAACAAATAAAAAATGATACTGAGTAGACAGTCTGGAATTGACTGAAATACAAAGGTAGAGAACAAAAGGCAGATGGGCTCATAGGGAAGGACTGCCAGTAAATCACCCAAATTACACATAGTTAACAACACACAGCAAATGACTCTGGGTCATTCGATGGACACACACACAGGTAAGAGCTTTGGCAGATAGACTGAACGCTCGACGGAACTCTGACTCTGACACGCGCGTCTGTATTCCTGCTCCCTTTCTTGCTCAGGCCAGGGACTGCAATTTTCACAAGCTGAAGGTTTGTACACACCCTGCATAGAGCAGGTCAGCTAGGCATCTTTCCACTAGCACACGCTCCTTTCATGTCGCTGCCATGGTCAGGTGCTTCTCCCAATATTTCATACTTGGTCATCATTATTATATCTGTTCCAGAAACCAGTCATCTGTGCTTAATGATCTTTGATGTAATTATTATAATTGGGAGCACCACAAACTGGACCCAGAGGACATTTGGGAAAAAGTTTTTCTGGATTTTTGGGTCACACCTGGCAATGCTCAGAGTTTACTCCTGGTTCTACACTCAGGAATTATTCCTGGCAGTGCTCAAGGGACCATATGGATGCCAGGAATTGAACCCCATCAGCCACCAGCAAGGCAAATGCCCTACCCACTGTACTATTGCTCTGGAACCAGATACTTGGAATTAAACTGGTCCATGTGAGGGGTCCCCACAGCTCCCTCTTCCTCCTCCAGCTTTCCTATTACCTGAGACACAATGTTAACATGAGACCAAGTAATAACCCTGCTGTGGCCTCCAGGGTCCCAGAGAAAGGAACAGTCACCCTGTTTGAATCCAAAGTCGAGAGGTACCAATCAAGCAGTGACTGCCCACGGACCTTTAAGCCCGGGTTCTTCCGCATTCTCAGCCTCCCCATCCACATGTCTGTGAGCAGCATCTGGCTGCACGTGTGTGCAATGAAGTCCCGGTGCTTGGCGGCCACGGCCAGCTTGAGGCAGGTGGAGTTGCTCCAGTTTTTCAGTTCGTAGGTTAATAGCTTCATGGCGATCTGCTCATCATGCTTATAGGACTGGTCCAACAGTTCCACGGCCAGCTGCCCGAAGTCCCTGGGGGAAAGGAAAAGGAAGTGGAGGTGAGGCCACAGTTCTCTGTGAGTGAGCTGAGTCCATGGTAAGAGGACGGAGGACGGAGCCAAGGGACCCAGAAGCCTTGATTCCCAGGTCTTTGCAAGCAGGAAGCTTCCCAGGCCATGGTTTTCAACATCTGCATCACTGCAGACTGGCGGAAATAGGAAATGAGTTTGGGGATTATTAGAGCAGAAATGAAAAGGATGACTTACAATAATTATAGAGGAGCAGGAGTGCTAGGACAGCAGGGAGGGCACTTGCCTTGCACACAGCCCACCCAGGTTCCATCCCTGGCACTCTGAGCTCACCAGGAGTGATCCCTGAATACACAGCCAGGAGTTAACCCTAAGCACTGCTGGCTGTGGCCCAAAACAAAACAAAATAATACTTATAGATTTGGGGTCAGAGAGATAGTACGGTGGGTAAGGTGTTTGCCTAGCATGTGGCTGACTCAGGTTTGATCTCTGGAACCACATAAGGTCCCTTGAGCACTGCCAGGAGTGATTCCTGAGTGCAGAGTGAGGAGAACCCCTGGTCATTGCTGGGTGTGACAGAGAGAGAGAGAGAGAGAGAGAGAGAGAGAGAGAGAGAGAGAGAGAGGAAAGGGAGGGAGAGAGGAGAGGGGAGGAGGGAGGGAGGGAGGGAGGGAGGAAGGAAGGAAGGAAGGAAGGAAGGAAGGAAGGAAGGAAGGAAGGAAGGGAAAATCTAGATGAGAAGCTGGATTAGAAACAGCTGGATTAGGAAACCAAATTAGGAAACTAGAAATATAATAGCGATCCAGAATCTCCCCAAGACCCAAGGCACATGGACTAGGCTGATGGGTGAACATGCAGCTAACTCAGCTGCGTTTCAGTGAGAAACATTCCTCCTTCCCCCCAATGCCAGCAAATCATTTCTCCTGCTTCTTAGTTCCCCAAGGACACAAACTTGGAGTTGTTGTCCAGATCCTGGGAGATATCGTCCACCAGCTCGCTCTCCGAGGATTCATGGGCCATGGCCTTGTAGAGCTTGCAGGCCACCAGGGCCTTGGCCAGGCTTTCCTCACCACGCTGCCACAGGAAGACCGCCATGCGCTGGCGCTTCATCAGCACAGCCCACACCATCAGCTCGTGGAAGGGGAACTGGAAGCGGCTCACTGCAGGGTCATCCACGTCGATGTCCACCTCCTCCTCCTTCTTCTTCTTTTTCTTCTTCTTCCCTTTGGCAGGAGGCTCATCATCCTGAGGGGGAGACAATCACCCGTTGATGATTCTGCCCTCAATGTGCAAAAAGGCCCATTCACAACTCCCGGAAGAAAAACACTTTTATTTATTATTATTCTTGACTTTTTGGGTCACACCCTGTGATGCTCAGGGTTACTCCTGGCTCTACACTCAGGAATTACTCCTAGCAGTGCTGGGGGGACCATATGGAATGCTGAGGATCGGACACGGGTCAGACACATACAAGGAAAATGCCCTACCCACTGTACTATTGCTCTGGCCCAAGAAAAACGTCTCCATCTGAGCAGATGGAAACGGAAACGTTTCGGGACCGCCAGGATGGTCCACCTCTGGGGAGGAAATGAGGCAGAGCCCACTTCCTAACCCAAAGAGAACCCCTGTGATTGGCTGAAACTGTAACCAATTACCACTTGATACTTCATTTGCATATCACCACACCAATCATGGTTGGGCTAACCTTTCACCTACCTTGCATTTTGCTGGCCAAGAGCCAATCACGACTTGACTGGCTTCACCTAATTTGCATAACAGCCCTGCCAGGGGACCAGCTGCCTATGAGGATGTGAACTTGTAACACAATATTCAAGAGCATGTTGAGTCTGTGTCTACTGGGCTTCAGTCCTAAAATCGCCTCCCTAATAAATGCTTCTATTTTGCCTGAACAGGCTTCCTTTTCTACTCAGTATGTGACTTCTTTTTGCAAAGATGCATGTCTCTATTATGAAAGGCACCCCATCTAAAACCAAGCAAATGGAAAAGATTTATTGTGGTTTGAAGAACCTACAATCCTGAGTTGGTCATTCTTCCCACTCGCCCCGCAGAACTTTTAAATGGGGGAGAAGCTTGATAAATTCAAATAAAATCCCCTTCAAATACAAATAGCCTCGTGGCAGAGAGCCATTTCCACAGACATTTCCTCCGGGGAATTCTTCCCACGCAGCCAGCTATCAAGACGCCTCGTCAGACACAGCTGAGTCTGAGATTACCAGGAAAAGTGGAAAAGGGATGGAAAACAATGAATATCTTGGGCTTGAAGGAAGCAGATGTTGCATTCTGAATCTGCTTTGACCTTTAATGCACGTGAAACAAATGGAAGTTCAACACTCCCAATTTCCTAGGATAAGAAGGGAAGCTCTGAAAATGGTCCAGGGGCCAGGAGGCTGAAAGGTAACGACAGGGCTGCATGTACCCTCCCTATGCTCAGTCCCAGCACCACACAGCCTCCTGAGCACTGCCAGACATAGTGTGAGGAGCCCTCAAATATCACTAGGTACTACCCTAGAGACCCGAGCACTGCTGGGTGTGGTTCTGCAGGCATATCTAGGGTGACCCCAATCATCCCCTATACCACAGAGCTAGAGCAGTGCTGCATCCTTGGGCGCCCTTGCATAGAACCATCCAACCAGTTCATTGAGTATCTCTGGGAGAGGCCCTAGGGAGTTTCCTAACACCCCTCCTACAAATAAAAATAAAAATGGGACAAGTTCCAAAGAGAGATAACCACCAGGAATTTGGGGGTAACACACAAGTGTGGAAATGGGAGGGATTAGACTAGTCCAGACCTACACCTCACTCATCGCTGCATCTAGAAATGGATATTTGAGACCTTGCAAGCTGCATTCCCATGAACTGGCTTCTTTTTAAAAAATAGTTTTTCAGTGTTTGTTATTTGCAGGGTCATGTTCAGTTACGCCTAGGGCTAATTTCTGGCTCTATTCTCAGGGATCACACCTGGTTGTGCTTGGGGGGGCATAAGCAGTTCTGGGGACCAAACTAAGATCTGCCTTTTGCAAGGCAAGTGCTTTAGCCACTGAATTATCTTTCCAACCCTCAATCGCCTACTTTCACTCTTTGTTATTACTATTGCTGGCCTCCCAACCAGTGTCCAGGGGGTCCCAGGGACACCTCCACACTTATGTGGGGTCAATGCTTGACCAATCAGCAGTTCTCAGGGACCACCCACACTGTATGTGTAGGTGCTGGGGTCAGGGCATGCAGTGCCAGGGCTGACCTCAGGGCATGATTCTTGCTGGCACTCAGAGAATCTGGTTGTTCTTTTTATTGCCTCGAAAGGGCAAGTTGTGGCAGAAATGTGAAATACTTGCCCATGTGCCACAGCTAGAGTGGCAGAAACCCAGCTCTTGATGCCTAACACTGCTCAGAGTTCATGACTGTTCGATTCTTACATCATCACTCATTAACCATGTGTCTCCTGAAACTAGCATATCCTGCCTGGGTTGAAATGTGTTCACTCTCATGTTCTAGTTTTTTTTTTTTTTTGGAAGACCATATGGGGTGCTGGGGCTTGAACATGGATTGGCCACATGAAGGCAAATGTCTAAACCACATGCAAGGCAAATCTCTCCAACATTAGTAATTGAGGGACATTTGGTCTAAAGTATTTTAAATGAACATTATAGAGATTTAAAAAATAAACACAGCTTTCTGTTCAAGGGTACATTAAATAAAATAAGAATCCATAGGAGAGGATGTTTGCCTTGTAGGCAGCAAAACTGAGTTTAATCTCCATCTGGTCCCCTGAACCCCACGACGAGTGATCCCAGAGCACTGCTTGGTGTAGCCTCCAAAACAAAACAAAACGCCCAAACAAAGTACGATAAATGACTAAGAAAACATTGTGACAATAAGCCATGTCAAGCTTACCTGCAACAATAGGACATTATTAAAATGTTCCTGGCATTCAGACTGTCTTAAAATAATATCAAGATGGCTAGAAAGATAATATCCCAGCAAGAAGTGACATTTCCGTAAAATGTAAAGAGTGGCCAGGGATCATTAAGAAAAAGAGAAGGAATCTATTAAACAATCTATTAAACATTTACAACCAGAAAAAGTCTCTCAAAACTCAGAACTCAACTTGAAGAAAATTAGTAAATATGGAAGTTAATTGAGTCACACAATTACCAGGTTTCATAGATAAGTATAAGATTGTACCCAACATACCAAGAATGCCCAGCACACATAGATCATTAACAAAAACCACCCAAGCATTAAATCCCGGTTCTTTTTGAGATTTTCTGTGGCGACACATTTCAGACCTCAGATATCATGTAGTTTTAGTTCAAGGAATAACGTCAGAAATCAACAGTTGTAGGGTAACAAATGATTTTTGTGCTTTGTTGTCATTTGTGGGAAATTAGAAAAGCATCTCTAAATAACTCTTTACAGATAACTAGAAAATGTTAAAATATTTATAAATAAATGGCAAGAAAGATTTGACTTAGGATTAAAAATGAATGACCTTGCCTTTCAAATCCAATCAAAACTATAAAGTAGTTTTCCGTAGAGTATATGAAAGGAAGGAATAAAATTTATAAAAACAGATATTAGTGAAACAGGAAACGGGGGGGGGGGGGATAGTGGCCTGATAAAGCAAAAAAAAATTCTAAACAAATTATGTGGGAAAGTTTGGGTAGACCAAAAAGAATATATATTTTTTTAATTGGAAGAAGAAATGGCACAAAGGAATTGAGCTAGCTGAAAAATGAGAATATTAGGATTGGAGAGATCATATCAGAAGTAGGACACTAGCCTTGCCCACTCCAGATTGATCCCTGGCACACATATGGGTCTCCACACAGCCAGGAGTGATTCTTGAGCATGGATCAGAAGTGGCTCCTAAGCAGTGCTGGTGTGACCCCACTCTATCCCTCAAATGAAAATATTAATTTATAAAATTTAAATAAGCAGAAATTTATACCATACACTTGAAATTTTTAAATGCAGTAAACTGTTTTAGGGACTGGAGTGATAGTACAGTAGGTAAGGTGTTTGCCTTGCATGTGGCCAACCTGGGTTCTATCCCTGACACCCCATATGGTCCCCCAAGCACTGCCAAGAGTAGTTCCTAAGTGCAGAGCCAGGAGTAATCCCCAAGCATTGCCGGATGACCCAAAAACAAGTAAGTAAGTAAGTAAGTAAGTAAAGGCCCTCCCGTTGATCATCGATTTGCTCGAGCGGGCCCAGTAACGTCTCCATTGGAGACTTTGTTGTTACTGTGTTTGGCATATCGAATACGTCATGGGGAGCTTGCCAGGCTCTGCCGTGCGGGCGAGATATTCTCGGTAGCTTGTCGGGCTCTCCGAGAGGGGCGGAGGAATCGAACTCGGGTTGGCCATGTTGGCTGCGTGCAAGGCAAACGCCCTACCGCTGTGCTATCGCTCCAGCCCAAATGACCCAAAAACAAACAAACAAAAAAAAAATATTTGTCTTACAAGAAAATGTAAATGTCTCATCAAAGTAGACATTAGAAAATAAAAAGTTTCAAAGGATTCTTATAACAAAAGTTATCAAAGAGATGGCAAAAAATATGTCCATAAAAAAATAGGCCGGGGATTGAGTTATTTTACAGATGAGTTCAACCAAACCCTCGCCCAGTAGATACAGAAGCATGACAAAGAATATAAAAAGGGGGGGGAGTCTGCAAAGTTGAATATGAATAATGCAGGACTCTAGCCCAGCAATGTAGCAATCTCTGTCAACTGTGTTTCATGGAAAACAAACTTCCCCGTGAAAATGGTATGATTTTATGCTTCACCAAAACAAACAGAAAGCTGCATATATCTGACCAAGAGATCACAAAGCAGTGGAACACAAACCCTACTTACTTCCATTCCCAGAAGTTTGAGAGCCTTTGGCTGCACAAGGCAAGAAAACAATCAAGTTACTCAGAGCTGAGGGGTCTTGCTGACACATTACCGTGGTGAGAGGGGCCTGGCAATTTGCAGGAACGCAGGACTTGGGAAGGGCCATATTTGTGGCTAGGAAGCACTATGGACAGAAGCCTAAGCTTATGGAGCAGGAAAAATCAGCAGGCACAACCGTCACTCCGGGGGCACTCAGGGGGAGAACCAGGAAGGGGGGGCTCTGGACAGAGCGGACATGGTCTTGTGGGAAGCTTTGGGTTTTGTCGGGAAAGCCACAGTGAGATCAGGGGTCCTGTCTGGTTTGGGGGCAGGTTTGGGTTCTTGCAGGACCTAGAGAGCAGCTGTCAGACCATCCTGGCTGCTGTGATCACAAACTTGATGGTGCTTCTTCATGGAAGGTTAGGGTAGGGGCAGGGCAGATTGGTGAGGGCAAGGAGCTGGGCAGCAAGGGTACGAGAAGACACGCAGAGGCGCTGGGCTGGGCTGGACAGTGGACAGTGGGGAGCGGCCACTAGGCCATGAGAAGGTGTATTGCAGGGGAATGAGTTTGGTTTTGAACAGGGGCCACTGGAGAAGGATTGGAGCAACCCAGGGCCCGGCAGGCACCACCCCACCCCTGCATGCTCTCGGCTCTACCCTCTTGGGGCCAAACAGGTTGTTGTAGAGGGTCCGGAAGCTCTTTCGCGTGTAACGGCAGCGGTAGGCCCCACCCATGAGGTACTCCAGGACCAGCCCGATGTCGATAAGACTGATGTGGTAATCGGGGGGCAGGTTGCCCTGGAAAACAGGAAATTGGTCTCAGGTGTGGCTGCAAAGCTCTGGGTCATCCCTGGACCCCCAGGGAGCTGTGGGCAGGAATGTCATGGGCAGAACATGTACAGATGTCCCGTTTGTAACCGTGGATTGAGGCGAGGGTGGGGGAAGTGGGGGACAGGCAAAGCCAGGCTGTGGACAACGGGATACACATTCCCAGGGTGAGGAGCAAGAGCCCTGGAACATGCATGCATGGATGGAAGGCAAGGTTGCACTTCCTCTCCAAGGGCAGATTTGGTTGATCTGAAAGGTTCCATGATAGCTGCTTGCTCAGGAGAAGCCAGTTGGGGGGTTACAGGAGGATTTCCTACAGAAGAGACGTGGGACTCTGCGGGGCACAGCATGAGAACATAATGGAGCAACCCCCAGGATGGAGACATTAGCGAGGGTAGAAAGGGAAGTGTGATCTTTTTTATTTTTTGGTTTGGGGGCCACAACTGGTGGTGCTCAGGGTTTGTTCCTGGCTGTGCATTCAGGGATCACTCCTGGCAGTGCTCAAGTGACCTTATGGGATGCTGGGGATTGAACATAGGTCAGCCGCGTGCAAGGCACGTATTCTTCCCACTGGACTATGTCTCTGGCCCCCAGAAGTGCATTTAAAAATTATTATTAATATCTCATTGCTCGATAATATTCTGAACTTTGATGGGTTCAGCCTTTTGCCTCCTCCTATGCATAAGATTTGGTCCACCCACCTCTAGCGGTCCAGCCCAGCAGAGACAGTTTCTAATGAACTCTCTGCATGTGAGCATTGTATCTCCCCACTTCCTCCTGGTTCCAATAAGACCTTCTTAACCACCACTAGCTATGTGGTGTGATTGGGAGAGGGTGAACAGTCAGCGGGTGGTAGAGAGAAAGGCAGTATGTCTACGCCTGTATGCGCACACATGTATATGCACATGTGCGTGTGTACATTTCATGCATGTGTGTGTGCATGTGGGTGCGTATCTCGCCCCAGAGCAGCTGACTCAGCCCCACATCCCTGCACCATTGATGGCTTTCTGAATGTCACTAGTCACTGGGGTCCCTCTGGTGGTGATCCCACCAGTCAGATGTCTTCTCCTTGCTTTGGGAATGGCCACGTCCCCCAAAGGTATATGCTCAGCCCCTGTGGAGACTGTGGGGGGGTTCAAGCATAGAGCTGAGATATCAGCTCTGCTCTTGGGGGACCACCTATTCCCCAGGCAATAGTGCAAGACTCCCAACAGCATGCCCAGCTCCTCTGGGGCATCGAAAAAGATTCCTGGGAAAAGGGGGCATTCTAGGAAGGATCAGAGATTGTGGGGAGCAAGGAACCAAGGGGAGGGGCATAGTTTACGCACTGTGGAACAGCCTCGGGAGGGAGGGAGACCAGTGGGGTACAAGTTTCTGGGAAGAAGGCTCTGGGTTTGATCCCCAGAACCCAATACAGTTCCCTTAGCCCTGGCAGGAATCAGGCCGAGAGCAGTCAGGAGTAAGCCCTGAGCACTGCTGGGTGTAGCCTCAAAGCAAACAAACAAAAAGGTTATTGAAAGGTACCCAGAGGTGGGGGTCAGAGTGACAGAACAGTGGGGCGGGTGTTTGCTTGCATGCAGTCGACCGGGTTCTATCCTGTCATCCCATTTGATCTCCTGAGCACTGCCAGGAGTGCAGAGCCAGGACTGAGCCCCGAGCATCACCGGGTATGACCCAAGAGAGCAAAAAACAACAACAACTAAATACATAAATAAATGTTAAATGTTAAAATAACCGTTACCCAGAGGTAACGGTTACAGAACAAAAGACTGACCTTTTTCACATCCCTCACCAGCAAATGGAGAGTGTTTGGTGGTCCCAGTCTCTGAAAGTAAAATTAAAGGTGTTCTTTAGAGGTTGGTGCATGGGTGAAGGTATATGGCTTGCAGGCACTAACCCTGTCTAATGCTTCACACTAATGTTCAGTGTCTAAGCTTGATTCCAGCCCTGCACTGTGTGCTCCCCTGAGTCACTGCAGGGTGGGGCAGAAAAGAAAAGAAAAGAAAGGTGTTTTACACTTCTTTCAGAGAGAACTTCTACCCCACTCTCTAGAGTGAGTGAGTTTTTGGTTTTTTAGAGGGGGCACACCAAAAAAAAAAAAACCCTGATAGTGCACCAGGTGGTGCTCAGGGATGACTCCTGGCTCTGTGCTCAGGGAGCACTCCTGGAAGGGCTTGGGTGATAAATGGGGTGCCAGGGATGGAATCCAGGTTAGCTGAATACCACGCAAATACCCACCTGCTGTCCTATCACTCTGGTACCTCAACCTGTTCCTTTGTAAGACCAGAAAAGAGGCATCAGCCACAATTTAAAAATAGGCTAAATCCTTTCTACTGGATTATTTTACAAAAAGCAGCTCTGATGTATAATATTTGAAATTCACCAACCCAGCTGTAACAAGCAACTGGGGACCATTTCTTCCATGTAAGGTTTTAGAGGAAGGAAATGATCCTTCTCAAAAGTCACATGGTATTAGTACACCTGGAGAGAGTATTGTTATTCTAACACAGCAGAACTGCAGGAAACTTGGTTCTATATCTTTTTATTTAAGCTACATTAAAAAGTAGGGATCCCAGGGTTTGAAGAACTGTTGTCCCACCCCACTAATTTTGCTCTGCTAATGACTTAGGAAACCAGATTCCCTCAGTTATAAGCTCCTATAACACTTCTGAGATAAGAGTGTGTGTGTGTGTGCGTGGGGGGGGGGGGGTGACATTAGTGGACAGAGGTTGATGTTGGCATTGGGCGTAGGATTGGGGCATTGTATACCTGAAGCCGTTATTGACAGTATTTTAAACCATGGCACGCAAAAAAAATGGAGGGGAAAAAGTAGACAAGAGAAAGAAAAGGAAGGAAGGAAGGAAGGAAGGAAGGAAGGAAGGAAGGAGATAGCAAAGGAAGAAAGTAAGGGAGGGAGAGAGGGAAGGAAAGGAAGGAAGGAAAGAAGGAAAAAGAAGGAAAGAAGGTAGAAGGAATGAAGAAAAAGGAAGGAAGGAGGGAAGGGAGAAAGAGAAAGGAAGGAAGGGAGGGAGGGAGGGGGGGAGGGAGGGAAGGAAGGAAGGAAGGGAAAACATGAGAACCAGATGCTATAATGTCAGCTTGCCCAGGGGGACCACACCCGGTGACTGCTCAGGGCTCATTCCTGAGCCCCCCATACACACACACACACACACACACACACACACACACACACACATGCACGCATGCAGGCTCACGTGTAATGGACCTAGGAGATGGCCACGTGAGGCGACCCTCCTCCGGGACACTCACCGTGTTGTAAAGCTCTTCCAGCCGCGGAATGGTAAGGAAATGGTGCATGTTCACCCCGTTTTCAATCAGGAGCTTCACAAAGTCCACCCGATCCAAGACTAATGCGTCCAGCATGGCTTGTTCCAGAGCATTCACCTGCACAGCCAGTAGGGGGAGTGCCCGAGTGGTTGCGAATGTGGGGGAATGTTCTAGAACATTCTGAGCAACATTCAGAGTCAGCTCAGTGGAATGGAGCTCATGCTTTGCCTAAGGAAGCCCACATTAGATGTCCTGGGTCCCCCAAACACTATGTGGGCATGACTGAGTACTGAGCCAGAAGTAGCCCCCAGCACGCTTGGATGTGACCACCCCCCCCCCCCTCAAATCAGCCAAACCAAAGTCTTCTGGACATGGACCTTTTGCTTCTGTCTGGAATTAATGAGTCCCATCTCCCTTCTCCATTGGTTGCAGATGGGTCCCTGTGTGTCCCACCGGTGCAGCCCCCAAATGGAGCTCCCCCTACCCAATTCAGCAGCTCGATCTTGCGGGGGTCTGTCTCCTCCTCAGCTTCCTCCTTGCCTTTCCCTTTCTTCTTTCCTTTCCCTTTGGCTCTGCCCGCCTTGGCTGCAGCAGGGAGCTTCTTCTCCTCCGGGATCTTGCTCTCTGCAGGCGGGGCCAGGCTGCCCAGCGGCTGTAGGCAGCAACAGGCAGTGGTGGGATGAGGGATGGATAGACACTGTGCCCCAAATGGGTCCCCTCCCACTCGAATGTGGTGCACACACCAAGCACACATGTGCATGCAGATACCACACACAGGCTTGCAGAGCACTGTGTACATATGAGCATAATACACATGTGTGCGCACACACAGAAACATGCATGCATGCACACACAGACACATAGTCACACACTCATGCACTCACATACACATATGTGCACACACACACACCGATACACACATGTGTACAAACACACTCAGCATTGTCTTAGCTGTGTGCGGAGAAAAGCACTAGTACCAAACATGTGGTTATGTGCTTGGTGAAGTAATTTTTAAAAAATTGCTTTTGGGCCACCCCCAGGGGTGTTCAGGGCTTTCTCCTGGCTCTGCGCTTAGGGATCACTCCAGGTGAGGCTCAGGGGATTTATGGGGTGCCGGGAATTGAACATAGGTCAGCTCCATGCAAAGCAAGCACTCTATCCTCTGTTCTCTCTCTCTGGTCCCCTTGATGAAGCATCTTTAAGTGCGTCAAGTGACTGACTTTTTCATTTTTTTTTTCAAATTTAACAGGTCTCTCAACCGGTTCTCAGGGGCCTGAAGATCTCTTCCTGGTGATCGTTGGCCAACAGGGATCAAAGTTCTGGCCAGTGATGGGGACCATCAGGGTCACCCAAGCAGTATCTGGAAGCCTCCAGAACATTATTTTGTCATGCTGGGGTCCCTGAGGGGTGGCGATGCTTAAGGGGTCCAGACAGCTCTGTGCTCAAATCTATGTCCCCTGCCTGTGTAACAAACCCCTAGGAGCTGCGCAACAGCCTCTGGCTTCTGACAGGTATGTTAGCCCAGGGGAAACCATGTAGAGGTGAAGTCAAAGGTCCCAGAGCAATGTCTGTAGCTGCTGATTGGAGGAAAATCTCAGGACGAGGCCAGAGGTGACAAGCCAGTCACAGAGGTCAGTTGGGATAGAAATGGGAAATAGTTCAAATAATCTTTTGAGATTCCTTCTTTAGCTCATAAGTTCCTTAGAAGTATGAGGAATAAACATCAGAGAAAAATTCCTGAAGCTTTGGGAGGTATTAATTTCGTTTAATTATTATTCTCTTTTGTGAAGCAAGGATGTTTTTATTGAAACTTATTTACAGCAACATGAGGGAAGAGAGAGTCTGAAGAAGTACATGTTCCAGAGGGAATAGAGAGTAGAAATGAGCAAGCAAAGAAACATAAAGATAAGTCAGAGAGATGCGTGTTCAAGGGAGAACACGGCTCGAGGAGAGGGTCTGGGTATTAACGTAAAAAAAATGACAAAATAAAAACAATTAGAAGGCTTGCTCCAATCCTCCTTGTATCTCTGCATGCATGTGAAAGAGGATGACTCATTCATTTCTGCTTTCAATTTTATTATTCCGGTTTGCAGTTTTACCAAGGGCAGGCCTCACACATACGGATGAAGGCCAAATGAATAGTTTTTGTTCTGGAAAGTCAACAGACATTTCTTTCTGTGTCCAAAAGTCTCAACAAGGCTGGCCAAGGCTTTGGATTTTTGGTTTTAAAGTGGAAGCTGTCTCTGGGTCGGAATCCTGGGTGCCCAGATTATATTCACCTTATTTTCCTTCAAAAATTGTTAGTTCAACATTTTAAGACTCAGTCTTGGGAATTTTCAGTGTGTGCGTGTGCATGTGTGTGTGCGTGTACGTGTGTGCGTGTGTGTGTGTGTGTGTCTGTGTCTGTGGGTCTGTGTCTCTGTGTGACTCTCTCTCTTCATCATTGTTGTTGTTGTTATTTTGGGCCACACCCAGTGTCGCTCAGGGCTTACTCCTGGCTCTGCACTCAGGGATCATTCCCGGCAGTGCTGGGGGACCATATGGGGTGCTGGGGATCTAATCTGGGTCAGCCATGTGCGAGGCAAGAGCCCTCCCCACTGTTCTATTGCTCTGGCCCTCTCCTCATAGCTGTTAGGTTTTTAATTACTTCTTGTAGTTGTCATTTTTGTACTTGATAATAAAAAATATAGTTAGAAAGCATTTTATAAGAAATATTGTTAATTGGGCTGGAGAGATAGCACAGTGGGTAGGTTCGATTCCCAGCATCCCATATGGTCCCCTGAGCACCGCCAGGGGTGACTCCTGAGTGCAGAGCCTGGAGTAACCCCTGTGCATCGCCAGGTGTGACCCAAAAAAGAAAAAAAGAAAAAGAAAGAAATATTGTTAACCCAACTGGATATTTATTCCTCAGGCTGCAATTCTCAACTCCTTCTTGTTAAACACTCTTCATCTCTCCATTAGTTTGAGAATTCAGGGGCAGGCCTAGTACAACAGGAATCATTGGCCTTGCATGCAGCGTATGGAGGTTCCATCCCCAAGGGGTCCCCTGAGCCCCGCCAGGAGTGATTCCTGAGCAGAGAGTCAGTACCCCCAAGCACGCTGGGTGTGGGGTCAAGACAAAGCACAACTGAAAGTCAGCAAACCTCCACAAGCACTGTGCAAACACCCCCAACTGATGTGTGACCCCAGATGAATGCCATCGCCTGGCATGTGTGACCCATCGCTGCAGTGACAGTAGCGACAACAGTAATGAGCGCAGCAACAACACTGGGAAGGTGAATTAAAATTTATTCAGGGGACATGGGAATAGTCCAGTGGTTAGGGCCCATGCCTTGCATGCAGCAAACCCTGGTTTTATCCCTCGTACTACCTGGTTTCTTGAGCACTACCAGGTGAGTCCTGGTGGCCCCTTGAACATCGCTGAGGTGGCCTGGGTAACCTCTGCCTCCTTGGTCTTTTGCATTGAACTGCAGTTCAGTTGGCAGAAAATCACCAGGAAGGCTCCCCGCCCCCAGTCTGAACAAATAAATAAAAATATATTCATTTAAAATAAAAATTCTAGGGCTGGAGTGATAGCACAGTGGGTAGGGCATTTGCCTTGCACGCAGTCGACCTGGGTTCGATTCCCAGCATCCCATATGGTCCCCCGAGCACCACAAGAATAATTCCTGAGTGCATGAGCCAGGAGTGACCCTTGTGCATTGCTGGGTGTGACCCAAAAAGCAAAAATAAATAAATAAAATTAAAATTCTAAAAGCCAGAGATATGGAATGGGAGTCCAAACACTTGGCTTGCTTACTATGAGTGCTAGACTCTCATTCCATTCCTGACCTCCCATATGGTCCCCTGAGCACGGCCGGGAGTGATCCCTGGGCAGAGAGTCAGGAGTAGCTCCTGAGAACCCCCACGTGTGCCCCTCTAAAAAAAAATAAACAATAACTGTGATTTCTGGGGAGCTAGTTCAAAACACTGGAGGGTATGGTACACACATGAAAAACCTGGATTTGATCCCCGAGCACTGAGCTATGAGTATCCCTGAGCAGCATGGGGTGTGGCCCCAAAACAACAATAACTACAACATATACATAGATGCAACTGCTGACTATCAAAGCAGACGGGGGGGGGGGGGCGGGAGGTGGGGAACGGATGACAGATAGAGCGAAACTGATTTCTGAAACAAACAGCAAAATGACAGAGTCTGGAAATGAGAACACAGAGGGTGAATCTCGGGGACTGACATTTTGCTGGGCTAGAATGGATTCTAGAGGGGAAGTTAGAAGAACGTGAAGGCTGCAATTCTCAAAGGAACAGGAGGAGATTTCCTGCAGAGGAAGGTCATGAGCACAAAGGAACAGGCAGACTGAGCCAGGCGCGGGATGCACGAGGGGTCCGGACTCTCAAAGCTTCTTGCTGCCCTTCGGGCTTTGCAACACAAAACATGTGCATGTGACATTTCTCAGCTGCAAAGCTGAAGGGCAGACGTCAGACTCCACGGGAGAGAAAACAGTGGCTCATTCATGACTGAGAGTCAGATGACAAGTCGGACCTTTGTATGGGCAGCCCTTTCACCAGTGACATGCTCTGTTGAGCGAATTTCAGGACGATGCGTTCTAGCAAAATGCAGAAGAGCCAAGTGCAGGAAGACACGGGCCTGACTCAGGGGCCAAGGGAGGAATCGTCTAATCGGCTCTTGCATGACCCGCAGTTGGAGCATCCGAGAGATGGTGATGCTCAGAAGATTCTTCAGGGGGCTGGGATGGCTCAAAGGGCTGGAACAGAAGATTTGCTAGTGGAAGTCCTGGGCTCTGTCTCCAGCTCCTTATGGCACCTAGATTTGACCCACTACAGTCCCACCAGGAGTGATCCCTAAGCACAGAGTCAGGAGTAAGCCCTGAGAGCCAACTGCTGTGGCTCAAAAACAGACAGATACACTCCAAGCACTGTCTGTTGGATATGTGGAGAGAGAGAGAGAGAGAGAGAGAGAGAGAGAGAGAGAGACAGAGAGAGAGAGACAGAGACAGAGACAGAGACAGAGAATTCTTCAAGAAAGGATATGCAACTCAATAAGTAGATGGAATAGTGTTTGCAAAGGAAATGAAGAGAGTCCTGTGACCAGAGAGATAGTACAGCAGGTAGAATGTTTGCCTTGCACACAGCTAGCCCAGGTTTGATCTCCAGCCTCCTCATGCACCACCTGGGGGGTAATTCCTGAGTGCAAAGCCAAGAGTAAGCCCTGAGGATTAGGTGTGGCTCTCAACCTTCCTTTCCTTCCTACCCCCCCCCCCCCACCTCCAAGAAAAGAGAAGAAAGATAATCCATTAAAAAGGAATGCAAGGAACAGGAGCGAGCAATATAACAGTGAGGAGGGTGTTCGTTTTGTACGTGGCTAACCCAGGTTCAATCCCCAGCACCTCATATTGTCCCCGGAGCTCACCGGGAGTAATCTCTGAGTGCGGAGCCCTGAAGAATAAGCCCTAAGCACCACCAGGTGTGGTCCCAAAACCAAAATAAACAAATAAATAAAATAAAAGTCATCTCTCTCCCCCAGGTAAGGGTGGTGAGAACTATTCACGAGGTTCACAGGGGAGTGAGAAAAATCTGGACTTTGCGACATGTTACAAGGGAATCTGTCCAAAGTCAGGAGAAACAGAAAAACACTCTGTCACCGGCCAGTGCGGCCCGAAGACGAAGATCTGATTCTGCGCTATGTCCACACGGTTCCAAGCCAGCGCCAGGCCCAGCTGGTCCGGAGCAGATGCGTTTGTTCCTGCAAAGATGGGAGATGAAGCATTTCTCATGCGGCCTGAGGCAGCTCCATCCTTCCGATTGCATTGGCCACCTGGCATGATGTTGGCCCCCTGGCATGACGTTGGCTCCCTGCCTCTGCCCTTGCCTCTGAGTAACACTCAGGGGCCCCAAACCAAACACCCCGTATTCTCAGAGAATATCTGTGAAGTACCATCTTCTCACTGGGCTGCCAAGTGTGCAGAGGAGAAGCCCAGGGAATGTGAGGGGGGCCCATCTGCAGGAGGGCAGAAGCTCAGAGGCAAGGGGGCCTGCCCCCCAATATCTTCCATCTACAATGACACCCAGTCCCATCCCTGCCTCATTGTCCAGGATCCTCCCTGAGAGGCTTTGATGCTGCAGGGACATCAGCATGGTGGGTGGAGGCCATACTTGGGCCCCAGGGACATGAACATTGGTGGGAGGGCAGTGCAGAGAGTGAACAACTGGTCCCACACACCCCAATTCCGTCTCCAGCCATCCTAGCCCACCAGCACCCAGAAAAAACACCCCTCCCTCAATCTCTCTTGGCTCCATCACCCTGGGAGAAAAATTACGGGTGTGTGCGAGCATGCATACACACACACACACACACACACACACACACACACACACACATCTATTCCCATACACCAAGGCCCAGGCTGGGCCAGCAAGGAAGGGTCCTGTCCACTCACCTTTGAGTAGGGCAGTGAGAATGGCCATTTCCATGTCTGCCTGCCCCTCAGAGCCCATCCTGAACACTGTGATCTGAGAACAGGGTGAGAGACTGAGTCAGCTGAGGCTTTTCCTAAAGTGCAGGGTCAGACTCCAGGGTGGGATGTTGCATCCAGCCAGGACCTTGAGGCATTACTGCTTCCCCGCATCCTCCTCCCTTGCTCCTTCCTGACTTGATCCCTTGCCTGATTCCTCCCCAGTGCTAACACACATTCTCCAGCCCAAGAGCCTCCAGCACCCACATTCCAATAACTAAATTGGGGGCAGGGGCTGAAGAGAGTACAGTGGGGAAGGCACTTGCCTTGCACGCTGCTTTGATCCCCAGCATCCCATAGGGTCCCCAAGCACCACCAGGTGTAATTCCTGAGTGCAGAGCCAGGAGTAAGCCCTGAGCATCGCCAGGTGTGGCCCCCAAGCAAACACCAAAAACCAACCAACCAACCAATATCTAAATTGCTCTCAGAGGGGCAGAATCACTCCTGTGCACACAAGCATTTCCCTCTATCATCATCGCAGATTTTATGTCCAGTTTGGGAACACCATTATGTGGAAGTTTTTTTTTTAAATATCTGCCATCAATTGATCACTCTGGATAAGAGCAGAGGAACTGAGTGTTGAAAGTAGATAAAAGGATATACCTGGCAACCTTTCAGTATCTGTATTGCAAACCATAATGCCCAAAAGGAGAAGGAAAGGGAAAGAGGTGGAGGGGATACTTGGTGGGGGCAGGAGGGAAACTGGGGACAATGGTGATTGGTGATGGAAAATGTACGCTGGTGAAGGGACAGGTATTGGAACATGATATGACTGAAATCTAATTGTGAACAACTTTGTAACTGTGATTCAATAATAAATAAATAAATAAATAAATATTAAAAGAAAATCTGCCATCATTACTAAGAAACAGGGTACAATGATAACACCAGGGTGACATATTTGGTGAAATACAGTACAGGCAGTAGATGTTGAAGAGACTGGCGAATGCAAGGGGAAGCCCCAGAAGGGGCTGGGCATGGGGCTGGAGCTGACTCTGTGGAAAGTGAAGCCAGAGTGCAGAGAATGCAGTGCATGAGACGGTGGCTGTCTCTGGCCTTCCTTAAGTGCTTGAATGGAGAATTGGTGTGACATGGCATGATGTCACCCACATTTACTAAGATCTGAAAGCTCCCGGCATCTCATTTCTGTGGTTTATTCTGTTTCTGTGCCATCAACCAGCTTGTTACTGCCCTGCAAACTTATCCCAGAGAGGAATCACTGTGCTCTGCAGAGGGCAGAGTCTGGAAGCAGACCTGGGTCTCCAGGTATAGCTTGTCTAGAAATTAACTCAAGATGCTTATCAGAGCCAAAACAGTAACAGAGCAGGGAAGGCTCTTGCCTGCAGGTGGCCAATCCCAAGTGCCAATCCCTTGCACCCTATGTGGTCCCCCGAGTGCCATCAGGAGTGATCCTGAGCACAGAGCCAGAAGTCATCCCTGACTTCTGGTAAGCCCCCACCCCACCAATTTAAGACACTTACCAGCTCTTTCTTTTTCATGCACTCCAGTATAATGGTGAACAGCTGGTGCGATTGTGTCTTGGTGTAATTAAATGTTTTCTGGATGGTAACTAGAAGCTGATCTTTGAGGGATTCATTGATGACTCTGTTCACAGGAAATGCAAAAGAGAAAACAAGAGTTGAGTTGGAGGGCACTCCACCTGCATGTTTGATCGATCTGAGGCTTCACTGGGGAGGGCCTCCCAGGAGACAGTAGAATCCTGCTTAAAGCTCAGGTCACATTGGTTCTGAATCACAGGGAAGAAGAAATTTAAAGGAAGAACTGTGCCCATGCAGAGAAAGGATCTCCTAAGAAATCGAATGAGCTCACACTCAGTAGAGTAGCCAGGATACGAAACAACCCCAGTGCCCACCAACAGATTAAGTTGTGGTCTATATACACAATAAAAGACTATGCAGCTATAGAAGTGAGGAAACCTTGGGCTGGAGAAAGCCCAGTGGGGAACGCACTTGCCTTGCACGTGGCTGGTCTGTGTTTGCTCCCCCGTAACCCACCTGGTCCCCCAAGCACCACCAGAAATCAGCCCTGAGTACCACTGCTGTGGCCCAAACCATTTTGGGGAGGGCAGTTAAGATGTTCCCTCTGTGAGAATCGAGCTTCCATAGCACCCAGAATTTCCTCTAGTGGGCATCTACCCCATGGGTTGAAAACTACTAAGAAAAGTTATCTCACTCCGATGGTTATGGCAGCATTATTCGCAATAGCCAAAATCTGGGAACAACCCAAGCATCCGAGAATAGATGACTGGATAAGACACTTGGGACGGGAGTTGACACAGCCCCAAGAAAAGACATAAGCATGCCATTTGCTTCTATGTGGACAGATCCAGAGGGGAACGACTGAAGGAGAGGCACAGACACGGAATGAGCTCTCATAAGTGGGCTCTAGCAAAGTTTCTCAAAGGAACAGAACCTGAGAGCTGGTCTCCTGAGCTGAGCTGACCATGAGTGGGGAGCGGTAGCATGGAGGAACTGTTTTTAGGCGAGCTCTGAGACCTCGGGGGGAGGGTGTGGGGTCAGATGTCACACACAAGAACCCCTGTTGATCACGCAAGAACCCAAGAACCCACAGCAACTGAAGTACAAACCAAGTTTTCAATGCGTGAGAAGCCTACCCGCCTTCCTCACAGTACTTGTGTGCAAAAGACAGGATGTCTGAGGCGCGTCCACTGCCATCGCAAACCACCACGGGGATTGGAGGGTCTTCTCGGAGATATTCCAACACAATGGAGACTACGTTGGGACCCCCTTCCACCACAAGGCCCACCACAGGTACACCCTGTCCCAGTCCTGCAACACAAAGCAACATGGACCTCAGCTCAAGGTCCTAGCACTCAGCCAAATCTCTGAAACATGGTGGAGAGTGTGGGGTCATTGGTGGTGCTCCCTGCTCTCTGTGCTCCTCAAGAGACTCCAGGGAAATCCCAACACGGGGTGACCTTTTTCATTCTTTTATGCCACTTTTAAGTGGCTTCCTCTGAAATTCCAGAACCAAAGCATTGAGGCATTCAGTTACATGTTTGATCAGAGACCAGACCAGATGTTCAGGGTACATGGGCCACTTCACGTTGAGGTGGGAGAGATATTGGGTGTAGCCATTTGCTGGGGAAACACCTTCCTTGGGGTCCTGCCCCAGAGTCTGGGGTTCCCTAATCGCTGACCCCAGAAACAGGGTGTTGAACACAGGAGAAAACCTCAGCTCCATTTCTAGGGTGCCGGCCTTTGACGTTGGGCTCACCAGCCAAGCTGCCAGCAGCCCAGGTGACCATCAGCACAAAGTGAACCTCAGGGTCCCTAGTCATGTGCTAAAGAAGCAGCAGGCACACCATTGAAGAATGATTCAACTTTCCAAGGTTTGGTAAATTCTAAGTGGCTTGCAGGCATAGTTGGTTGAAACTGGGTAGTGTTACTGCCTTCAGATAAAACCTACTAGTACATGTTAGCAAGGGTCTCAATCCAGGGAATTCAAAGTTTCTGCTTTGCTTCCACCATTCATGTCAAAAATGAGAAATTCTCGGATATTTAAGCCACTTGGCTGTCTCCTACCAGAATAATTTCAACTAGTTGCATTTTACCAAACAGGTCCTGAGGGTATGCTTGGTGCTAGGTCATGGTAGGGAGTGGGCCAGACTGGGGATTTCTAATTCAAATAAGGTGTGGATGTTCTCCAAACTCAGCAAGAAGGTGGCCAAATGAACTTCTTTTGCACACAACGCTGTGGACTGCCTTCTGCTCTGTTTAAGGTCCGAAGGTCCAGGCCTTGAGGAGTGACCAGTAGGCAACCCTTTGCAGTCCCTGCCCCACTCAGAGCCCCAGGCAAAGGATGACAAAGGGAAGCCCACAAGTCACGTGGCAGGTGAAGGCAGGCATGTGAACAAACACTCACTGAGGAGAACAAACATGTCAGCACACAGAAAACCCCCACAGCATCATACGGAGGCCAGTCCCCGCTCTGACACTTGTGCTATTCCCAACATTATAGTCCCTTTCATTCTATTTCCTAATAACCATTTTCCAGACATGGTCTGTTTTTCATGGTCCAATCATAGCAGTAAAAACAGAAAATACTCGGGGCTGGAGCGATAGCACAGCGGGTAGGGCATTTGCCTTGCATGCGGCCAACCCATGTTCAATTCCCAGTATCCCATGTGGTCCCCCGAGCACTACCAGGAGTAATTCCTGAGTGCAATAAGCCAGGAGGAACCCCTCTGCATTGCCAGGTGTGACCCAGAAAGAAAAAAAAAAACACAGAAAATACTCCTGAAGACATTTAGCAACTGGCATTAAGAATCACTACAGGGCTGGAGAGATGGTGCAAAGGTTAAAGTGATGGTCTTGCATGCAGCCAACCCAGGCTCTATCCCAACCTCTACATTTGTGCCCCTAAGCACTGTCAGGGGTCACTCCTGAGCACTGAGCCAGGAATAGCCCCTAAGCACCACCAGGAGGTGGCCCAACCACCTGTACCCCACAAAAGTGTGAGCTATAAAACACATTCCAAAGAAACTGGTTATTTTCATTCTAACCAGTCATTACCATTTCCCTGCTGAAACATTTTTTCAAAATAAAATAAAACTAGGGCTGGAGCAGTAGTATAGCAACTAGGGCATTTGTCTCGCATACAGCCAATCCAGGTTCTATCCTCGGCACCCCATATGGTCCCCCAAACCTGTCAGGAGTGATCTCTGAGCATAGAATCAGGAGTAAGCTCTGAGCATTGTGAGGTGTGGCTCAAAAAAATATTTTTTAATTAGACAGTTAATTATAGGAAACAATAACCATTGGTGACAAAGGTCATCCCCATTGGCCTGCGAGATTGACTGGGCTGTTTCTCTATCAGCTATTCCTCAGAAACTTTGGGAGCATCACCCCAACCTCATTCAAGGAATACCACTGGGTCTTGACACAGGCTCAAGGCTCTTGGTGGACCACCTGTGTTTGAGCTAAACTTGAAACTTCCAGGTCCCGCCTCTGACACTCTTGGGCAGTTTCCTCTTCCGGTTTGGTTTTCTGGCCACAGAGGCACTGCCGACACCCGTGGCCTTGGCCAGAACTTACTCGTGTTGATCTTCTGCAGGGAAATGTGCTTCTCCAGCTGCCTCCGCAGCTTTGTCTCGGCCCCGTATTTGCCCAGTGTGCCGTTGTCGGCCAGGATGAAGTGCGTGTGGAAGTTGTTGAGTAACGCAAGCTTGCTGAGGGGATTGGACATGGTCTGGTACACTCTGGCCACCTGGCAAAAGGCACGGCATAAACGGAAGATGCAGGACCGAGGCCCAGACTCACAGTGGAAGTAAGGACAGGACACGGATATGGATCGTCTGTTTCACCCAGCTATGCCCTTAACCTGATCTCCCGGGGCTAGAGAGACAGTGCAGAGCCAAGGCACTTGCTCTGCATGTGACTAACCCTAGTTTGATTCGCAACACCACACAGAGCCAGAAATAGCCCCCGAACATGATGGGATGTGACCCCCTAGCCCCCACAAATTATAAAAAAAACTAACCCCCCCCAAAAGTTAACCTTTAAATTTAGTTTTAAATTAAGAAAATTAAAAACAATGCCAGAGAGATAGCACAGGGCTTAAGAAGCTTGTCTTATACACTGCTGACCTCAGTTCAATCCCCTGCACCACACCTGGTCTGCCATATGGTCTGCCAGGAATAATCCCCTGAGCATAGAGCCAGGACTTAAGCCCCAAGTACAGCTTGGTGTGGCCTAAATCCTCTCTTCCAATAAAACAAACATCAAAAATGTTTTCTTTAATATCACAAAGAGGGGTTCAGAGAGATAGTACAGAGGGGAGGGTGCTTACCTTATGCACAAGGGATTTCATTTTGATCCCTAACACCCCATGTGGTCCCCTGAGCCTTTCAGGAGTGATCCCTGGGGTCAGGGCCAGGAGTAAGCCCCAAGCACTGCTCAAAAGACAAAACCAAACCAAACCAAAACCAAAAACCAGACCAGCTATTGATCTCCAGAGAATGGCTAGAAGCAAAAACACCCAGTCCTCAAAGTCCAGATAAAAAAGACAACTCCATTTATTTTTATTTTATTTTGTTGTATTTGGCTTTGCAGCCACACCCTGTGGTGCTTGGGGCTTACTCCCAGCTCTGTGCTCACAGATCACACCTGGCGGGTCTCAGGGACCATGTGGGGTGCCAGGGATTGAACCCGGGTCGGTCTTGTGCAAGGCAAACTCCCTCCCCGCTGGACTATCTCTGGGGCTCAAGGACAATCCTGTCTTAGGAGAGTTTCCAGATGATGGAGTTGGAGGAGTGACAGGCAGAGTGGATCAGAAGTACGGGGTAAAGGCGGTCTGTGGTGGGAATTGGCTATAGATGTTCACAGGTCCTGCAAAGGCTCTCTCTGCATCTGTCTACCTAGAGGTCAGTCTCCTGGTCAAAACACTGATGCCATCTTGGAGGAAAGGGCAGGGGGCCCCATCAGAGGATTTCTTACACCTGCAGGTAATGCTCCCTTCATCTCTGCAGACATTCGTGGCAAACACTTGCCGCTGTTGGAGAGGAACACTCACCCCCTTCCCTATCAGATCTTCCTTGTTTTCCACCATGCCCCATGGGGCAATCCCAACGGCACACACGCGGCCTCGAGACTTGGAGGAATGGTCCTTCAGGGCGTCTCCCACATGCCGGATGACACCTGCCAACAGCATGAGTCAGACTTTTAGATCCTGCCAGGTCCCAGTGTGTGGGACACCAGCCTTAAATACAGACCCTGAAATCCTGAAGAAGAAGAAAAGGTTGTTATGGAGAGAGCAACTTAGAGGTTTGCACAGACTGACAGGGACGTCCCACAGATAGCCCTGCACGGGAAGTTCTACTAAGAGGAGAGCAGGCCGCGGACTTGAGCTCATCTGCCCCTGTCGTCCTGTACCCACAGCTGCGCTAATGAGATTCCTTTATTCTTTGTATGAACTCGAGGCAGGAGGGGTATGGAGGTTGAATCCAATCAAAAGGCCGATAAAGGCTCTGTTCTGAGCTGGCAAGGCCAGCTTGCCACTTGGATACACCACATGTCTGATTCTTTCTTTGTCCACAGGATGGAGCCAGGGGTGCTGCCCTGGCCAGATTTGGGGGTGATACTCTACCAAACCCTGGTACCACTCTCCATGAGCCTTAGGGTCCCCTTTTCCACCCTCCTGCTTTCTCTACAAAAGAGTATGAAGATATAAAAATATCCACCTGGGGCCTGGGATCCTACAGTGATCATCTACCCAGTCAGGGTCAATTTCCAGCCCACCTGATCTTCTGAGCAATGCCAAATTTGGCCCCGGAGATCCCCCAAGCACTGCAAGGGTGACCACGGTCATCCTTGGCATGAAAGAAGCTCAACACTACCACAACATCATCGGGGCTTGGCTCTGGATTGATGCAATTGGTAGAGAATCACCAAGGGGTGCACAAGCCCCACCCACCATACCGACTTCCTAAGCAGTGCTGGGAAAGCCTCACCCTCTTGTTTTCGTCTCTGGGGCTGAAATAATAGTACAGCAGGGAAGGCATTTGCCATACACTTGGCCAATCTGGGTTCAATCCCCGGCATCCCATATGGTCCCCCGAGCACCGCCAGGAGTAATTCCTGAGTGCAGAGCCAGGAGTAACCCCTGAGCATCATCAGGTATGACCCAAAAAGCCAAGCAAAAACAATTTTTTTTCTTCCCTAAAAGAGAATGCTAGGCTGGGAGATAGCTTTTATGGGGAGGCTCCAACTTTGATCCCCACCACCACCTGGTCCCCAGAGCACTGTGGAGTGAGCTCCTGGTGGCCCCAGAACCTCTTTTTTTTTAATATTTTTTTTTTTTTGCTTTTTGGGTCACACCTGGCGATGCAAAGGGGTTACTCCTGGCTCTGCACTCAGGAGTTACTCCTGGCGGTGCTCAGGGGACCATATGGGATGCTGGGAATCGAACCTGGGTCGGCCGCGTGCAAGGCAAACGCCCTACCCGCTATGCTATCTCTCCAGCCCCGGCCCCAGAACCTTTACATGTGGACATGGTCATTCTGGACCACAGGGTTGAGAAGTATTTTTTTTTTTTTGCTTTTTGGGTCACACCCGGTGATGCTCAGGGATTACTCCTGGCTCATGCACTCAGTAATCACTCCTGGCGGTGCTTGGGGGACCATATGGGATGCTGGGAATCGAACCCGGGTCGGCCATTTTGGCTGCGTGCAAGGCAAACGCCCTACCTGCTGTGCTATTGCTCCAGCCCCTGAGAAGTATTTCTGAGAAAGGGCTAGAGTGATAGTTCAGGGGAGAGGGCATTTGCCTTTTATGTGGCTGACACTGGTTCGATTCCCAGCGTACCATATGGTGCCCTGAGCACCGCCAGGAGTGATTCCTAAACCAGGACTAATCCCTGAGCAACGCCAGGTATGACCCAAAAAGAAAAAAAAAAGTATTGCTGGGATGCTGCCCAGACCCCCTGAGCACTGCTTGGAAGGACCTCGCCATCACCACCATGCCACAAACCTGCCAATAAAAACCTGAAAAGAGCACTAAGTCTGAGCCCTTTTGCTAGTCGTGTGGCATCAAAGCAATTGCTTCAGCAAGGTTGGGCTGCTGTGCCCATTGGCAGCTCTTGGCTGTTCTCAACTAACATTGGTGACCTGGCACGTGCCTTCCCCTCTCTGTAACTCAGCCTCCTCTCCCAGGTGACGGAAAAGAGTTGATCTCCAGAGTCCCTGAAAATGACGCTCGTGGGGGCCAGAGAGATAGTACTGTGGTTAGAGTGCTTGCCTTGCATACGGCCACCCAGGGTTCAATCCATAGCATCCTATATGGTACCCAGGGCCCCACCAGGGGTCATCCCTGAGCACCACTGGGTGGAGCTCAAAAACAAGTGAAGCTTGAGGGTCTAAATTAAGGAAAGAAAAGCACTGAGGGCCGGAAATATTGACCTTCCTTTCTTGCTCCCAAACCAAGCTACCTAATGAGCTTCCATCACAAACATGATAAGGACACATTAGTCTTCATTTTTGTTTTGTTTGGGAGGGCACACACCATGTTGAGGAGGCTGTTCCTCAGGAGTGCTCAAGAGTGACCCTTAATAGTGCTCAGAGAGGCGTAAATGGGGGGGGGGAGGCAGGGATGCAGCCACACACAAGGCAAGCACCATCCCTCCTGTACTGTCTCTCCGCCTCCGTGCTTTGAGCTTTATTCGAAAGTTGTGATGGGGAGTGACAGGGGCCATTCTTACCTGTGCTGACGCCCCCCGTGAAGATCCAGGCGCTTGTGGTCATGGCAGCTTTGATCAAGCCTTTCCCGAATACCTGCTTCAGCTTGGGCTGCATCTCGAAGTTCTGGAGACCACCATGCACCGAGATCAAGAGTTTGGGGAGGTCCAGGTGCCATTCCTTCACCATAAGATGAAGCAGCGAATCTGGCTTGGTGTCGCAGGACACGCGGATGTACTGCGAGAGAACAAGATGCTTGCTCGGCCCCCATCTGTAGCGTTGGTTGTTTTTGGTTTTGTGTTTTTGTTTTTGTTTTGTTTTTTGAGCTACATCTGGTAGCCCTCACAAGCTTCCTCCTGGCTCTGTGCTGAAGGATCACTGACTAGGACCGGAGTGATAGCACAGCCGGGAGGGCGTTTGCCTTGCAGACAGTTGACCTGGCTTTAGTCCCTGACATCCCATATGGTCCCCTGAGTAGCATTGGGAGTAACTCCTGAGTACAGAGCCAGGAGTTACCCCTGAGCATCGCCGGGTGTGACCCCAAAAGCCAAAAGAAATCCCTAAAAAAGAATCACTCATATAAGATTTGGGGGATGCTATGGGGTGCCAGGGTAAATGCCCTGCTGCTGTACTATCATTGCAGCCCCGACTCGATTGGGTTCTAATGTGGAAGGGGGACAGGGCAGCTGCTCCTGTCCAGGGGTAGCAGCCTGGAGTTTACTCCCTTGGGTTCAGAGGTTCCCTGTGTAAGTCTATGGGTGAGCTGTGGGAGAGAACTTTGGCAGTTCTGGACGATTCTGGGAATCAAAATATAGGATGGCCAGTTTCGCTGAATTTTCTATCAACAGATGCAAAATGTAAGTTAAAAAATAAGATTAAAAAAAATTCAGGGGCTGGAGCGATAGCACAGCGGGTAGGGCGTTTGCCTTGCACGCAGCCAACACGGCCGATACAGGTTCGATTCCCAGCATCCCATATGGTCCCCCGAGCACTGCCAGGAGTGATTCCTGAGTGCATGAGCCAGGAGTAACCCCTGAGCATCGCCGGGTGTGACCCAAAAAGCAAAAAAAAAAAAAAATTTAGAGAGGACGGAGAGATAGTACAATGGGTAGGAGTTTGTCTTGCACATGGCTGACCTGAGTTTGATCTCCATCATCTTATAGGGTCCCCTGAGCACTGCCAGGAGTGATTCCTGAGTGCAGAGACAGGAGCAACCCCTGAACACCCCTGAAAAAAAAAAAACAAAATAAGACCCAAACTAGTTTCTGGTTGATCTGAACTAGCTTCCAGTACAACTGGTTCTGTATTTTCTTTCTCTTTTTTTTTCTTTTTGGGCCACACCCAGAGATGCTCAGGGGTTACTACTGACTCTGTGCTCAGGAATTATTCCTGACAGTGCTTGGGGACCCTATGGGATGCTGGGGATCAAACCTGGGTCGGTCACATGCACGGCAAATGCCCTCCCCACTGTGCTATTGCTCCGGCCTCAGTCCTATATTTTCTGATGACTCTTATCTCAGAGGAATCAGTTGGGAAGGGGCTCAGAAACTTTGGGAGAAGTTGCTACCAGTGTAGGACATGGGGCTTCCCCTCAAGGTTTTACCTTTTCGGGAGGGAATGGCCTTTGTATGTTAACCTTAATCCTATCTCAGCCCCTGGATGTCACTTCTTTGACTGTATGTCCACATGTCAATGCCAGGCTAGAAGACCATACCGTGTGTTGTTCAGACCACAAGTGGATTTGCTTTGCCAGCACAGTCAAATAAAATAGTAAAAGAAATGGTCTGACTGGGGGCTGGAGAGATAGTACAGTGGGTAGGGAGCTTGCCTTGCACACAGTCGACCCAGGTTCAATCCCCACCACCACATATGGCCCTCCAAGCCCCGCCAGGAGTGATCCTTGAGCTCAGAACCAGGAGTCATCCCTGAGCACAGCCAAGTGTGGCACCAAATCCCTCCAAAATAATAAAATGAAATTTAAAATAATAAAGAAAAGCAACCAAAGAATGATCCTTAAAGAACGAACCCCAAAGGAGAGTGGGGGTTTCTCACACCAACCTCTGCAGGGCTGGATCCAGGCACTGGGAGGTTGGAAATGTGGCCCAGCTTCCAAGCCCTTCATTTCCAAACTCCCCAGAAAGACAGAGGGCCCCTCCATGAAAGAAAAGAAATCTGGGGGTGCTGCGGGCTCGCACCTCCCTCCCTCTCACCAGGGCCTTGTTGCAAGAGCCGCCTCCCTGGAACTCGAGCAGGCCATACGAGTCGGTCGGGACCCTCTGCGTGTGCTTGCCCACAGTCCACTTCTCGGGTTGGGCCTCGGCCTGCGTGCCTTCGTCATCCTTGCTGGCAGTGACACTCGGCAGAGGCGGGACATGCTGGTGAGTGAGCTGGCCACAGCAGCACCTACACATGGGGACAGGCAAAGCCAATCTTTGAGGAACATGGTTCTCAGCTCTTCCAGGGGTCCCCTGGATCAGTGCCTGGACCCTGGGCAGGGGTGGAATAACCCTGGATAACCCAACTTCCGTGCATCCAGGTAGGCCCTGCTAAAGCTCTTTGGGGATCCATGTGGGTCTGCATCCAGTCAGCTGGATTTTAGTGAGCTGGATTTTATTCTAGCTCAGGCCCACAATTGCAGTGACTCAAGTGATGCTGCCATTGGACACACTTCTTTCATCTCATCCCCAGAATCTACCTTTTGTTCTACCCCTCCGCCCTTCTCCTGCCTGGTGATCTTGATTCTTCACCAGGGAGGTGCTTCCGTGGGTGACACTGGGATTAGGAGTCACCCCATGGAACACGAAAGACCTTTGGGCTTCGAGACAACAGCACTGAGACAACAACAGGGAGAGATGTGGGGTGCTGGTATGGGGAGTTGGGGACATATGAGGGCAAACCCTCCAGAACCAGGACAGCCTGTGTGCTCCATACCCGCCGTCCTGCCTGGGAACCCTGCCCACTGGGAGACTGCATGCGCAGACAGACCCCTGTACCCCGCACCCCTCTGCTCCACCTCAGAGAGGAGTTATCAAGACCAAATTCCCTCCAGTCGCCTCCACGGCTTCCAGGGGCCTCTGCTTGGCCGATGGAGCACTCCTTTTCTTGGAGGTGAATCATTTTGTATACAAAATCGGTCCTTGGTGAAGTTTCAGAAAGTTGACACAGACACCCTGACATTGACAGCAGTGAAATATTCACTGTCCCCAAAGACATGAAACTGGGGAAAGGAGTCAGAGCAACAGCACAGTGGGAAGGGCGTTTGCCTTGCATGCAGCAGACCCAGGTTCAAAAATATCCCATAGGATCCCCCATGTGCCGTCAGGCGTAATTCCTGAGTGTAGAGCCAGAAGTAAGCCCTGAGCATCACCGGGTGTGGTCTCAAAACCCAACCCCTCCACACCCCGTAACAAAAGACTGTTTGTGGCTTCCACCTTACCTGTTGGGATCCTTAGTGCTGGGAATTACAAAGACACATTCCCGTTTGCAGAAGGTTTTTTCTAGCCAAGCTTTCTGACTCTGGAAGGTTGGAGGGTGGGGGTGGAGTAAGGGAGTAGAAATTAGACCAATGTACTTCCAAGAACCTTCAGAATTTATCTTTTTATTAAAAGGTGCATTTATTTACTCATCATCACCATCAGACTATTGCAGTTGGTGATAAGCAGCCTGCATACAAAAACAAAGTCATTAAAATCCTTTGCTAAGGGTCCAGAGAGATAGTACAGTCAGTAGGGGGCTGGCCTTGCATGCAGCTGACCCAGGCTCAATCCCCAGCACCTGTGTGAGCCCTGAGCCCCACCAGGAGTGACCCCTAAGCACAGAGCCAAGAGTCAGCTCTGAGCATCAACATGTGTGGCCCCCAAACAGAAACAAAACAAAAAGGAGACTGGCCTTGCACACAGCCAGCTCCTTACTGATCCCCAATGCCACATAGGGCACCCCCTTCCCACCCCGAACACTACCAGGAATGATCCCTAAGCACCACCAGGAATTTTTATTTTGTGAAAAATAAATATTAAAATAAAAGAATAAGAGCAAAAAGGCAGGCTAGGCGTTGACTGGTCAGAGTCCTCTGCTGGTCATCAATGGCCAACTAGGTTCTGGGTGCCATTGACATCCAGGACATGTGGACCAGAGGCATAATACAGCAGGGAGAGTGCTGGCCTTACATGTAGTTCACCTGGGTTCGATCCCAGGTATCCCATAAGGCCCTCAGTGCCTGCCAAGAGTGATCCCTGAGGACAGAGCCAGGGTTAAGACCTGAGTACCCACCAGGTGTGATCCCAAGAACAAACAAAAATTCAAGTCACAAAAGCATTGAATGAAGATTTCTAATGTCACACACACACACACACACACATTACAGAACATTTTGAAATTACTTTTCAACTGAAGCAAAAGCGAATTTTCTGAAAATATGAACGAAGATCATTCATGACTAGGAAAAAAATTCGGCTTTGTGCTCGCTCAGAACTAAGGCGGCGGCACTCAGAATGCTGGCGTGTCCAGTTCCTCCCTTCGCACCCACCAACTCAGCAAACAAGAAGCAGTTGCAAAGGGCCAAGCCAAACACAACTCCAGTCTTCTCCCAGAAATAACCAGCAAGACAGAAAGACTTGCAGCCAACATGTTCCACATTAGTTGATGTTTCCAGAGACATTTTCTGGGGCCTAAAACACTCTCTGGAGAGTGTCAATGGGCACCTCGAATATCATGGCAAAGACTAGGAGTGAAAATGCTGTTTGATTATTTGCTGGGTTTTTTGTTTAGTGGGAACTCCCAAATAGTGCTCAGACAGCCCTGGGAACCCCACCAGCCATTCCCAGTCAACTGGCCCAATGCTTCAATGCAAACATCTGAGAATGTGGTACTTTGGGGGTTCTGTGGACGGATTGGGGGTCCTTCAAGGCCACACTCTGCAGTGTGTGGGCTAGGCAGGGTTGCACCCGGGCATGTGTCCTAACTGTTGTCTGTTCTCTCTCCTAACCCTGTTAGGTAAACATCTGTTACCCAGAAACATCTCCAAATATTCCCTCTGCAAAACCAGCTCCCATTTATTAAAGTCCAGGGCAAGAGAAGCTCCTGTCTCTTCAGTCCTCCCTGAATATTCCATCCCAAGCCTATTGGCTGCATTCTCTTCCCCTCTCCCCACACCTTCGCTCTCAGTTCCTGTCCTCAGCCAACACTGTCACAATTCCAGCAAATATTTTCATCCCCACCCCCTGTCCCCACTATTTCTGCTAAATTGGGCTAACAGGTACATATTTTTAAAAGGATATAACATTTGGCAACAGAAGGAAACTGTATTGGTTATTAAAAAGCATCTGAGTAAAAGAAGCGTGACAAAGGAATAAAAACACAGCACCTAAGGGCTTTATCCAGAAATAACAAGGGATAGTATTTTGATGGGTGCTCTCTGGGCCCAGAGCCATAGGACAGTAGGTAAGGCCTTGCCTTGCCCATGGCCAACCTGTGTTAGATCCCCAGCACCCCTTAAGATCCCTCCAGCACCTCCGAGAGTGATCCCTGAGCACGGAGCCAGGAATAAGCCCTAAGGACCGTTGGTGTGACCCAAAAGCAAAAATATATAAATAAGTAGAAAAGAATCAGCCCAGGCTCTTTCTGTGAATAGCTGAGGGGTATGTATTTCTCTGTCCTGTGTATCTGTCTGTGTGTGTCTGTGTATGTGTGGGCAATGGACAATATGATCATTCTCCACACTGTCATTTGATTTCTGACCGTTGCTTTCAAAGTAACCCTACGATAGCCAGCACTTGTCTTGCTTGCCACAGACCCTGGTTCCAACCCGAGCACTGTCCATAGCCCCTGAGCAATTCTGGATGTGCCCAACTCTCTTCCCTGCCCCCCACGAAAAAAATGATGGCATCTATTTCCTGCTATGCCCAGACTGTGGGTCTCCCACAGAAACATGACACCCGTGGATTCAACCCACCTAAGGCCTATTTCCTACCACTCCTAGAGCTGAGTTGCTGGGTGTGGAGGCTGCATCTCCAGACTGCTCCCACACCCGATCCCCACTTCCACAGGCAGAGAAGCAACTGCTTCCCACCTCCCTCCCAGTCCTGGGAACAGGAACTTTCCCCTGAGGTTTAAAATTAGAACATGGGCAGTAGCGATGGTACCGCAGGTTGGGCATTTGCCTTGCACGCGGCTGACCGGGGTTCGATCCCCAGCATCCCATATGGTCCCCCAAGCACTGCCAGGAGTAATTCCTGAGTGCAGACTCAGGAGTAACTCCTGAGCAATGCTGGGCGTGACCCAAAAAGCAAAACAGAATAATAATAATAATAATAAAATAAGAGCAAAGGGGCTGAAGACACAGTACAGGGGGAAAGGTGTTTGGCTTGCACGCAGTTGATCTGAGTTCGATCCTCAGCACCACACATGGTCCCCCAAGCACCATCAGGAGTGATCCCTGATCAGGAGTGATCACTGAGTGCAGAGCCAGGAGTAATCCCTGAGCACTGCCAGGGGTAGTCCACAAACCGGTCAATCAATCAATTAATTAATTTTTTAAGTATTGCTAAAGTATCAGCTGGCATGAAGGACAGAAACCCAGCCCTATGTGTGAGACCTCATATTTGATCCCTAGCACCCCGTGAACCCCTGAGAACCCCAAGCACAGCCCTGGGAACCCCTAGTGTGGCTGACCCAAGCCCATCACCTCTCTGTGAGAGTATCAGTTGAGCCTTCTAGATCTGTTGACTGAGAAGCAATGGAACTGGATGTCAGGTCCCCTGAGCACTGCTTGGGAGCCCGTGTGCCCTCCCAAATCAGCTAGAGGCTGTAGAGACTTGTTGAGGGGCTGAGCACATGTTTTGCTATGCCTGAGACCCTCCTGCATCCCCAGCATCATGCACGGTCCCCTGAGCACTGCTGGCAGTGACCTCCCCCCAAGCAGAGAAGCCCTTGAGCAATACTGGGTGCAACCCCCAAGCCCAAAATCAAGCCCCAGTATATGAGCCAGCCAAGGCCATCATGCACAAACCCTTGATTTCTGCATACCCACACTTTCTGGGGTTCCAGAAAGCAAAAAAAAGGAGGTCGGGACCCCCAAATGATGGGAGGGGGTGGAGACGAACCCTGTGGGGCAGGGGCAGGATCTCTCACCCACCCTACATGCTGCTTGGAGGAATCTGGGGTGCGGGTGGCCTGGGGACGTCCCTGTGAGCTGTTGTACAGGACCTACCTGCCCAGATGCAGCCAGAGAAGGCCCAGGAAACAGGAGCAGCACCTGGATACAGCCCCACCTAAGCTCCCCACCAGCTGCAACTTACCTGCTGCCACAGCAATACAAGAATAGCCGTCTCCCTCCTCCTCCGCCTCCTCCTCCTCCTCCTCCTCCCCCTCCACCTCTTCCTTCTCTCCTTCCTGGGCAGCAGGGCACTAGCCAAAGACCCCCCCTTTTAGCGGAGGATTTCCCCCACCCTTTCAGCAGAGAAACGCCCCTGAACAGCATGTGAGTGTCTGTGCTCAGCCTCGTGACTCGGTGAGGCAAAGGCCCTGTGATCTGACTTCCAGGCCAACGCGGTGGAAACCAGCCCCCTGGAACTCCAGTCTGCTCGACATTGGGGGGTGGGAGGGGCTCCATAAAAGAGGCCCCTAGAGGGTGAGAGATGGGTCCACTCCCACATTCCCTTTGAAGGGGGCCGGCGGCAGGGCCAGCCTGGCTCCCCAAGTGGGACAGGGACAGAGAGATTCTTTCAGAAGCCCCTCCTCGGGCAGGGGGGCTGTGCCCCAGGCGATGAGGCATGCATCACCCCTGATTCCTTTTCAGATCATTTGAGAGTGCCCCAGAGGTCACGGTGGCCTCATGAGTGCCACATGACTCTCTCCCACTGCATCCCTGCAAACCAGGGTTGGAACAGCCTGAGAGGCCCATAGTCACCCCCAAAACACTGACAATGGGTGGTGTTGGGGACTTTTCTTTTCTACTTACATTCTTTCTTTCTACCTCATTCCTTGATATTGTTTTGTTTGTTTGTCTCAAGGCCACACCCAGTGATGCTCAGGGCTTACTCTGGCTCTTCACTCCGGAATCACTCTGGCAGTGCTTAGGGGACCCTAGGGGATGCCGGATATCGAACCCAAACTGGCCAAGTGTAAGGCAAACGCCCTTTCTGCTGTACTGTCACTCTGGCCCCATTCCTGGATTTTTTGCACTTAACTTCTCTCCACTTCTCCTAGGGGCTACTTAGTTATTCTTCATTTCTTTTTGTGGCCAGGGAGCACTAATCCTTTGCTGAATGCACGCAAGTTGATTCAGCCAATGGACGGCGGCCTACTGGCAGACTTCACACGTGGCAGAACAACAGAAGCTTTGCCACGTGCCCTTCTGCATTTTTTCCAGTAATCTTCAAGCCAGATTCCTAGAACTGAGTTTGTAGGGGCTAATGGCCACATGGGCAATTTTGTTAAGAGCAAAACACTTCTAACACAGAGATATTTTGCGTTTCCATCAGCATTTTGGACTGTTCTTCCTTCTCTTCAATGTCACCAACAGAATATATGGTCAGAGGCTGGAGATACAGTACAATGGATAGGGAGGGCTCTCGCCTTGCATGTGCCTGACCTGGGTTCTATCCCTGGAATCCCATAAGGTCCTCCAAGCACTGGCAGAAGTGATCCCTGAGTGCAGAGTCAGGAGTGAACCCTGAGCATCACCGGATCTGACCCAAAAAATAAAACAAACAAACAAACAAAAAAGAGGAGGGTGAGATATATGGTTAAACTTCAAGGTGTTTGCAAGAAGACTCTTCTGAGCAAACTATGGGGTCTTAGCATGTTGTTCGACAGCTTCTGGGCGGCTCCTGTCTAGTTTTTATGATTGGGTAATACTATTAATGTAGGAAAAGTTGGGAAATGTCCCCTGTCTTCTATTTCCTGTAAGAGTTTGTGAAGCGTGGACAGAATTCTTCTTTCCAAATTTGATGAAATTGACCACATTTTGGTAGAATCCCGAGAGAGACCATCTGGGGCTTCCATTGTGGGAAGTCTACATATTAATCATTGCATCTTACTTTTTCTCCATCAATTCCAAGTGTTATGTTTCTTCTTGAGTCCGTTGTAATCAATTGTGACTTTCCAGGAACTTAACATCTGGGCCTTCAGTATGTCGAATACAGTTGTTGTGACATTCTCTTAGAATCTTTCATATTTCTAAAATATCAGTAGGGTTGCTTCCTCTTCCATTCTTCATTCCAATCATTTGAGTTAGATTCTCTTTTTTCATGGTCTAACTAAAGGTTTTTTAATGAAGTTGATCTTTCCAGAGAACTGACTTTCAATTTTATCCATTTCTGTTATTTTTCTAATATTTCTTTTATTTATAATTTCAACCCTAGTCTTAAGATTAGTTTCATCACTTTTCTCTATTTTTCAAACCTTGAAGGGGAGAGCTAGAGAGATCATACAGGGCTTAGGGCAATTGCTTTCCATGCCACTGATCCTGGTATCCTGTATGGTCCATTGAGCAGCACCAGAAGTAACCCCTGAGCATCACTGGGTGTAACCCCAAAATAAAAAATAAAAATAAAAATAAAATCAGAACAAGGTGGGACTGGAGTGATAGCACAGCAGGTAGGGCATTTGCCTTGCACACGGCCAACCCAGGTTTGATTCCCAGCATCCCATATGGTCCCCCAAGTATCACCAGGAGTAATTCCTGTGTGCATGAGCCAGGAGTACCCCTGTGCATCGCCAGGTGTGACCCGAAAAGAAAAAAAATAAGAAGAAGAACAAGGCATGGGTTGGACAGTCAGTACTGCGAACCAGATGCTGGCCTTGCAGTGACTCGGGTTCCATCCCTTGCACCAAATAAGGTCCCCAGAGTCCCACCAGGAGTGATCTCTGAGCACAGAGTCAGGAGAAAGCTCTGAGCATTGCCAGGTGAGGCCCACAGCAAACCAGACTAAAAACCTCCCATAGCTGACATTGTGTGGGATCCATGGCCACTGCCCAGGTGAGCTGCTTTCCCACTTGAATGTCCCTGCCTGGCCCCAGCCCTGTCATAACTGGCTGTGGTCCCCAAAACCCAACAAACAAAGCAATTAAATGCAGAACAGATGAGGGAAACCCAATCACATTTTCCACCTCCCACACGGATACTTCAGGCTATTCCTGAAAGAGGGGCCTCGTGAGGGAGCTCCAGGGACCCCAGAATTCATCTTTCTTAGGGGTTTTGTGTTGTTTCTTTGGGGGCATGGGTAGGACCACTCCTGGCGGTGTTCAGGGCTGATTCATGCTCAGTGCTCAGGGATCATGCCTGGTGGGGTCCAAGGGCACTGTGTGATGCCGGGGATCAAACCAGGTCTGCTGCGTGCCAGGCAAGCATGCTCCCCACTGGACTATTGCTCTAGCCTTGGGTTTTGGGTTTGGGGCTCAGTCTGTGATCACAGGACCCCATGCTGGTCAGTCACACAGGCCCAAGGTGGTAGAAGGAGTTTTTGACGCCCCCCCCCCTTAGATGACATATGGCAGCGGGTGCTTTTTCCTAAGGGTGCGGGTGGAGAGAGCTGATGTTTGAGCCAACAGGTTACAAGACAAGGAACTGGCAAGGAGCGAGCAATGCCGAAGGAGGGCAGGTCCGAACCGGTGCCCTGGACCCTGGCGGGCAGTGGGGGCACTTCCTCTGACTCCTCACAGCCTGGTTCCCTCCGCACCCCCGCCAAGTATGTTCTCTTTCATTCTCCATCAACAATTTTATTGCCCAGCTTGAGGGCTGTTGTAGTGGTGGGGAAAATGTTGCCATTAGACTCGCAACCTGCCAAGACCTCATCTGCTCCCTGAGAACGAGAGCACCCCATTCCTAGCCATTTCCAGAGTGCGCCCGCTGAAACCGGGCGCACATGTGAGTGAGAGGCTTTGTTTGAGTTTAGTTTGGGGGATACAGTGCTCAGGGATGCCTCCTGGCTCTGTGCTCAGGGATCACTCCTGGCTCTATGCTCTGGGCTCACTCATGGCTCTGAACTCCAGGCTAACTCCTGGCTCTGTGCTCAGTGTTGACTCCTGGCTCTGTGTTCAGGGCTCACTCCTGGCTCTGTGTTCAGGGCTCACTCCTGGCTCTGTGCTCAGGGCTCACTCTTGGCCAGGATCCCCAGCAGATTGAAACCAGGTTAGCCCAATGCAAGGCAAGCAACTTCTCACTGCTTCAGCCCCTGGTTTTCTGTCTGGAGCCAAGTTCAAGGGCTCTGTTCCCAGGGACAGCGATTTCTCAGCCCTGCAGGCAGGATCAGCAGACTCTGCGCACAGACCAGGCCAAGCCCAGGGACCCTGGTGGTCAGTGGGTCCTTCTAAGTGTGGCTCTCGCATCTCAGAAGCATGGGAAGCTCTTTGGGGGAGATGAGGAGGGCCCCTGGATTTGGCCAAAGGCCCTGCGAATGTGAGTGTAAGAGTGTGAGTGTTGGAATGTGAGAGTGTGAGTGTGAGAGTGAGAATATGTGAGTGTGTGTGGATTCACTCTAGACCTGGGTGGCTGCTGACCCTTTAAGCGAGTTGACTGGGGTGAAGGGGTGTCCTTTGCAGGGACCCTCCCCTTCCACTTCTCCTCCTTCATGATTCCAGGCACTGCCTGGAGCTGTACCCTGGCATCAAGCCAGTGTGATCCCAAAACTGAGGAGAGAGGGATGAGAGGGGATGAGAGGGGAGGGATGGGAAGGGGAGAGGGGGGAGGGGAAGAATGATGGAGAAGGGTGTGTCATTTAAGGTCCCCCCGGGTACCCAGGGCCACCCTTCCCAGCATCCTGGCAAGCAGGACTGGGGACAAATGGGGCCAGAGTTCCAGAGTTTGGGGGGACCCTAGAGTGTGTGCAGGGGCACCACATCCCCTTCCACGCACTGCTCCTTCTGGGAACAGAGCAGCACCCACCCCCACCCCCATCCTGGAGGTATTCCAGGGCCTCAGCCGACCCCTGAGCCCCTCTGCAGCTCCCACAAAGGTGCAAGAGAGGGGCTGGAGAAACAGAACAGTGGGGAGGGTTTTGCACACAATGAACTGGGTTCCATCCCCAGCACCCGATATGGTCCCTTGAGCCCTACCAGGAGTGAGCCCTGAGCACAGAGCCAGGAGTGATCCCTGAACCCAGAGCCAGGAGTGATCCATGAACTCAGAGCCAGGAGTGAGCCCTGAACTCAGAGCCAGGACTGAGCCCTGAACACAGAGCAAGGACTGAGCCCTGAGTAGTGCTAGGCACGGCTCCAAAACAAAGACAAACCCCCAAAATTCAATTAATTAAAGGGGGGGTGCAGGCAATAGTGCAGGAATGAAGGCGCTACCTGGCGCACAGGTGACCCCTCATCAACCTGGCACTAAAGGAGGTTCCCAAGTATGGCCAAGTGTAGCCTAGAGACCCCCAGCACCGCCAAAAATGCCCAGGGAGTCCCCTGTCCCGAGTTCTCATCTTCAATCACAGACCTGGTTAGCAGAGAACCAGTGGGAGGGCCCCCCTCTGCCTGGTCACCCCGGAGAGCTGTCCCTGGAGCTGTTGGGTCCACTGAGGCAAGTATGCCAGGAGCCAGCTGAGACGTCTGGCCACACCCCTCCTGCGCCAGCCCCCCCACTGCCCTCGGGAAGGTGGGACCCCTCTCCCAGACCTGCATCAGGCACAGAGGAAGGAGAGGGTCCCGGGAGGGTCTGATGGCCCTGCCCACCTCTGCCCCTCCAGCCCGTCCATCCTCGCCTCCCAGAATCACTGACCTTCTGAGAGCCCGAAGAGGCCGCGCTGCGGAGTGAGCCGCGCTTGAAGGAGCTGCTCATGGTCTCAGAGACCCCCACGCTCCTGCCCCGCTCCTACTGCTCTAGGCTCTGCCACAACATCTGGAATCCGCCTTAATCCCCCCAACACACCCCCAGGGTTTAGGGGGTTGGGGCGCAGATTTAGCAAAGGGAGATTGAGCGCAAATCCACTTTGAAAAAATGGTTTCCAGGGTCAGTCAGTGTGGGTGGGGGTCAGAGCCGTAGGACGGTGGGGAGGCCGCTTCCCTTGCACGTGGCTGACTCGGGTTCAATCCCCCGTAAGCCCGATGGTCCCCTGAGCACTGCCAGCCGTGATTCCTGAGCGAAGAGTCAGGAGTAACCCACGAGCATTGCCGAGTGTGACCCAAAACAAACTATTGTGGGGAACTCAGGCATTGCAAAAGGGGTCTTGCAGAAATCCCACCGATGGGTGCCAGAGCCCCTTGACTGACACCTGGAGTCCACTGAGTGGCCCCCCTGCCCTGCCCCACGGTCATGTCAGAGCCCAGCATGGGGAGACACAGCAGAATCTGGGGTCTGAGAGATAGGACAGTGGGGAAGGCGTTTGCCTTGCACACAGCCAACCCGGATTCCATTCTGGTTCTCCGAGCACCTCCAGGAAGAATTTCTGAGTGAAGAGCCAGGGGTAACCTGTGAGCCCTGCTCAGTGTGGCCAAAAAGGGCAAAAAAAAAATGTGGGGGAACACATGGGCCAGAGCAATAGTACAGTGGGAATCTACTGTACTATCCAGCTTGCCTTGCATGTCACTAACCCTGGGTGTGATTCCTGCACACCCCAGAGGGTTCCCGGAGCACCACCAGGAGTGATGGCTGAGCACAGAGTCAGGAAGGATCTCTGAGCATCACCGGGTGTGGACCCTCTAGTTATCCCCCTGAAAATACGAGCTCTAATGGCTGGGGAAGAGGGCTCAAAGTCCCAGGGTCCATGCTTTGCGTGGTGGAGCCTAGGTTTGACCCTGCATGGTCCCCAGGTACCACTATGTATGCCCTCGCCCCAAACACAACAAGTCTAGAGAGTATCTGACTGCGGGTCCAGTGAGCAGGGGTCAGGCCCGGACCCAGGCTCGGCCAGCAGAGGGTTCACCTGAGTCCAGGAATCTATTCTGAAAAGAAATAACCATTGAGGAAACCAGCCCTTGTGGGTACAACTCTGGTGAGAAGCGGTCCCCAATACTTCCCATCCCCTCTGTTCTCCCTTCCTACTGTGACCCCATTTCCACCGGGCAGGTGCCGTCTGCCCCAGGACAGAGCTGTGAACTTGCTGGGGGGAGTGACGGCGGTGGTGTGGAGCAGGCGTTTCCAACCCCCCATTCCTCCCCAAAAATGCACTTTTCCTGGAGTCTCTGGGGACAAGTCAGCTTCTTTCGACTAGTTTGCTGCTGTGGGTGTGGTGCACCCACACAAATCAAGGCGAGCGTGGCCAGGATTCCACCACCTTCCAACGTGCCAAGAGCTGCTGCCTCTCCAGAAGCCCCGAGTTCCATCCCCGGCATTGCATGAGCCCCTCATCACAGGACCGCTCAATACCACCAGGTACGGCCCAGGGAGGGCCACAGAGAAGGGGGACAGGGCAGGCAGCGATTATTTTAGGAAACGAGGAAAGAGCAAAGCCGATCTCACAAACCCCGAACAGCTAAAAGTACTAACTGCGCTAAGCCCAAACGCCATTACTCTGGTCCATTGCAGGCTTAAGTGTCCTGGATTTGGGCGCACCCTAAGTCAGGATTAGAAGCAGGGAGCAGGAGCGGCCAGGCCAGGGGTAGCCCCCAGTGAAAAGTGGAGATCATCCTCTGGATGAAAGCAGCAGAGGCTGGGTGGAATGTGCACTTCTATCATACCCAGGCCCATCTGTGCTCAGGACAACCCCACCCTGGAGTTGTTCCCGTGTGCCCAGGGCGGGGACTCCTGGTTCTGCCAGGGAGCACTCGGGCATGTGGCTGGAAGAACCTGGGGGTTGCTCAGCTAGAGTAAAAGCCCCCCAGTAGGAAGACATGCCCTGCAAGATGGGGAGTGGCCCCGGTTCCACATCTGGGGTCTCACTATCCCCAGTGAGGCTGCTCAGCTCCTGGGACTGAGCTGGTACAGTGTGGAGACACGCATCATTTCAGTTCCTGTGAATGTCCAAAATGCTCAAGGGAGAGCATGTGGCTGGTGGGGGGTGGAGAGGAGACGCCCATAAATTCATCAGAGTGGGGAGGCATTTTGCCATCATTCTGTGTAGTGGGTCCAGTTGTTCCCTCCTTAGGGAGGGCCAGAACCGGACCACAGACCAGATGCTCCTCAGCATGTCCCCTGCATCAGACACTTGGCTTTGCTGGGAACCCACGGCAGGACCACCTTTGGGTGTTCCCTGGCTCCTACCTTCCCTCTCCTCAGCGCCCACAGGAGCAGGAGGAAGTTCCTCCACCCTGTGGCCCGGGCTCTAAGGTGGGAGAAGGGACCTGAGGCTGGAAAGGCAAGAAACTCACTGGGTCCATCACTGATGAAGGTGGTCTCCCAGGGGCAGCTGGTGGAGGTCCGAGTCCAGAACCACTGAGAGTGGAAATGACCATGCTGGAATAAACTATGGGAATTTATTTACAAGGAGGGCACAGCTGGCAGTGCTCAGGGCTTCCTCCTGACTCTGCACTCAGAGATCACTTCTGGTGGGGCTTGGGGGACCCTATAGGGTGCTGGGAATTGAACCCAGGTCAGTCACATAACAAGGCAAATGCCCTTCCTGCTGTACTATTGCTCTGTCCCCAACACTGCGTCTATTAGCTGTGGGTTTTCTATGTACCAAGAACCTTTGTCATACCAAGGTCCTTTAACATCTTTATTCCTTTCTGAATGGTTTATGATGAAGACTGCTGTCAAATGCTGTTTATCTGAGGCCAGAGTGATAGGACAGTGGGTAGGGTCCTTGCCTTGAACATAGTTAACCCGGATTCAATCCCTGGCACCGCGTGCGGTTCCCTGTGTACCACCAGGAGTAATCCCTGAGCGCAGAGCCAGGAGTCAGCCATGAGCATTGCCAGATGTGACCCAAAGCCAAAACCTACCTAAGCAGCAATAAAACCGTTCATTTGTCTCAGTCTTCACCAATCAGCCTATAGAAGGGGGTGACCCTTCTGTAGGAGACAGCAGATTGTGGCCCAGCACCACACCTTAACACTCAACCCGGGGAACACCACAATTGAGATGCGGAGGACCTGGCATCACAAGCCCCAGTCAACTGGATTCTCCCAGTCTTTTCCCAGGTTTTCTCATGGAGTCGGTGTCAGGAACACCGTAGTCTGTTGCGCCCTCTGGTGTCCTTATGTGGTACTGCAGCCTCCCTGGCATTGCGACAAACTGCTTGTGGTTCTGTCTAATACTTTCCCATGAGACAGAACCAGGGCAACTCCCCAAAGCCAGGACTCTGGCGCCTGTTTCTCTCTCTCTCTCTCTCTCTCTCTCTCTCTCTCTCTCTCTCTCTCTCTCTCTCTCTCTCTCTGCATACCCTTCTGTTCGTCCTGGGGCACTCCCCCACTGTTTTCTGGGGGCCTCATATAGAGGGCTGGGTTCTAAGTTCTTGTGAAGCAGCTGTCTCGCTAATGGAATTGAAGTCTCAGGCTTCTGGCTCTGTTTTGCTAAGGTCCCTTCCCAGGGGAGCACCTTTTGTAAGTAAAGTTTTACTGAAACTCAGTCATATTCATTGGTCTGCAAATCATCGTCTGGCCAAAGCTGAATGGTTTACACAGAGATTCTGTGGCCCACAAAACCCAAGAGACGAACTGCTGTATGAGGGAGGGGGGAGCGTGTTTGGATGCCACACCCAGCAGTGCTCCAGAATCCAGCCAGACTTAAACGGCAAGTGTCTTAACTTCTGTGCCATCTCTGACTCCTGGACTGCTTAGCTATTTATGGAAGAATGTGTGTGAACCTCTGTACAAAAGTGAAGGCTGATTTGTCTTTTAGGTACATTATAGGAAATATGACTAACAGACTTCCACATGAAAAAGGTGATTGGGGCGCTGGACAAATAGTACAATGGGGAGGGTACTTGCCTTGCACATGACTGACGGAACCCCATATGGTCCCCAAACCTGCCAGGGTTAATCCCTGAGCACAGAGACAGGAGTAAGCCCTGAGCATGGCTGGGTCGGCTCCCCACCCCCAAAAAAGTAATCAAAAGGTCTGAAGAGATAGCTCTCGGTTGCATACAGCTGAACTTGGATTTGATCATCAAGACCCCATATGATCCCCTGAGCCCTACTAGGAGTGATTTCTAAGCACAGAGCCAGGAGTAAGACTTAAGGTGTGAGGGAAGAAAGAAAGAAAGGAAGAAAGAAAGAAAGAAAGAAAGAAAGAAAGAGAGAAAAGAAAGAGAAGGAAGAGGAAGCAAGGAAGGAAGGAAGGAAGGAAGGAAGGAAGGAAGGAAGGAAGGACGGACACAGCCCTTGGTAAGGAGCACTGTGGCCAAATGCTCGAGCACCCACCTTCATGTCTGACCCTCAGGGACCCCAGCTGAGCTGTGTGAGGTCCTGGCATACAAGAGCCACAGTTATCATGGCAGCGACAATGAGGTTGGCCCAGTAAAGTACTGAAACATGTCTAATATGAAACAAACACATGCATCAAAATCATGCCTAGACAAAACCGAGCCACACCTCTGACCCCCTTTGGAAAGTCTATTTCCTGGAAGTGGGCAGGGAGGCAGCACCCGCCCTCTGTGTGGGAGCTGAGCACAGTCCCATGGTTGAGAAGCCTGATCCACAGCACGATCCTTAATGGAGACCAGGAAAGGCCTGATCGCATTTCTGAAAAGACTGATGGTCGGGTAGAAAACTGCTCGAATCCCTAGGTTAATTTTAACATCCTCAGAAGAGATACAACCAGACCGTGCTCATCTTCCTACGAGCATCGCCTAGGAAACGTGTCCAGAAATGTCCACTGTAATGCAATGCGTTCATGATGTAATGAGCCTGGTCCATAAAGGAACACTAGGAGCCGGGAAGCACATTTAACAGCACAGACTG